CTAATTTCCTGAGACAGGTTGCATTTTGGCGCATCAGATCTTCAGGTTTGCTAAGATGATTTGGCGTGACGGGTGCAACACTTCGTATGACCTGGTCTCACTTTTTCGTGGCAAGTGCAGTAGTTTAGGCAGATGGAGCGGAAAAATCGCAAAACGGATTGGTACGAGGTCATCAGCTCTGCAGTCAACTTTCCATTTTCGAAGGAAGTCTGCCAGATTTGCTGTGTTTTTGATGCTGTCAACTTCGAAAATCAAAGACGTCTCGCAGAATTGCTTCGTTTCTGACATTGTCAAGTTCAAAATTGAGGAAATCTCGTAGAATGGCTGTGTTTTCGATGTTGTCAAGTTCAAAATTTGAGGAAGTCTCGTAGAATAGCTTCGTTTTCAAACTTGCAGGTACACAGAGATTGACAGACAGACAGATAGACAGATCAACAGATAGATAGACAAATAGATAAACAAATATAGAGATAGACAGATAGATAGACAACTGCGACTACACTACACTTCAACTACAACAACGACAACTACAACTACCACTAAAAGTAAACTAAAAACAACTACAACTACAACTTTAACTTCAACTACGCTACAACGACAATTACCACTACACTACACTGCTACACTACAGGTACAACTACAACTACACTACAACTACAACTACAGCTACAACTACAACTCCTACAGCTACTACAGCTACTACAAATACTACAACTACAGCTTCAACTACACTTCGACTACACTAGAGCTACAACTATAACTACGACTACGACTACAATTACATTGCACTTCGCTACACCACACTATATGCTGCAGTTGTGGGTGAGGTGACCACCGCAACCAGTCCAAAAATCACAACCACCTTTCGGTTCATCAGTGGATTCGCTCTGCCATCCATGCATCACAACAACTCACCTCTCCTATAATGTTCTATCTTGGAAACTTCCGCCACCGCGTGCGGTACTAGTGGTACATGTATATAAATATATATCTGTGTTTGTTTGCGTCATTCATATGTATTGGACATGCGATGTATATACATAAATTAAAACAACAAAATAAACAATGAATAAATAAATACATAAATAACTAAATAAAAATAAATAAACATAAATAGATCAATCAATCAATTAATAGTAAATATATAATTATATATACATACACGGCCGTGCGTGTGTATGCAATGAAATGCAATGCAATGTATCAGTAATGTACTGTAATTTACTGTATTCTACTGTATGTACTGTCATGATTCATCATATCCTACAGTATGGCATGGATCCACCAATCATCCTGGATGTTCCCACAAGGCCTATGCCGAAGTAGTTGCTCATGGTCAACGTCTTCCGCTCCCGCGGCTGTGGCGGCTGTCCGCCCGGTAGGAAGGAGGGCCGCCGGTCGTCCAAAGAACCTGGTAGTGGGTGACCCCAACCAGAATGACACTTTCGGGACAGGTGGTAGCCCTAAACAATTCGCTCAAATCTGGCTGTAACTCCAAAAAAATCCGGCTGGCACCACGCACATGACCTTCTATCAACCCTAGTATGAGCCCATTTTCACCAAACCGCAAGTTACAGCAGCATCAATTTGCTCATACGGCTTCACTAGACATCAAACAGATCGCATGAACTGGTGCCTACATTGTTAGGAAGCGCCCAACCAATCACACAATTCTGTTCCATGCTCTGACCTCCAAAAATTTAGCCAAGCTGCGACAAGCCACCTTAGCTGCTGCAATCCCATCTGAAAGGCGCCGATTTCCAATAATGAAACACTAATTATCAAGGTCGAAAATTCAGCGACATGGGACAAAAGTAGAAAGTGTATGAACAGTATGCAACCCTAAAAAATCATCACATTCGTTCACCCTGGTACCGGTACCTCTTTTTCATTCTTTTTGCACCACACATCAGATCGCTTCTGGGTCAAGCTACCGTCCATCGATCCAAGAGTTCCACGTGTGCACGTCCTACCTGCTGAAGCACGGGCAAAACGCTACTGCCAGTGTATCCACCGCCCCAGCCTGGGCAGTGCTGGGGGATGTCGGCTATGGATGGCCTTGGGCTTCGGGGGATTTCACAACTGCCTGGTGTGTAATCTTGATTGATAGATGGATGGATGGATGGATGGATAGATAGATAGATAGATAATGTTCCATTACATCAACTTACAAAAATTAATAACTATTACTAGTATATGTATATATCTTGATGTAACCTGGGAAGTTCATCCCCCCTGGACCCAATCCAATGCTCTCAGATTGCCCACTGTCATGACAAGACGCCGAAGGTTCTGGCCAGGTCGTTTCCGGTGCCCAAGGGTAGAACCGCCAAGGGCGGTTTGTAGGTGAAGTCCAACTGCTCCAAAGCGCCTGGTGGCGATCAAAGCGCTGCAATCCCAGGGCCCCAGGCTTTTCCTGATACGTTGACATCTCCAAGGTTCTTAATGAAGCATTCCGATACAAAAACATGATAGGAACCGATTTTAATAATATAGTTTGAAGGGGGACTATATACTATCCAAAAAATGGGCTGTCTTAGGATGTCCCTTCACCCAATGTCTGCATAAAAACTTGAACAGCATACAAACATTAGGGGAATCCCAAGAATTCCAGAAAATGGTCATCTCAAGCAATCGGGGATGATTCCTGAACCTCCTAAGGCCCTCCTTGCATCAAACCCAGCTACCCTCTGGTAATTTAACGTAGCTATTGAAAATGGCCATAGAAATAGTGAGTTTTCCCATTAAAAATGGTGATTTTCCATAGTTTTTTGTATGTTTACCAGAGGGTAAATGCTACTAAGTTCAGGGGTCATCCCACGATCATCCCAGGTGGATGGCTGCAGCCAAGGGGCCCAGCACCCAGCCGATGGTTCCGTCGCCGCCGCACCTTGGATGGCCATGACTTAGTATTAAAACATATTGATCCCATGGTGACTTGGGGATTCCCCATGTTGAGAAACCCTGATATAAGGAACATGATGATCATTTTCATTGGAATTACACGGGGGATACCCCATTTTCCAACAGACGCGCATGATAGTACGATGGTACCAATGAAAAGTTGATACATAGGCGGCAGGAAATGACCAATCGGCATGCACAAGCTTCGTTTGGTTGTGCCGCGTACCAAGTTGTGCATCCAACAGAACACAAGAGTCTGCTGAACATCGACCCTGCCCAGTTGAAACGGATGAAACGGTGGGAGTACTGACCGCTCTCCGCTCATCTTACCTTGGCATTATTAGCATGTGCTCCTGGTTGATTCATGCCCGTCTCATCCCACCTGGTCCTTCATAATCCCACCCTATGCTGCCATGCTTAGATATTAGATATACTTCAGACCCCATTGGTCTTGCACCATCAGCCTACCCTGTACTGTAGGTCAACTGGGCATCTCATCGTAAAATATTTTTCAATTTCGCGCGCAAAAAAACTATCTCGAAACATCTTATTTGATGTTTCATACATACATGTATATATATATGTTTTCGTGAGCATTCTCAAGAGTTGGATTTTTCTATTTGCAAATTAGACTCAAAAAATGATTTGCAAAACGTAATGATACGTATGTATATATATATATATCGTTTCGGAGGGTCTTGGATTGACTTTGAACGACCTGTTCTATCTGTGATTTTTCAAAGAGCATTCAATTTTGGACCTCTATGGCAAACCTTCAGGAAGTTCAACACTGTGCCCCCTTTTGTTTTGCGCACAGTGAAGCCGTGCCTGCTCCGATGTGCAGTAATGCACGCATTAATATTTTTTTTGCAACTACTGTGCGCCATGGGTCTTCCCTACATGCAGTCAACACTGGCGTAGAAGTTTATCTATCAATCAAGTATCCTCATTGCCATTTACCCCTCTAAGTTGAAACAGGTAAAAGCGTATGTTTTCATTGTTTTACTTGGGCTATGCATTTTCTAGAGGAGTTCATGTTTGTTCTCTGGACATGCACATGTTTAAACACACATGTGCATGAGAGTGCAATTCACCACCTTGGGTCTAGAAGATGATCTGCAATAGTATTATAAGTCATAAGTCAAAATAACAATATATAAAAATGAGTCCTTAAAAAACTTGCTTCAAAAATGGAGGACCAAAAAATATCTTACGCTGGCCTTTCAAAAGTTTGGCACGATCACATGAATCCTGAAGTTCTGTCTTCACACTTTTGGAATAGACAACTGAAAAAGCATCTCATCACATTTCAGCAAAATCTGGATGAATTTAGATCTATTTTGGAATTCTTTTGGGCACCCCAAAAATGGTCTAGACAATGCCTGGCACAATCATTGTGGCTCCTGATAACAAGCTTGCCCCTATCTAGAAAATAACGTGGAATAGAAGGCTCAACTTGGCCCTGGGGCCAGTTAAGCATTCCCCAGGAATGGTGCAGGAAGCATTCGGACAGTAGTCCGACTGATGATGTGTTTTTTTCCAACCCTTATATACCCAATCTCTCTAGAAAATGGCCAGCCATGACTAGCCACCAAACATGTAACAATTACAGTAAGTTGTTTGATTGAGAAACCAATATCAGAGTTCCCCAGGAATCCCTGGGCAAAATGTAGCAGATTGATTGGTCTACAGGTTCCTGTCTAGAACATGGGGTAACTCGGAAATGGCGATGGGGATAATGATATAAGTCATAATCCTCGGACTTCGTGGGGCCGAGAGACAACCAGCTTATTTTGGATCAGCCTTCAGACAGTATTAATCTGGGGTTCCAAGCCAGGCCAGTGGGTAGTATGACTAGTAGCAAAAGAAAAGTGCTACTGCCGACTTTCTCATTCTTGCCCCTGATGCTTTGGTAGACTGTGCAGCCGTGGATTTCATACGCTTCGGAAGATTCACTTTGGCAAATATTTCTGCTTGCGATACCATTATTGAATTCAAACTGATTCAGGGTGGGTTCAGACTGGGTCAGGCATGGTTCAGACCCGTTCAGACATTGATCAGATGGGTACAACCATTTTTTTCCCCCAGAGTCACATCTATTTAAACCATGCGCCACATCCAAGGCACACCAAAATGCGGTACTGCAAGGCGGTCTTGTCCCACCATCCCAAGGCAGCTTCCGGCCCGCCCCGTTGTAGGTCGACAAGCTGGGCGCAGTGGAGGTAGGCTTGCAGTTCCTGGTTTTTCGTGGGGCGCCGCAACGGGGGACCTCAAGTTTGCTTCGGTGAAGCATCAGAATTTAACGCATCTCCATCTATTTCCAAGCAACTGAGCTTGAGAAATTGGATGGTAAGTACAATATGACATTAATCATCAGTACATGGTAACAATATTATGGTTGGCAATTAAATTCCAACCAACATAGTTGGGTAATGAGAGAACGACACACCAATTAATTTGTTGTCCCTCAGCCGGGTTTTCGTCCATGGTCGGCCGGAGGACTAGGCCTCCTTTTTGGTAACCATTTCACACTCAGAAGCTGTTTATTGTGCGTGGAAGTTGATACATAGTAAGCCACAAAATGGAAGTTTGGACCAGTAAATATTGGGACATGACCGGAGACCAAATGGCTGGCAAGTCAGGGATGATCATGGGACAAACAGCACTGTGAAACTCACCTCTGCTCTGATGTTGATGAATTGCTTGGATGTGGTCCTCTCACAGTTGCAATTTTTTAAAAGATTTGTGCCCCCATTTTCGGGCACGAAATCCACCTTGGTCAAGCTATCCAAGTGGCATTGAGCACCTTCATGCCCTGCTGCCCTCCACTTCGTGTATTCACGAAGACCACCACGGGCTTCAGATCGACATCGGCCAACTTCTCCTGATTCACCTGGTAGGCGTTCCACCAGGCCTCAAAGTGGGCTATGGCCAGCGGCTATGGATCCAAGTTGGCAATGACATAGAACAATGCATTTTATATATACTGTATATATATATAATATCTAATGATATTTTATGTATATATATATATATGACTATACACACACATATATATACTAACACACACACACATACTTTATAAAATTAAATATGACACATGGAGCTGATGGTCTTATACATGTTCAATCTCGGAATGACCACAAATGTGTTCGATTCCAATTCTAATCCAGCAGGGGCTGTCAAAAGGCAACCAACATAGAAATTCTGCATATCCTGAAGTCAAATAAGCCAAGCATGGATTGCATCCAAGCAACTTCCGGCTTGCTCTTGGTCATTGACACCATGCCCTCATTGAAGGTGTCATAGGCTTTGGCAGCAAGGTGCTTGGTTTGGACATAGGCTTTGGCCCCAAGGTGCTTGGTTTGCACATACAAACCATTCCAGTCTATCCTGCGCCGCTCTCAAAAGAAACCAACGATTGCGACAAGTTTCGTTCTGTGGTTGGTCTGACAATAGGGTAACCCCACATGGCCATTTTACATTGGGTTACCCTATTTTCAAATACGCCTGTATGGAAGTAATCCCGTGTTGGAGAACATGTTGCCAATTTTTTCAGATCTCTTGGCACTAATAATCTGCTTCTCATGGCCAATCATGGATATCCTGCATTTGCCAATTTTTGCTGGTGTGCATATCATGGGAGCACGTATAATTTTAATATATATCTATCCATCTATATACATAGTATAAGTATCCTCCTTATGACAAAAAGATATGCAAACAAAATATGAAGTATTGAACTCCCCATCCACCTTAACTATCATGTAGCTGTGAAACTCAATTTATAGCTCCCCAGCTCGCTGCCAGCACCAGTCGACCCAGCTCTCCTCTGAATGAGGCTCTGTAGATTTTCTTCTTCCAGCTTCTCGTTGGACGCATCTTTGGCATCTTTCAATCGCTCCTGGGGCCGCTCCACCACTGTCTCGACACGCTCTACACCTTGGAGATCGCGTTTCATCTTGATGTTGTGAATCAACGATAATGGCTATAGGAACCTCATGTAACCTCCAAAAAAAGGAAAAAAGGTATGACAAGGTTAGATTCAAGAGCTAGTTTGCTAATGTTTGGTAGGATTTGGCTTTTCTATCTTTATGGGGTTGCTATATGAACATGACGTGAATATGTAATGAAATCAAGCAGAAGTGACCACACTAGGCCTTCAAGATCAAGTTGGTGGTTTCTAGTGGTCACCGGCCACCTGAACCCCCCAGCAGCGTCGGCCTAGCGGGTTTTCCTGGGCCTGTGTCGTTTCGTCTGCCCTCAGTCTAGGGCCTGAGTTTTAGTGGCTACCATGCAGGGGATGTCAACCCTACATGAAAACTAACATGTTTGGAAAACAGCATGGGGTATGAGCACGTGTCAGCACTCCCCCTGGTTCTGGACCGTCAGGCCTTGAACCATCGCTTCGTGCATGCCTGGGAATTTCCATCCAGACATCTTCGGTGACAGCTGCCACCGGATCAAAACCTATCAGTGCAACCCAGCATTGGTCTGGGGTTTACGCACGGCATCTTTGTGCCCTCAGCTCAAGCCACTCTCAGTACCTCTGGTACCCGTCGCATCGTTGGCACATGGGGTAGCCTTGCATCGGCCCAGCGCATTCTCGTCGGCTATGCACCGTTCTCCCCGGTCCCTCTGAGTAGAGGATGGGAGCGGAGCTCGGCTGGAGGCCGAGACAGCACAGAGGGCACCACGGCGACCTCACCATCCATCCAGAGTTCGCCAAAGTCGGGCAGGTGACCCCTGTATGGAATCTTGTGCCACATGGCGTGATGTACACCGGCAGTGCCACGCCATGTTCGTCACTTGGCACTCTTGGAGGTGCTGCTTCGTCATCTCCTTCGCCGTTCTCGGCCATCTTTCCTCCTCCTTTTTGTGCTCCCTTCTCTGGGACTTCTTCACCTTCTGTCTGGCCTTTCTTTCCTTGGCCCTTGGGTGCCCCTTTCTGTGGGCTTCCTTCTCCTTTCGCGCCTTTGGCCTGCGCGATCTCATCATCACCTTTCTTTCCTTTCTTGGCGCCCTTCATCGGCGTTCCTTCTTCACTCCCTTTGGCTTGACCCTTCTCGGCCATCCTTTGGAAGTATGCCTGTGGTGGACTTCCTTTCCCTGGGTAGATCTGCCCATGGGTCTCCGGGTCCCAATCATCTGGGTGCTCGTGTTCTTCTTGTACGAGTCCTTGGAAGAACTCCTCCACCAGCCGTGGTGGCTCTGCGCCTGGCTCTTGTGGTGGTGGTGGTGGCACAAGCATGTGCACCGGTGTTGTGCTGCTGCTAGCTGCCTGTTGTGGTCGGCCTTTCTGTTGGCCTGCCTGTTGGCCCGGTCGGCCTGCTTGTAGGCCCAATTGGCCTACTTGTGTGCCTGCTTGGCCTGCTTGCTGGCCCTTCTGCTGTCCCTTTGGGATGGGATACATGTGTGCCAGCTGTCTTGGCGGTGCTTTTGGGCCCGGCGGATTCCTCAGGAAGAGGTTCCCATCACGATCTCCGTGAGGGAATGGAACGCCTGGGTCTGTCTCCTCCTCTGTGTCTTCATCATCCCTGGCTTCCACTCTCCTTCTCCTCCTGATGCTCTCTGGGGTCCTCAACGCCTGTTCTTCTTGGCGTCTTGTGGGTGCTCCTCTCACCCTGCTTCCTTCTTCTTCTGTGGGCTCTTCCTCAGGCTGTCGGTCTCTCCGAAGCCAGCCCATCAGACAAGGGATGATCCTCTGGATCACTGAGACCACTCCCACAAGAGCAAACATCAGAATCAGCTCAATGTGGAACATCTCTGCCCTTTCTTCGGTCTCCTCATCATCTTGAGCTTTGGCTCCCTGAATGGCGATCATCAACGCCACGCACTGGAGTGCCTTCTCTACTTCTTTTGGGACTCTGGTCCCCTGTTCCTTCTTCTTGATCTTCTCTGCCTCTTCTGGTGCCGTCTTCTCTTCTGGCTCCTCATTCTTCTCTTCATCTTTTCCAATCTTCTTCATGCCAAGCCCCTTCTTGAGCTTTTCCAGCCTGGCTGACGTCAGGCTCTTCGTCCCAATGTCTGCCAGCATGTCTTCGCCTGGCAAATGTCGCAGCAGCCAGTCTCCTTTGGTGAATCTCTGTTTGGCATGCGCTGCTCTCAAGCGCAGATGTCTGGTCCTCCAGCTTCCTCCTTCTGCCAGACAGATGTTCACCGCTGCCTGCGAGTCTGATGCCATCATCTTCATGATGTGGGGTTCCAGCTCCTCCAAAATCGCTGCAACACTTTCCCCCATCATCAATCCTTCTATGAGCTCGTTCAGCTCTGCCTCCGCTGTGCTCAGGCTGACCGTCGACTGCCTTGAGCTCTTCCATAGCAGCGGGGCTCCCCTCAGAGTCACAATCACTGAGCCGTGACTTTCTTCACCTGAGGGTGCGAAGCTTGCGTCAGCATAAACAGCAAGCCCTGACTGCTCTTCCCATCCTTCCCATGATGGACCTTTCTCAAAGGTGATCCCTTCATGGATCGTGGCAGCCATATATCCCCACAGTTGGGATGCGCTCTCTGCGACCCACTGGGGTTGATGCAGCACTTGGCTGGCCATCTTCGCCAAGGCATACATCATGTCTGGTCTGGTCCTCGTGACTAACCAGAGTGCTTCGCCCACTATCTTCTGGGCCTTCCTGACTCCTTCCACCTTTGGCTCTTCTTGGTGTTCAGCCGGTGGATCCTTGGAGATTGGCACCTTTCTCTTGGGCCATTTCTTCTCATCCTCCCCCACGTTCCTCCTCAGCAACTCCTTGACATAGTCCTGCTGGGATGCTGCCCAGACTTCAAGACCATCCTCTCCTTTGGTCTTGGAGATTCCCATGCCGAGGAATCTTGTGGGATCTTCGTTGATCCACTCTGGAGTTGAGGTGTTCCATTCCTTCTTGATGGTCTCAGTCAGCGCCTTCAGTAGCTGTGTTGGACCTGTGGCGAACAAGTCGTCCACGTAGACCATCATCAGGGCTTTTGGAGGCCCTTTCGGCTTCTCCTCTTCTTCATCTTCATCTTTCACCTCATCTATCCTCCAGAGGTTGGGTTCCGACACCAGCTGTGTCAATCTGTGTCGCTTCCCTTCATGTGGGACTTCCATCTTCCTCATCGTGGAATCCCTGTGGTTTCCCCACAACCTTGGGCTCTTTCTGAAGCCATACAAGGCCTTCGTCGGCCGCCACAGCGTGCCTTCTTCGACCAGCTTCATCCTGATCAGCAAGTGGGGTGGCTTCACCAACACATCCATGTCTTCCCATGGTGTGTTGAGGAACGCTGTACGGATGTCTAACGTGACTCCGTCCCACTGGTTTTCTGATGCTAACTTCATCATGATCCTCAGAGTCACTGCATCACCAGTGGACGCGTACAGTTCGTCCTGGGCATCTTTCGCCGTGAAGTTTCCACACGCCACTATTCTGGCTTTCTTCTTTCCTCCTTCTGGTGCGGGCTTCACCACCGTCACCAGCTTTCCTGGCACCACCTCCAGCTTTCTTCCTTCGGCGTGTGCCGCCCTGAACATCTTCTCCACCTCCTCTTTGGAAATGGCTTCAAGGGCCATCTTGTCTTCCACCAAAGACTTCAGTTCTTCCTCGATGGGCTTCTTCCATCCTTCAAGGTCTTTCATCACCTCCCCCAGGCCCACGATCCTCGTCTGCAGAACGTCTTCACTCGTGCCCGTCTCCATCATCATTCGGAGCTTGGCCACAGACTGCATCGTCGTCTTCAGGGCCTCTTCTGAGGGGTCTTCCATCAGAGCTGTCATCTCCTCCATGATCAGCTGCAAAAGTCTTGATCTTCTTCTGGGTTCAGGGTCTCTCCCCTCTTCCCCTGGTTCATCTTCTTGAACCTCCATCTTCGCCAACTCTGGTGGCGTCTTTCTCCTCAATCTTCTTCTTTCTTCAAGTGGATCTGGCATCTCTGTCATGACTGCCAGCCACGAGTGATCTGTCACGGGGTTCCACACATCAGCTATGCAGAACCGGGCTACGATGGTCGTCCCATCTTCTTGCTTCACCCAGTGACCGTGACCTTCCCCAACATGGAGCGATGTATGTCACTCGGTCCATGGTTGGCAGGAACTGTTGCGCATTCCACCTCCTCTTCTTGACCAGGACTTCAGCTCCCAGTGGTGGAAATTTCTGCTTCAGTCCACACCTCCACATGCGCAACTGTTCGTCGCAGTGGCGCGCTGCAAGTGGCCATTGGTCTTCGGACCACCCTGCTTGATGCAGCAATCTTCTTATGTGTGTCTTCACTTGTTGTACGGCATTTTCAGCTCTGCCGTTTGATTGTGGGTTGCTGACACCCGTGAATGTTCGGATGTATCCTCTTGCCTTCATCCATCTTCTCATGGCATCTGAGGTGAACTCACCTCCGTTGTCGGAGTGGACTTGGGAAACATCAAATCCATCTGATCTGAGCTTGAGGATCATGTCGATGACTGCTTGGAGGACTACTCCCCCCGCCTTCGAGGGCAAGGGAGTCACCAGTCTGAAAATCTTGATTTCAAAGTCCTCTGGCTGATCCACCTCCTCCTTGGCTGCTTCTTGTGGCTCCTGGGGGTTGATGGCTCTCTCACCACCTTGGGGCTCCTCAGGGTTGCCAGGGGGGTCTTGTTGGGGATCCTCCTCTGTGTGTTCTGCTTCATCATCAGCCTCTCCTTCACTGTCATCGATCCTCAGCCCTTCGATCGCATCCACCTCCTCTTCTGGAACTCTCTCATTCCTTTTGTCTTCTAGAGGTGAATCCTTTGGTGCAAGCCATGTGTATGCACCCACCAGAAGGAATCTCATCTTGTTTCCCATCAGGTCCTCACCCTTCACTAGTGGGCCTGTGGTGTCCACCGACAACACTCCCGCTCTTGGGAATTGTCCCTTCTTGGCGTTCAAGCGCCGGTGTGGAGCGGACTTAGCCCCAGACTGCTGGCATATCTTGCAGTCTCTTCTAAACGGGACGTGTCCATGCTTCACATGTTGACCACTTCCTTCGCCAGCTCTTTCATCAAACCCGGCACCCATCGGCTCAGGCTCTTTGAGTCTTGGACCCTGTCTTGGGATCTTCCTTTGGCTTCTGGGTTCCTCTCTTCTGGAACCTTGATCTCGACGTTCCCGCCGATCGTTGTGGGCTTTATGCAGCCTTTGCCGCCTTCTTCTCCTTTCCAGTCTCCCTGGTTGAACTTGATCTCTTGCAGATCGTACATCTCTTTCATCTTTCTCCACTGGTCCGTCCACCAGAAGGAGACCGTCTTTGGGAGGTACTCAGGAGCACTCGGCTGCTCGAGAGCCAGGATGATCTTCTTCCATCCCTCTCCTCCTGTCTTCTGTTCTTCTGTCTTGGCGTCTCTCTTGATGCCTTCTTCTTTTTCTTCTTCGTCCTTTGTCTTCTCGACGTGGACTGCCAGGACGTACAACAGCAGCGTCCTGAAGAGCATGACATCGTCCTGCCACACCTTCGTCTTCTCATCTTTTCGCAGGTCTCTCCTGCCAAATTCTTCACCACCCCACTCTCGAAGTGGCCTTGGCCCATGACACTCTGGTGTCATCCTGTAGTTCCTCAGCACTGATCTTGTGCGACAGTTTGGGCCTGCCAGGATCCCTCTGATCCTGTTGTCAAATGCCAACCTCAACAGTCATCAGGTCATGCCCAGGTCCTCTCTTCTGATCCAGCTCTATCAGAGTCTGGACATCGCCGCCTGCACTCTTCACTGCCTGGCTCAGGGTGAATCCGTCGTCCTCCCCCGCGAACAGGTGCAGAGTCCCTGGAAGGGCTGTCAAATCCTTTGATGGCGTCACCACCAGTTCCTTCTTTACCTCCTCTGGCAGGTCTCTGAAGACCGGATGAACGGCCACCATCTTCTTCAAGACATCTTCTTCGTCTTCTTCTTTGGTCTTCATCTTCTTCATCCATCCAGACTTCTCCTCAAGCTCCTGGATGATGTCTAAGGCCAGTGGTCTTGGGATGTGAGGGCATCCTCCTCTTTGTGTTGTGTCCAGTCTTCCCCTCTCTGGGTGAACCACGACAAGGCCTCCCTCATCCCATTCCACCGTACAGCCGAGCTGGCTGACCATCTTTCCAAGTGGAACGATTGGCTCTGTCTCCTCATGTTGGCCAATCATTGTTCCTCCTCTTGTCATCTTCAGTGTGGCGTCTCTACCACAGGCCAACGTCACTCGGACCTCTGTCAAGTCCTTGAGTGATTCTCCTGGCTGTCTTCCTCTCAAGGCGTGCGTCGCGCCAGAGTCTAAAAGACCATAGTCTCCTCCTTCTGTGTGGATCTTGGAGATCCTGAAGACCTTCAGGGTCTTGAGTTCATCAAGCTGCTTCTGCAACTTTTGCAGCCTGACCTCCTTCCCTTCGTCTTCTTCATTCTTTCCTTGTTGCAAGGCCTTCAACATCTTGTTGGCCTCTTCCAGCAGTCCCTTCATGGCTTCACTGCTGTCTCCTTCATTGGAGCCTTCCTTGGCTACCTCTTCTTTCTTGGTGGCTTCCTCTTTCTTCACCACCTTTGCCGTCGGCTTCATGTCTTTCCCCTCCCAAGGTTTTCCGCTCTTTTCCGGACTTCCCTCTTTGTTGGGTTCTCGGGGTCTGTCACACGCTGGTGCGTAGTGCTGCGTCGAGCCGCAATTCCAGCATCTCTTCTGGTCGTCAAGGTTGTGGGCCCATCTGCACCCCTTTCCCTTGCGACATCCTTCTGTCGTGATGAAGAACTTGCAGGGGGCTCTCTCACCTTTCCCTGACTTACCTTCACCTTTTCCTCCTTCTTCAGTCTTCCTGACCTTCACCTCTGGCTGTGCTTGCTTCTGCGTGTCCTTGCTGGTGCTCTTCTTGCTGCCTTCAAGGTGTGCTATCTGTTCCATCTCAGCCAAGAGGTGGGTCGAGAACTTTCCCACTGTGTCTTTCGTGGGGGTCGAGTCGACCTGGAGCATCGACCTGGCCAAGCTGATCCTGAAATTCAGCTCTCTGTTGGCTTCCAAAGGTCGGCGGACGATGCGTCCCAAGCCTTTGAGCAAGAGGAAGGGATCAGGCTCGCTCACCTGAAGCTCCATTGCTCGTCTCCTCCATCTCATCCACTTCCTCAGTGAACTCACTGCCTCTGCCACTGTTGCTGCTTCCTGTGGCATCTCCAACGACCTGAGGATGACCTCCTTCTCAGCCAATCCTCCAGGCTGAAAGGTCGTGAAGAGGTGGCAGATGATCTTCAGAGCTGTGATCCTCTTCGTCGACACCAGCTCCTCCTTCTGGGCTTCAGGGATGCTCATCATGAGCAGTGTGGACGCCCTTCTTTCTAGGCGGATCCACTTGGGCCGGTCCAAGTCTTTGGAAGGCTGTGGCTCGTGTGTCAGCCTGTCCATTGGACTCAGAGCCATGTGGTCTTGATACCACTGTCTTGCTTCTTTCAGCAGCCTGTCCCACCAGTCGTGTGAGGTGGCTGTGAGGTCTGCCATGATTGGCTCAATCAACGCCAACCAATCGTTCAGGTCTATCGGACCTGTCGAGGGGTTCCAGTCCGTCAGTCTTGGCACTTCGGGGTTGCTCCTGACGTACTCTGCTTCTCCCCCCTCTCCTTCTTTTCCTCCATCCTTGGAGAGCATCTTCTTCTGCATTTCTGTCATTGTATGCATCATCATTGCCATCAGCTGCAACGTTCCTGGGGTCTCCTCTTGCCTTGAGGAACCGCAGCTTCTGTCTTCAGGGGTCTTGTGGCCTCTCTGGCCGTTGGGGGTCTTTCAGCCTCGGGCTTTGGGGGTCTGTCAGCCTCCTCAAGCTCGTCTTGAAACAGCTTCTTGGCTGTCTGGCTTTCTTCTTCAGGGGTCCTATACTGGACATCTTCATCTTCTATGGCGTTCTGGCGCCTCTCATCATGCCTCTCTCGGCTTTCATCTCTTCCTTTGTGTTGCAGCAGTCTCTGCAACTCCTCCTCATGCCTCTCTCGGCTCTCGTCTCTTTGTTTGTGCTGCAGCAGTCTCTGCAACTCCTCCTCATGCCTCTCTCGGCTCTTTTCTCTTTCTTTCTGTTGCAGCAGTCTCTGCAACTCTTCTCTTTCTCTCAGGAGCATGGTCCTCTCCATCTCCAATTCTTCTTCTCTTTTTCTCAACCTTTTCAACTCCTCCTCTCTCAGAGTTTCAGGTCGCATCTCCTCAAGTGTCCTCTGTTGGACTTGGGGCGGGTTCAGCATCGGTGCCTGACTCCGCAACTCTTCATATCTCCTCAACTGCTCGTCGTCGAACAGCGGTTGTGGTTCTGGCTGGTTGGCTGGTCGGAGCGTGGTCGGGCTGGTCTTGGGTCCCCCAGGCCATTGGGGGCTGGTCTCAGGTGCTCCTGAGGGTCTGTGAAAGGGGGTCTGGGCTGCCGATGCCGTTCTTCCTCCTCTCTCTTCCCTTTCTCTTGTGGAGCTTGTCGGGGGTTCTGCTTGCCGGGGTGTCTCAACCGGGGTCTTCGGAGTCTTCCACTCCTTTGGGGTTTCCTCCTGCCGTGGAGTTCTCCCCATATCATCTTCCAGGGTTGGCTGTGAGGGCGTCTTCAGGAATTCACCTCCTTGGCTTGGTGTTCCCTTTCCCCTCAGCGCCATTTGGTCTTCTTCTGGCCTCTTATCTTCCAGGGCCTTCATCTGCCCTCCCTTCAGCACTTCCACCTCCTGGTCAGCCTCTTCTTCAGCCACGTTCTCTCGCAGAGTCTTCCTTCTGCGCTCCAGCATGGCTTGGGCTCGTAACCTAGTGATCACCGGCCACCTGAACCCCCCAGCAGCGTCGGCCTAGCGGGTTTTCCTGGGCCTGTGTCGTTTCGTCTGCCCTCAGTCTAGGGCCTGAGTTTTAGTGGCTACCATGCAGGGGATGTCAACCCTACATGAAAACTAACATGTTTGGAAAACAGCATGGGGTATGAGCACGTGTCAGCAGTTTCAATCCCCTGAAAAATATGCTCGTCCTTCGGGATCATCACAAACATAGAAAGGGTGTCAACAACCAGACTTGACATCATTCCCATCCCTTCCCCCATCCTCAACACCAATCCCAACCCCCTCCATCCCCTTCCAATGCCACGGCACAGTTCTCCGGCAACACCAAGCGCCTCAGCTTCTTCTGCTCCCGGCGGGTGCCCAAAAGCTGCACCGGTGCCCCCCGCAGCGCAGAAGTAGACCCGGCACCGCCGCTCCGGCGCGCCGTGAGGAGCAACAAAAAGGCCAGGAAGGCGAAAGCCAGGCCAGTAATCAAGAAGAAAATCAACCACCTCAGAATTGAAACATGGGAAAACCCAACCATTGGGGATACATAGTATATCATAGTATTATATAGGGAGATATCAGTTGCAACGGGGGAATCAACCAACCAATCTATGGAGATATTCAGCCATATAGGGTTGGGTAGCCAAAATTGGAACGGACCTCCAATCTGCGGTACAATTGACATGGAACAATTGTGACATGGGTGGCAAATGGATCATGATCTCGATCGCAATCGGGATTCAAGCAACTGGAATGGGGGATCATCTGACCCCAAAACTTACCTGCTGTTAAGAGGATCAAATAGTCATTTGTAATTTCTCCAATTATCATATGTCGCTCTTCATGTCGAATGTAAACCAAGTGTACAAAACACCCAGTGACTTAGTCCACAGTTAGGAAACCTTTCTCATAATAACACAATCAAACTAGTTCGGTTCCAAAACGCATTGTTAATTCCCATTGTTTTGACCCAATTTGATAAAATGTGGTTCAATGACGGGATCATCCCATCCCCCAAGTTTGATTTTTGTTGTCCTAATCATGTAATAAACTTAATAAGATAGATGATGGCATAAACACAATGACTGGCCAAAATGGCCGGAGAATTGCTGAGCCAGAGCGGGTTAGCATAAATGATGGGTATGGTACATCTTTCCCAGCATGGGACCCACCTCTAACCAAAGTATGTCAACCATCAATGGGGATCACTGAAAACAATATCAACATCCAAAAACCAAATGTGTTGTTATTGTTATTGGCTGGGACCCCTTTTTAAACAAATACAGTGGGACTTCAATTTGCTTAATGTTATGGCAGACGCCAATGACAGGCACATCCAAATCTCACCAAAATACCTTGGCAAATTATTCGTACACTCAATGACCATTGACAGTTCTCCCTTATTATTAAGATGGTTTTCAGTTTATGTTTCAAGAAAGGTTGGTGTTCGACTTTGGTGGAAACAAATCTACCAAGCATTGTTTGCAAGAGGTTTGATGGTTGAAGAACACATGATAATCATAAAAAGATGAGAAGGTCTTGAACTATCAGACTCAGACTTTGCTATGTTCTTGGAGCTCATGAGTTGGATTCCTTCTAAAAACAAACCAAAACCTGGAACTGTTTCCACACAGTTTAAGATGTAGCCCGAGTAAATGATAGTAAAGAACTCAGGAAACATTCGGCAATAATAATACTAATAATACAATATATATTGTTTTGGAGTTGCCTTTGATCTCATGCACTCAGAAACACTGGCGACTTATTTGTTTGACAGTCTTTTGGGGAAAAAAATGGCGCACAACTTCAACTTTTAATTTTGAATAATTTTGAAATGACATATTTCAAAAGTTTTGAAAAAAAAGAAATAGACACTGAACGTGCTGTTAAGCAAATCACCTTGGCCAGGGGGGGGGCAAATGCCCCCCCCCTCTGGCCAACATCGGGAGCGCTACCGATGTTGGCTAGCCGCCCCCTACATGTCTTAACAGCACTTCCAATTTTTCACATTGGGGGCTTATTAGCTCAAAAGTCCCGGTCCGTACTATGCAGGAGGGGGGCTAGCCAACATCGGGAGCGCTACCGATGTTGGCCAGAGGGGGGGGCACTTGCCCCCCCCCTGGCCAAGGCGATTTGCTTAACAGCACGTGCTAAGAGTTTAATGTTATTTTTCATTTTTTCATTATTTGAAAACAGTCGGGAGCGCTACCGAATGTTTTCGCCAAAAGCAAAATTTGTAATTATGATCTTAAAACAGTCGGGAGCGCTACCGAATGTTTTCGCCAAAAGCAATTTTTAAAACGATGCGTGGTCTTAAAACAGTCGGGAGCGCTACCGAATGTTTTCGCCAAAAGCAATTTTGAAATTATGTATGGTCTTAAAACAGTCGGGGGCGCTACCGATTGTTTTCGCCACAAGCAATTTTTGAAAATATGTATGGTCTTAAAACAGTCGGGAGCGCTACCGAATGTTTTCGCCAAAAGCAATTTTTGAAAATATTTATGGTCTTAAAACAGTCGGGAGCGCTACCGAATGCTTTCGCCAAAAGCAAATTCTGAGCATAGAACAGTTCCTGAGCACTAAGATTTTTGTTTACCATTGAATACATCAAATTTTGAAGGCCGAATCATTTGTTTTACTAATGCAATAACAAAAATGCAACTTTTTCAAAAAGGTTACATTGTTTGTTATTACATAACTTTATATTTCATGTGGAACTGGGACCACTCAGGAGAACTGCCAAATGGTGCACCTCAAAACCATCAGAAGCTGAAAGTCAGTGTCATTCTGGCCATTGTTCCCTTCCTACAAAATCTATATTCTTAGTCTTAAGGTCCCAAAAGGGAAGAAAGGGCATCACCATAACATGCACTTGCAGGCTTTCAACATCTGTTTTTATACTGAGATAGTAATAGATAATGATCAGCCGCGGCAGGGCAGCCACCCTCCCCCCCTCCACCCCAAATGGGGGATATCACGGGGATACTGGGAATATTGAAGGAATAATAGGAATAATACATGGTGAGTAATAGGGATATGGTGGAAATATCATGGGGACTATTCTAAGACACACATATATATATATATGATGATATATTGATGGATATACAATCCGGTGTAATCAAATGTGGCACCACCAAAGAAAATGGGTAAAATACAATTTGACTATTTGACTATGTTAAGAGCTGGCAAGAAAACATTGGGAACATGGAAACCTGGCGCAAGTTTGGCACAAAAAGACAAGTAGGGCTTCCCACCAACAAACATGGAGGCAAGATATAGGACAAACTACAACACAATGGATCAACCTGGGGATTGAAGCAACAAACACTTAGATTTCACCAACAAAAGCGCCGTGATTTACCAAGATGCTCGTCGCTTTGGACATTGTGAACCGGCCAGTCGATAGACGTCATGGCACATGGAAGGCATTTAAGCAGAAGAAACAAGCAGTTGGCTGTAGATTGGACACCACAGTACTTCTTTGTACTTCTAGCACTTGCAACATTTCTATGTACGCACTCATAAGTTTGCATTCATTGTGGTGTTTGTCAGCAAATACGGCGAATCAGCTGCCATCAAACACTGTCCAAGTTAGTGGCCATAAGGCCATAAGTTCAACAGAGTTTAAGATAGTTAACCCCTTTCCAGCATAAATTCCTGTGATGTCTCAGCAATGCTCAGCGTATCAAGGAGTTAATGATCTGTGTTCCACTTGGCTGAAGCTTAAGCTTCGCAGGGCGCAGATAGTTTCAAGGGGCCGTGAAGATTAATGGATGATCAGCACAGTTCTGTCAATGTGAAACCACTGCTGAAACCACTGGTGAAAAATCATGCTTCTCCATAACTTTGCTCATCTTTTTCCTGGAAAGATCATGACATGTATTGACATGTCCACATTTCGACTGCGCCGACAGTTTCCCGAGGTGGCAACCCAAAGACCATCACTGCCCATGATCATTCCAGGCAAAGCACAGCTCTTCCAGGAATCTGCACAGTGCTCGGCAGTGCTCTCAGTTTCTGATTCGGATGATGAACTCCTTAGGTCCTATGATGCAAATCTATGCACATTTATCATAGCGTCTAAGTCTAAGTGGATTGTGAACAATCTACCACGTTCATATACAGAGGTTCATCTAATTATTGTCTAATAAGCTACAATATATGCAACTATCATATTACCTGGTTAGGAATCTTCGCGGCAATCCAAGTTTGATTCCACAGAAAGCCGTGCTCAGCCACACCTGTAATATTGGAGATGTCAGGCTCTGCGGTCACACCATACCTGCGAACAACTCCACAGCCTTTCGCATCACGCTTTCAATCCTGCAAACAGATTGGATTTCACCCCCCAAACATTTCTTGCGGCTTGACTCTGGCTATAATCTCCCATGTCATTCCCTTGGTCACTTCTTGAGGCATCCGTCACCCATGGATCGTGACATGGCAAGCCCAGGCACTCCAGTCCTGGCTGTGTCGCTGATTCAACGCTTGCTCTCTCACACAACAGCAGCATGGCAGCCATTCACTGGGAAACCCGGCTTAGGGATGAAGATGCGGCTAACAACTTCCCCGTCGTCATACCTTTCGCATCTTGCACTGCGGCTGGACAATGAACGACTGCGCTGTCAACCAAATTTACGTCTGCCGAAGAACATATGGCATGCGCAGAGTGATGTGGGTGTGTCTGAACATGGTGGATTTACCTAATTTTCTCAACCATCATGGAACAAACATCAAACAAACCCAATCTGAGTGGATCTGGGCACCTCTTCTGGATGACTTGCGCCCCTGCTGCTTCAAGGCGTTTGTATTCTTCCGCGTCATGTGCCTGAAATGCGGATGCTGGTCACGAAGACGGGAGACGATTCTTGAAGTTAGCAAATGGTAGGCAACTGGGATACATCGCATTATATCGCTACATCCGAATGTGATATTTACATAGATTTACTATTCGCTTGGCGAACCGGATCACCAGCTGTGACCCTGACTAGGTCTGACCTGTCTGACCGGCCTTGTGCTCAATGCTGCAGAAAACGGGTTGACCTCTTTTCGGTGTCTACGGCGAGTCATGATCATCCCAGAGGGTTGAACATGGTTTTTCATGTTGAACAGCAACATATGAAACCACCACAGCATGGTCGCCAAGCACAGGGAATCTCCGAGAAAAACTGAGCGCAGAACCAGTGTCCATGTCGCCAACCACTAATCGCGAATCACCAACCTGTGCCATGGGCAGAGCACCGATCACAGATGCATATGGGCTTCGAAAATGACTGGACATTGGATCCAATACTAAACCAAGGTTTCCCAGGGGATTATTCTGATTTATATGCTATACTCATCTATACTCGAATGAGGTGACACAGCCATGGTGTTTAGCTTCCCATCAAAGCCGCCCACAGCTGATCAAACACTGCAGGCTTCACCATTTCTAAATGGGAATGCTGCAGATGGTATGTGGAACAATCCTCATTCAACCATGAACCAATTCCCACCCCTTGAATTAAAATCATGCCGACGCCAAACCCCAAAGTCACCAGGTTTTCTGCATTCCTATGGGTCTAACTAGCCAGTAGCAGGTAAGCTTTTATATTCGATCCCCGATCCTTGCTTGATGGCTTAGTAGCTCGACCAGGGTACAAAGTCATGTGCCTTCAACCTAAACTTCAAAAACATCATCATCACCATCACCACCAGCACCAGCACCAGCACCATAAAAATCATAGAAATCATAAAAAACATTAAAAAAACATCATCACCATCATCATCATCATCATCATCAATAATATCAATAATATCAATCATCAAACATCAGCCATGAACATCCATGAACCATCAACCATAAATCATTCACAATCAATCATGAATCAATCAATCATCAGTCAGTCAGCCAACCATTCAGTCAATCGACCAAGCAAGCAAGCAAGCAAGCAAGCAAGCAAGCAAGCAAGCAAGCAAGCAAGCAAGCAAGCAATGCAAGCAATCAAGCAATCAATCAATCAATCAATTAATATGTATATATATATATATTCAACCTGTTAGTGTGAACTACTATAAACCCCTATTGTCATCTATTATCCACGTATAGACCGTATGCATATCTTGCAGGTATCAACTCCTACACCAAACACCACTGGTCTCCACTGGGTTCTCCACATGGGCACACCACACGGACTCCGCGTCCTTGTCGATGCAGCACCTCGGGTCGGATGATGGGATTCGGATGGGGACATTTACTCATGGAATTCATGGATTCCATATTTCACTAGGTGATATTCATGAATTACTGTTGTACGAATGGGTAATATATATATATATATATATCCTCAACATACGTTTTTTTGATGCTTTTTTTGTTTTTTTTGGTGTTTCTTGTTAACTTCTGAAGTTTGGCCCATAAATCACTGGTTTCTCCAACGACAAACCACCTCCACTGACCACCTCGACCCCTCGCCCCTTGGGAGTCGTCACATCACTACTGTGGCGCCACTGTAGACCTGTGAAACAGAACACATCCGGGCAACGGTCATTTTCAGGATGCTTACAGGGATATCCTGAATATCATGGGGGATCATGGGCGATATAGTAATGGGATATACTGATATATACAATATACTGTAGTTTCTAAAGCATTGTAACACCGACAAACATGTGGGTAATGACCTGCCAGATTAAACAAGCTGAAGCAACTTGATGCAGGAAGTTTCAAGGCTGTCAACTTAACAGCCGATGGATTTGGGTGCTGTCAGCATGTACACGCAATGGAATTTCACAGAAATTCAACATGAAACCCATATGAAACCCATATTCATCCATATTCAACATGTATCCAGAAAGATCTTACCTTCGGATATAGCTGCCATTCGATCCAAGGGCGCCTGCATAGGGCCAAAGCTACTCTCGAGGTCATTCTGTGCTGACTGAAAGGCCCGGCGCAGTGCCTGCCGTCCCAATGAGCCGTTTCTATTTGGAGCCTTGAGAATTTCGGAGATCTTTAGCGGTTAAAGATGGTCAAAGGAGATTTGATGAACCGGCAAGTAAAAATCACAGATTCATCAAAGCTCAGGATGCTTGAGAGCTGTCGCAACATGGATACAGCGTCCATGTCATCAAACCCTTCATGGACATTAGGGATGATTGGCCAAGGCTACTGATGCCCATACTCATACAAAGTCAAATCATGAATGCATACTACACCGAAAAACTCAATCTCGAAAACATGCACTTTTGATGATTTTGATTCTATCCGAAATAAATCAACATCCATCTCTTGACCCTCTCTAACATGAGATGCATCATCCCGCACGAACAAGAGCCCCCATCGCCCCATCCTCCTCGGTACCATGCACCAAGTACGATGAGAAGAAAAGGGGAAGCGCTCGTGACACTCGCTCTGCGATGATCTGCCAGCAAAGGAAACAGCCAAGAGTAGCAACAGCACGTAGCTTATTGCTAAGCTGGCCTTTGCAATACCATGAATATCAAACATATCACCAACAGATTGATTATGGGTACATCCACACATCTTATTGATCATCTTCTGTCAAACAGTCCTATGACCGGAATTCTTCAAACGTTTTATTCACGACCAACTTCAATTTTAGCATCAATCTACAACTACCAAGTGAATCCATCCAATTTAAATGATCTGAATCCACTATTAACAAGCTAATTCATCCAATAATTATGACCAATCTTACAGTAATCTCATTGATGATACATGGCTGTGTCTGAAAATGGGGTAAAACATGGTAAAACATGGTAAAACATGATAAAACGCTATACCCCCAACTTGCCAACATCAACATCCGCCACGGCCTCGCCATGCTCCCCGTGTCCATCACAAGCGATGCCTTGGAATGCTAAGCCGCTGAAGACCGTGTTTCACCGTGTTTTACCGGGCCGATCCCCATGGCCATTGGGTCTCAAGCAAAGGATCCAGCCACACTGGAGGGTCGTGAAGGAATAGGCGTCCTGCCGTTGACAGGCTCTGGACCAGGACAAGTCTGAGTCTCGGGTTGTGGTGTCTTCTGCTGAGACATTGGATCTGATCTTTTATCATGTTTTATATCATATTTTCTCATGTTTTATCATATTTTTATCATGTTTTATCATATTTTATCATGTCTTATCATATTTTATCATATCTTGTCCCTGTAAATCTACAAGTTTTGAACAGTTTCTGAATTATGACCGAAGTTGCTGCGACTTGTCGCGACAATCGCTGCGGCCATGCCATCCCTCCTGATTTGGGACACCGCTGGACTTCAATCCTTGTTCCCATGAGCTGAGCAGAGTGAACTGCAACCCTGAGCTGTGCCTTCGTGCCTTACTGAAAAACTTGGTAAGACTAGGAAAGATAGATTTAGTATGATTTAGTGCAGAAGTTCGAATGGGATTCACAAGCTTCTCTTTTTAAATGAAACATTTGAAACTCACTTGACACATTGTGACTTCATTTAGAATCATCTCACTGGACCTAGGATCCCCTGAGTTTGCAACCGCTAGTGGAGATGAAGTGTGCCTCACAAAATCGCGTCGCCGCTGGTGCCACAGCCACAGCCCATGTTCCAGTCCACGGCTGAGCTTCAAACAGACCAACCATCTGGTGATTCAACTCCTTTCCCTCAGTCGTTTCGAAACCATCCGCAGGGCAGTTGTGAGAAACCACCAGGAGAGGTACCAGCTAAGTTGGCCAAGTATTGCTAAGTCGATCAGTAATCAATAAGGTTAGTTGGACAAGTATTGATCATTGTTGATAACTATGAGAGTCCTTCAAGCCTTCACTTTATCTCCCCCCAAAAGCGATTTGTCTCTTGTGCTTCCCAGCCGAAGTGTCTCACGGTCGACACCGTGTAGGGTTCCATGCAGGCCCTAGCAAGGAATACCCATAGAGAATCTTTGGAAAAGATGTTCCAAAGGTCTACTGGTTACCCTCTGGTAATTAAACATAGCTATTGAAAATCACAATTTTTAATGGGAAAACTCACTATAAATGGCCATTTTCAATAGCTATGTTAGTTTACCAGTGGGTAATAAACACCTCAAAATGGTTTGGACATTAGTAACATACATCAACATGCCAATCACTTCGGGAAGTTGCGAGCTTACATACGGACAAACTTGAATTACAGAGTCCTAGATAAACACGCACCTTCGCTGCACGCCGTTTGAACCCTATTGCAGATTCATAGCAGATTGGACCCATATCATCCCACCTGCTGTAGGCATGGCCCCGCACGTCATTGGCCCAGACTTCCAAATCCTCTGTGGACGACACATAACCAGAGACTGGCATGAGATGCAGGTGAACCCTGCATCATCTGCATCTGCCAAGAGAGTAATTGTCCAATCTCATCTGTAGTGGAAGATCCAACTGTTGGTAGTGGACAGTTCCAACTATTGGTAGTGAACATCCAGGTGAACCCTGCATTCCAACTAGGCTGATCTTCTCTGAAGTGGAAGTTCCAACTATTGGTGACCAACATCAGTAATCCACGGATATCGAGGGTCCTTGTTGCTGACCCGAAGTGGCTGTTGCCCTGGCACAAACACAACTCAAAGTGGCCATGCAAACAGCTAGGCTGACGGCATTTCGACTTTAGACCCTCTCGAAATTGCTGGAAACCATTTATTTTACACTTCAATGATCTTCAATTTGCACTATGTGTAATCTCAAGAGAGAGCCTACTGTGATTGTCAGTGTTTCAAAGTGTTCGTAGTGTATCAAACAGAATATGCGATATCTTGATATCACACTTCTGTTCGGTGATGTGACCTACAAAGGCGCTCTTCTACGTTTGAAAGTACAAATAAAAACAAAATCCAGAGTTTGGGTTCATTCCGGAAAACAAATGTCCCACAACACTCAGGGAGAAAGGCAAGACGACACGGATTCCAAACCGGTCACAGTTGCAAACCTGCGCTTCTTGCAACTGTCTGCCATTGGATTGTTCAGAAATGCAATAAACCCCAATTAATAGCAATTCATGGTTATTTCATATAATGGGACATTCATGGCTATTCAAGAATATTGAAGACCCATCTGCAGCACCGCATCCCCAACAAGTCCTTCCATGCGACGGCCTTCCGAGGAAAAACTCCGGCAACCCGACCGATGACCTTTTCGTTGGAGCCACAGCTTCAGTGGTTGCTGTTCAACCGGAACGTCATGCGAAATCAGGAGATGTCTGCAGCTTATATACGATGCGTATCTGCATATGTGTGTATAGATATATATATAATTATATATATATATATATATATATTCTTTCTACATATATACATATGTATGTATATGATTGTATATGTATGTACGTAAAATCCATACTTGCATCTTTACAGATTGAAATATATTACCTTACATTGCTGAAGTACACCTAGCCATCTTCAGCATCCTTAGGTATTCTCCGGCCACATCAACCGGTCACACCTTGGCAGCCAAGGTGCGCGTGCCAAAGGTGGTGTGATCCTGGTGGTTTAACCTCCAGCACACTACCTGGCTGTGCTGGTGGAGTCAAGTTCTGGGCATTTTTTTTGGTGGATATGGCAGACATAACATGACACTTCCCACATAAAAATGGTATAAAATGGTTACTTCCCTCAATTTTCCGAAAAGTACAGAGGTCCCTATTTTTGTCAATCACAATGAAAAAAAAACCACCTGAGCGCGCGCAGCATGGCGGGCCCAATGTACACCTGGCTGCTGGACATGGATGGACATGGGATATCAACGGGATATGTGTATGTAAAATATAAATGCGTATATATATATAAGTTTGTCACTCGCTCACTTTTGCCTGCTGGGCACAATCTCACACGGTTGGCATCCACTGAAAGCTGCAAGGCCCATTGAGGCCAGGATCCAACTATAAACTGAGTGCCGGCACAAAGGAAATTGGAAAAGAGAATCGGCTATTGACAGCTGATTCCAGGGCTGGGAAAGCGGAGCCAGGGTGGGCCCCAAGAAGCTACGAGCAAAGATACACTCATGAAAAACTTAAAGGACTCAAGTTTGTCACTCGCTCACTTTTGCCTGCTGGGCACAATCTCACACGGTTGGCATCCACTGAAAGCTGCAAGGCCCATTGAGGCCAGGATCCAACTATAAACTGAGTGCCGGCACAAAGGAAATTGGAAAAGAGAATCGGCTATTGACAGCTGATTCCAAATCTGTTCAACGTGGATGGCCATAGGTCAGCCTAAAGCCGAAACAAGCAAGAAAGAAGATGCTTCGCTGAGTAAGAGGACCAAATCTCGGCGATCTTGGCTAAGGTCAGTCAAAAGAACTTGCCCCATCACATCCTGAAGATAGTGCTCCAGAGTGCGGCGGGACTGCCATCGCCCACGCCAAAGAAGTTTGCTAACATCCTCGGTGTAGTGGAAAAGCCAGGAAGCTCCACTGCCTCGCAAACTCTTTGGAGTCACTCCTCGATGCTTCTCGGAAGTGGGGACTCCAAGCTCACTGAACAAGCGATTCCAGCGAATGCGAAAAGAGCCTTGACTGGCTCCAAACAGAGGTGTGTCCTTGGGCAATCCACCGAAGACGAAGTCCAGAAACCTGACTGTGACTGCGTCTGAAATTCGAGCATGTTGTCTGAGCATGAATCGACTCGTCTTCGAATGCAGAATCTGCACATAACACACTGGATCCTGTGACAAAACATCACGAGGGAGAACAAGATGGCGGCGCCGCAACGGTAATATCTCAGAAGGCCTCAACAGCCCATGAAAGCCGAGCAGCAGAGCACATGCAAACCTCTCCCATTGCCAGAGGAGCGCCAAAGCCACAGCAGCTTGGAAAATCGAAGCTGGCATCACCATCGCACGTTCAGTGGGTTCAGCTTCTTCCCATTTTCTAAGAGTATTCCAGGCTGAGGCAACTAACCCTCTATAGTGAGGAAAACGGTCAATGACAGCATTTATAGTTTCGGCAAACATGTACTTTGGGGCACCAGTGTAAAACAAGTGCTTACCAAAAGCCATCAAAGCAGTGCTCATCTGTTGAGGGGGAAAATTTTCCTCATCAAGTTTCAGATTTAGCTCCCGCTGAATCCAGCTGGTAAAGTCTTCAAAACATTTCAGCCTTCTCTGGTTTGTGCCCGGGTGCCTGAATGCCGTTGGGTCTAACGACAAGGCGGAACGAGCTTGACTGAGATCGCGGCGATTTCGAGGCATGCACTTCACTGATTGCAAGAAGCCAGGATCGCCAAACGAATGAGTCGAGCAAACCCGTTCCAAGGCCAGACAAATTTATCTGCTGCAACCACTTGATCGAACAACTGATGTTGCCCCTGCAGTAGCAAGCGAAGCCATGGGGGAAGAGGTTCTGAAGGCTTTCGAAGTGCAACAAATCTCGAAATGTCATCTGAAAAGTTGTCAGAAGACCCGATGTGAAGAAGAAAAGGATAAAGGTCACCACCAACAATGTAAGGCAAAGCTGAACTGAGATAGAAGTTGAGCTGTTTGCTGCTTGACCTACCCTTTGCATTGCACCCAATTACGACTCGAGAATCGAGCAGAGCACAAAAACGAGAGTGAGGAGTGGTTTTGCTTACATGCTTCAACAAAGATCGATAGGACAGCTGTTCATTGACATTGATGTGGTTTGACTGCTTGAAAGAAAACTGAATCACTTTCTTCCAGGGGAGACTTCGTCCCAATTGCCCAATCCAGTTTGGAGGACTGCTGAACGGCCTAAGGTATGAAGGTTCCCGAACTCTGTCTTCTGAACCTAGTTGACGACAATTAAGGTTTGCTACATAGTCGCATAAAGGGATGGGGTACCCAGCCGAAAATTTCGCCACAGGTTCACCAGATAGAGGATCCCGGCCAAAGACATTTTTAGCAGAGGGACGGCAAAGCCTCTTGAACTGTGCCAGCCGCTGGTGATCAAAAGTGCCACGAACTCTAAAGTGGGCCCCTGCTGCACCGCAATGACACTGATCTGATAACTCTTTCAACAAAGGGTTGTTGGCAAGCCACCAGCTCATCTTTTGAAACGGTGTACCCCAATTGCAAAACGGAAACCGAATAGAAAAGAAACCAGCTTGTTGAAGGCGCACAAAAATGTCAAGTCGAAACATCACTGAGCCACCGGGTTGTTCACCAGAAACCAGAAGGTCGTAATAAAGGCAAAGGAATAAAATGAAACCACCCCGCATAGCAAATTTGTTTCCCAAGTGAGTATCATCTTGGTCTGGATCAAAACCAAAAGGGATCAGTTTGGATCGCAAACGTGGCCTGCGCAAGGTTCCGAAAGTGGTGCACACAGGAGCAATGTGCCAAACACGGACAACACGCCTGGCAATCAAACCCACTATTGCAAGAGCAGTGGAAGGCTCCAACACGTCTCCTTGAGGCCCATCTGCTATCTCGAACCCTGGGTGAACTGACAGACCAACAGCTTTGTGGGAGTTGCTGAGATTGCCAGTTCCACGAAATACTTCACAAAAATCCCAGAGGAAACCTTCTTGCATGCTGCGAGGGGGACCCAAACATTTATTCTCATCATCATCAACAATACCACCTTCTAGCCGAGCAGTGTACTGACCCAAAGTAGAAGAGTCTACTCTAGTGTAGAATCCTTTCTGTTCCGCAACCCTGCTAAGTTCCAATGTGCCTCGTTCAGTGAATGGAGCCACACAAACGCCGCCGCCAGCTAACGAGGCATCGGAGCAATAGATGCGATCCAATGGAACCGCTCGCAAGTTGGTACCAGCAAAAGGGGACCAAAGTGATACCAGCAAAAGTTCTTGTTTGGCACCAGTTGAAAGTTGGAAAACTTCATGTCGATTCTTGCAACACTCACCCTCATGAAAAACGTCATTGAAAAGAGAGAGTAATGGCCGCCGAAAAAGCAACACAAAAATCCAGGAACCAATGATAGTTTCCAACAAATGTTTGGTCGCCCAACCCAAGGTCACCAGCTTGAGAGTAAGTTTGCTAAGTGCCAAAATCCGGAGTCTCGGGGCGTTCAAAGTGCCGCGACGCCCATCGATCTCCCCACCCAGCACTGTAGCGCAGCTCTGATTGCGAACTGCCTTCTTGCTGGAGGTCCTCAGACCAGCTCGCTCGTATGCTGCTCCTGCTTTTTCTAAAAGCAACAAATCACCACGATAACATTCTTTTGAATCAGGGGGCATACCACGAGGAATCTTTTGGAGGATACCCAAATCATCAATACAGAGGAGCAGCAAAGTGGGTCCACGCGGCAAAGGCTTCCTGTACGCCACTTGCAAATCAGGTGAAAGGACGCCGGCTCGTCGCAAAAGATTGCTATGGGCATGTTGAGCCACTTCTACTGCGAAAGAGGTGCCCATCGCCAAAGTGCGAAAACAGCCAACAACTTCCTTGCCTTTGAGTTTGGGATCCCATGCATGCCACCCTTCGAAAATGTCACCAGGAAAAACACCATGAATGTGATTGCGCTGTGCATGTAAAGGCGAAACAACAAAGTTGTGATAGAAATCTTCCAGGTCATCAGCACCTATAACAAGGTCCTCGTCGTAAGCAAGATAAACACCAGTGAGAAGACTACCATGAGCAAGTGTTAAAGTAGAAGCGTTCATCACCATACTTCTGCCGTTCTCAGGAATAGGATTCAGAATTTGCCTATCTTTTTCCTGACTTTTGTAAACTGCAAATAACCCACATCTGTAGCGGAGTTCAGAGTTAGCAGCCGGGATCAAGGCTAGGCAATGATGGGCATCCCACTTCTTGAAGAGCTTCAGCAAGTTCTCACGATCGCACATCACACGAGCTCTTTTTGTTGAGGGCCAATGTTGTTGAGGGGTACGCAAATGAACAGGATTCATGAAACCAGCTTTCAACAAGGGGTCACAAATGAAACTCTCGGCTTTAAAACTGGGAACACTCTTAAACTGTATTCGATCCGGATCGAGGCTCAAAGCTGTGCTGTCGTGCTGCGAACGAAGCAAAACTGGAGGCTGGTCCAAAACTGCCTCAGGCGAACCACTGTGAGAGGCCACAGACTCGTCCGATGCATCAACAGTGGCTGCATCTGCTGAACACGGCCGTGAGGCGCGGCTGTAGCTATCGAGCTCATGCCGAAGGTGTTCAGTAGCTTCTGCAAGATGAAACAAAGAGTCATGGAGGTTATTATACTTCCCCAAAGCTCTGTCTAAACCGCTACTGTACCCTGAAGCCAGGCGGTAAAACAGCCTAATGGAACCTTCCAAGTCATTCAACATACGACTTTGGGATGAAGAATGAGGCGGCCATGAAGTGGTCAGTTTCTTGGGTTTACCACAAACGAGCCAGTTGCAAGAAGCTACAAACAAACGAAGGTGCTCCCTGACATGAACTCGCAACTGATATCTACTTCGGCGCCTACTTCTCAAGGGTCCTCTGGGGCGAGCTAAGCTCGGAGGAACTTGGCATGGCCACAGCTGCTTTGAAGAACACTGGGTGCTCGTCATCATATGCAGAAAAAGAGCTTGCTTGCAAAAATTGCCAAGCGGAGTAAAAGAAGAATAAAAACTTCTGAACAAATCATTTCCGAGAGAAGCTGAAGAAATAAACTCAGGCAAGCCAGGGTCCATCGCAGCAGCGTGGTCACAGCCTTCACTGTGACCCTCAGGGAAACAAAATTTTGAAGAAGGAGTCATCCTTCCTCGGGCCCAACTTCTTGAGGCTTCTTTGCCTTGGGCTTCCACTTTGCCTTTGGCTTTGGAGTGGCGGTGGTGCCGTCTGCAGCCTCGCTGGGACGCGGAACTGCTGATCGACCGTACTTCCCGGACCTCTCCTGGATGCTGTCCACGTCCTTCAGGAACTGCAGCTGGGTGGTGACCCACTTTGGATCGGCTAGCGCTCCATGAGCTAGGTCGGACCGAGCTGCCTTGTGTAGCTCCGTCTGAGCAAAGGGAGGGTCCTCCAGTCCAGTCAACAAATGAGCTAACCTGAGGCTGCCTCCGTCGAACGCCGCCTGTTCCACAAAGACGGCCAACAAGAGGCACAACATCTGCAGCCGCTCTGTCTGGTTCCTTTGGATCGCCTCGAACATGCTGGCCGATATGAAGGCAACATGAGTCAGAGTTTTGTGAGATCCCAGGGGCACAGATTCTTGGAAATGATACCATAGGTCTCTTGGCTCGAGCTCCGAGCTTGATGCCTTCCGGCGGGCAGTCGCCAGACGATCGTAGATCAGCGCCACCACACGCTGAGGGTGTCGCCTGAAGGAATCCTGCAACATCTGTCTGGCTGCAATCCCCTTCACTCCAGAACCCTTGGGCTGGTCTGCATCGTCGGCTGACGGTGCACTCAACAGAGCTAATGGATCGTTCTGGCGCGCCTGCGCTTGCACCAAGTGACTCAATAGCCGTTGTTGCGAAGCCAACAACTTCTCCAGAGTGCTCGCTGCAGGGTCGGCTGACAAAGGCTGACCGTCTAGATCTTCCGGATCTTCTTCCTCGATAGTGCCACCAAGAGGGTCGGTGCCCACAGGGAGAGGAGCACGGCCCGTGCCACCCAGATCCCCTAGTTTGGCTGGTCCTCGAGCGGCCAGCTGTCGCAAGGTCTCCTTCTTGTCTTCGGTGAGTCCTTGAGGAGCACCGCTGAAAAGCTGGGGGCTGTCCCTCCATCCACCGAGGCCGGCAGCTCCAGGTTGCTTCTTTTCCAACACAGACAAGCGGTTTCCTAGCTGAGCAAACTGCCCTTGCATGCCAGTGACTAGGTCCTGGGTGGCTGAACTCTGAGTGAGCAGCTGGTGCAGCATATCCTGCATTGGGTCCACGCCATTGGCTGCGCCTGGACGACCTGCTACGTCTGCTCCATCTAGGCCAGGAACCTCGGCCTCCTCTGCAGTGAAGTAGGGCTCCAAACGAGCATCGCCTGAGCTCACAAACTGCCGATACAGCTCGAGAAGAGAAGGAATGTGAGGCCAATCTGGTTGACCTCGATAGCGGCCAAAATCCTTGCAGGCTGCAGCATCGGTTCCGGGAGGCAAAGCGCTGATCACGCCATCGAAACCAGCTGCATCCAAGTCGAACAGCACGATGTCCAAGTTTCGACGGGACAAACCACCCGCAGGAGTGGCAGCTCGAACTGTCAGCTCGGAGAAAGGCCCGATGACCCCAGCATACTCTGCTGCGATGCCACTTCGAGGTATGCACAAAACTGCACCGCTGTCCACTTTTCTCACAACCAAGCAGTGACATATCTCTGAACTATGCTGGAAGAAAAGATGCGAAGGGCTGGTAGACTCCTCCGCAGTGACCGTGCCCTCGGGCAAGGTCATGGCAAAGTTTCTGGGAGATCTCTGAGGCCTGCACCCAAGCAGAAGGCACGAGCCTCGGCTTGGCTAGCAAACCCGTGGGAAATAGCTTGATGATCAAAATCTCCTGGTGGAGGGCGCACGGCAGTCTGATGGGTCCCCAAGGTCCAAGTGAAAAATGGAACTTGATGATGCCGAGCACGCAGCACAACGTAGCAGCGATTCCGAAGGGTACAGCGAGAGCCTGAAAAATTGAAGACCTCACCACGGTAGATCTGAGCTGCCTGTCGACCACGGCCGTAGGCAAGCTTGATGCGTTCAATGCCAGAAAGTCCTCCGCCTTCACGAAGCTGAGAAGCCAGTGCCAAAACTTGGGGCCCTGGAAGTACTGGAGTGACGGATTCCCACCAGTTTGCAGCAGCAGTGTAGCCCGAAGCGGAGCTGGATGCAGGAATCAGAGAAAAACTCAATGTGTCAGTCCCGATTTCAGTGCCCGGCGAAGCTTCGTCCGCAGGCGTTGAACTAGGGTCAACCCGAACAAGGATATGATGGTTCCCTTGCTCGGAATGAGTCTCAACAGTCACACCAACCAGACCCTCAAGAACACTTGTCACAAGTTCAAGAACCCGAGCAAGTGTGGGCATACAAAATCACTTGCGATACCTTTCTAACCTATCACTCTTTGGGGGATCAACCACGGTCTCCTGCAAGGAAAAGTAGATCACCCTCAGAATGCAGCGCCTGAGCTGAGGGCTCAAGCAAATGGCCGTGAAGAAGGCTCCAGTGACACAGCCGAATGCCCAGCCCAAAAGCAGCAAGAGAATGGTGTCGCTGCTGCGCGAAGGACAGAAGAGGCTCTGAATGGCAAAAGGAGCAAAGGCTAGACGCTCCCACCACATGAACTATTTGACCCCAAGAAGCTACGAGCAAAGATACACTCATGAAAAACTTAAAGGACTCATATAAATACTATACACACATAGACATATCGTATCATATTATATGAATACAATTGAATACAACATAATACAACTAACATATGCTGTGGATTTATGAATCAACTGAATCAACTGATATAAATTGCTGGTTTCAACTCATCCCAAGACGCAGGATGTTTGAAACCACCAGGTGGCGGGTGCGGAGCAAAACTGAAGCCTTGAAACAACATGAAACAACTAGCTTAGTTTCTACCCAAACTTGAACCATCCACACATATCCACAGAGTTTGCCAGGAATGTCGCTATTCATTTGTAACAACTCCATTTTTGATGATTAAAACCAGATCTTCTCACCGTTTTTGTTGCTTTAATCCCTCATGACATCCCCAAAATTTCCTAGGCGTTTCCCCCCAAACCAGTTGACAAGTCGAGGGTTTGGCCTGCGCGGCAAACTGGGCGCTGCAACCCTGGGCGGAGCGGGCAAAGCGGGCATTCCATCACCAACCTTCCAACCTACGAAACCAAACTGCGAGGGATGTTCGTAATTGTTCGTATAGCAGGGTGTAACAGTTCTTGTTTATGAAAAACACACCAGAAGCATCTAGAAACCATGCTTTAGTAAAGTTTGGTATTGGATCTCATTTGGGGCCCAGTCATGGTGATCCCATGGTGTCGAACAGCCAGCCACGACGATCCCCCCGGGCGCACGTTGCATGGATCAGCATGGACGATGGGTTCGCGCCATCGGCGGTTCGGGCGATGAAAATTCTGACCCGTTTCTGGTGCTGTCGCTGTCCCAACTTCCAAAGGGGTTGGATGAACGAGGGAAGTGAAGCCATGAAGAGCCAATAACAAAATGACACATAGGGAAAGTCATGGAAAGTCCGGTTTTCCACTTGGAAACATCGTTGACTTTTTGGAAACAGAAAACATGTTCAGCATTGCTGGTCCAAGAACCTCCTGGTGATCGGGAGCAAAAAGACTGGTTGTTGTCTCACTTGGAGCCGTGTCTACAAAGCCTTGTACTAGAAGGTCAGGCCTCAGGAAAGTTGAAGAAAAGTTTGAACAAGTGACTCCAGCTTCTTGATTCACAAACTGATTCTCGACGGTACTGCTCTGAGCCAGTGGTTGCAGGAACAAACTGCACTTCGCCAGCCATTCAACACGTGAAGATTAAATTATTGTAAATTTACAAAGACTTGGAGCGGACCAACTATGCTTCCAATATATAAACCATTTGGACGGTTGAAAAGGATCTATATATATACACATATTACATATCAACATCTAGGGTGCTTGGCTGCACAGGGGGGGAAGTATGACTTGCCGAACGAATTAAGTTATTGCTTCATCACCATCCTTTGAAATGGACGGCTTGGCGAAAATGATTTGGTCACCTTTCCTGGAAGATGTTTGCAGGACATGTCCGCAATCAAACCATGCAGGCACTTTTATTGCCAGCACGAAGCTGTCTGTCATTCTCCCCTTGAGGGAAAAGTGCGGAGGCTAAGCAAGAAGGTCATGGAGTGCGCTTTGCCTCTCCTATCTTCTATTTCCTGCTTCACCCGCCAACGTGACTGTGGCGTAGCTTTAGTGCGTGACTGTCCTTGTTAGTTTAACAGAAAAAAAAACATACAGTGCATTCAAATGCGTGATAGCAACCCACACCAATCTTGAGAAACGATTTGCAGGTGCCCTTGGGACTGCGTGACTGGCAGCTAAAAAGTGCAAAGATCCAATCCATATTCCTTCATGCGATTGCGAACTTCTGCAATTCTTATCAGTTTCAAAAGCAACAAACTCCCGAGTATCTCCCGGGTATCTCCCATAGGAGAGAAACGCATTGCTCGTGAGGCTTAGCTACTACGTGAATCAGGAAACGCCTTTAGCATCTCCCTCAGAGTTCACGTGCAAACAGTCGGTGCCTCATCGAAAAAAAACATACTTTTGACGACTGCATTTGCAAAACATGCTTTCCAGCTATAACATGCGTTCCATTTCTTCTTTTCTTTGTGTCTGACTCACTCTCTCTCTCTCTCTGATCTCTCTGGAAATCCACCATTTGGGCCGTCTGATGTGGCGAACATTTTGCGTCTGTTGTGGCTGGAACCAACATTTGCCATGCGCTATCTTGGGAGTCCTTCTTGAACGGGGTCGTGACGCTTGGGGACCAGTACTAAGATGTGACGATTTCTTAGATTTGACATCAAATCCCTGTTTCCAACACGCGGCCAGAGTACTTGGAAACCACAAATTGCCCAGATCCATATATAGCACATTTTCCTAACCCTCCACACTTTTCATCTACATTTATTTTTTGACGGCACCGTGGTGACCGGGTGCAAGCACCAGCACCAAACTCTGGTAATCTCTGGTCCTGAGATTTTCAATTAGCGAGGCATCAGTGGCATAGCAGCATAGTGACAAGCACCTGAAGTCATGGCTGATCTGAGGCATGGGCAGGTCATCAGATCATCGAAGCAGCTGGAAGACAATGGATTGATCGACATATACCCAAGGAAATCTATGTCTTTAACATATATATATACATATTATAAGGTATATGTATTGTAGTGAAATATCAGTGTTTTCATACACCCATACATGTTCCCGGTTCCCGCTTCGGTGGCCCTTCCAATGGTATGGTATCCCCCTTCCCCCCTAAAATCTACCATTTGCATGCTATTTGCAGCATTTCAGAGCCACAACCTTCGACTTGCACCCTAATTGCAGCATTTGAAAGCCATATGTATATACACCTCATGTATCTCATGTGTCGTACGACAATTGTGTGTGTATATATATATATATATATATACAAATAACTTGTATATTTCATGCATATTCCATAAATAATACATACAAACTACCTCTAGTCTGTCTATCTATATCTATGAATATGTATAAGCCACCCAGTTACTACTCATCTGGCACTAGGTTATTATGTTGTTCATCCATTGTTTATTCCTTGTATATACTTCCTATTCAACCTCCTCCCCACCCACCCACTCCACAGGCGGGGGGAACCATGACACCGTCACACCCCCCATACCACAGGAGGGAGCGGGGGTATCATGACCATGGGGAAAGGAGGGGGACCTGCAGCCTGAAACATATATAGCCTGTATATGAAGGTTTCCTAAAATAGGGGGGTACCCCTCAATCATCAATTTTAAGAGGATTTTCCACTATAAACTATAAAAATTTTCCATTTTGGGGATCCCCCATTTATGGAAACCTCCATATCAATCTCTCACGGGAACCTGGCCTCATTCAAGGAACGGAGCATGTGGAGCACGTGAATGTGACGCGTCGGGATCCTTCGTCTGGTACTCTGAAAAAACCGACTCCGGGATGCAGCCTCAGTGGGTGTGGGTAACAGTGGGTAACGGGAGTCCCACATGGACCACATGAGAATCATGGTAGATTTAACAAGACAAAAGGGGTAGAAAAAAATCATGGTTTATCACATAAGATCTAATAACATCCTATCCAATCTATCCAATCACCCAGGGTCAACTGGTCATTGCTCAACGGAACAAGTGAGGTCACTGTTTACCATCCCCAGGTCATTATGGGTGCTATGTTAACCATTGGTAACCATCCCCATGTCCCCATGGCAGTGGCAGATCGTCGCAAGTAGCTGATGCGACAAATCTCATTGATGTCGAGGCCTGCCGCATTCCTCGCCGTCATGTCAGCTCCGGCACGCGACAGAGTCTCCACCACCTGTCAGCGATGGATAGCGATGGGCCGAATCTGGGCACACCAATAAAGGGACTCTATTGAAGTCAGAAAACAACATACTTGCGAGGTACCACTTCTCAACCTACCCAGTATTTGACCACTTTGATTGGCCAATAGATCCAAACCGTTTGTAACAGCAATGCTGATGCCAGTTGCTAGTCCTCCTAAACCCGACTAATTCTACACATATTCATACTTGTTCTACACTTACCCTACTTGAAATTGTTCAGTCTACACCCAAAAACACAAACTTTTGTCTCTTACAAGGGTTTCTATACCATGTTATCTCACCATGTTCCACTCTTGGTCATGCAAAAAAAATCGCAATCACTATAACTATAACCATTGGACATATCCCTTGTATCCTATTCTATCCCACTTAATCCCACCCCCTAATAGTAAACACACCGCCAGAAAGCATGGTAGAAAGTAGGGGATAGGAAACCACCAATAGGGGACCATTTATACAGGGGGCATTTCAAATGACATTAGGATGGGATTATCAATTTTCGAACTATTAACCGCTATTGTTCAGCATTGCAGTATCAATGGATATTTACCATTATTAATCATACATTAATCATATTTTTCGCTCAATCCCACCTGTTAATACTGGTTAATAGTGGCTAATATGTCCATTAATAACTGATATATAAGTATTGGCCATTTGTGATGGATATTTATTAACATATATTCAAATATATTAACCATTATCAACATTTGTTTTTTTCCATAGTATTAACATTAGTACTTTTCATATGATTATTCCTTTTGTTGTCATTACTATTACGATTACTATTCTTGCTGCTATTTGTATTATTTTGTATTATCATTAGTACGTAGTGTTATTGTTACTCGTATTTTATATAATGGCTACATTTACCAGTATGAATGAAGCTACTAATCATTATTAATGGATTATGATTTCACCGTTTTCCGCACCGCCCTGGCGCCTTGGCGTTGCCCAAGGCCGCGGCCGCCAGCACAGGCGTAGAGCCCTGGCCCAGCGAAAAGAGGCGCCGCAGCGTGGTGCTGCGCAGCTGGGCGAAGAGCAGGTAGGGCCCCGCGCGACTCCAACGCTGCATGTGACACACCGTGTTAATGTCAAGGCCTGGATGATGGTTGGTTAACGGGAGGAATCCCGTTCTGGGAGTATGAAAGAATCCACAATAGAAAAGGGGTAGTATCCCCTATAATCATAAAACAAGGGGCAATAAACAATTCCCAATAATTAAACCATCCCCAACATGTTCAAGAAACTGGATATATCCCCACTATGGTTGATCATGGAGGATAGTTTTCATTGGCATCATTCATCAACGATTTTGGTTTAGTATGAAAAACTACCACAAGCCATCAATTATCAATTATCCCCAGATGACATTTTGAGCTTGTTTATATGGATCTAATTACATTTATGGTGTTTCATTTACCAAAGTTTGAAGTGGCTTTCAGCAAGGTAGACCCAGTTAACACCAATAGTTGTCAACTGTATCCCCCATATTCACCATTTTTAGCGGTTAAATCCTATATTTCATGATCAAGAATCCTCATGCAACAACCAACTAACAGGGCATTTTTCCATGTCTCACCCCAAAATTGTGACCATCTTAGTTGATCCCTTGATATACCAATAACACCATCCCACATGGTGGATCTTGTTGGCCAGTAACCCCTTATGACCTTCACCCAACAGCCCCCCGGCCTTCACCCAACAGCCGCTCCAAGGAATTCGCAGAGCTGGTGAGGCCCAAGAAGTGCAACGCACTGAGCCCAGCCCACCGGTAGGACACGTCCGCGCGGGCGTTCAACAAGGGAGACACCTGGAACCCAAAGATGGTGCTGTTACTGCTCCTCCAAGGGCAATTTCCATGGGGAACATGATTGTTTATGAACATTTTTTGCAGGTAGGCTATTTTCAAACAAGCCCAGGTGGGATATTCTGGTGGTTGACTCAAGACAAACAAAGATTTTCAAATGGTCAAACTAGTGAACATTTAAATCCAGGATGGTTGATGCGGACGGATTTATAGCCTGTTTCAAGTTGGTTGCTCAAGTTCAATTCTTCCAAAAAGATCCAAAAAGAAGTTGTCCGTTAAACCAAACCAGCTCTAAGGCACCCAGCACCAAGACCCCAGCCCCATCCGCACCAGTTGTTCTGCATCGTTGGCCAAGGCGAAGGTCAAAGGCCGGCAACCCATGCAATCCTCTGCGTTGGGATCTGCGTCCTGAGCAAATCACGAGATCACCGGGTGCGGCAACTGAGACATGTCATGACCTTAATAATCCTTCGTATCAATATATATATTATATATATATATGTATATCAATATACAGATGGGATCATCCTTTAAATTAAGCTGACGCCCACACATCATGTGGGTTTCATTTACGGGTTTGTGGAAAATTGGGCTGATACCCCAAGTGATGTCGATTTTCACGTAGAAAATTATGATAAACATGTGAAATGAAGGGCCAGTTTCATGGGGTTCAATATCGAAAACACGTGAAATTCATCCAAAGTATGGCAGGTCTTCACAGTCTTTCATGGGAAATGATGATAACCGCAGGAATTTTGGATAAATTTGCTGTGTTTTACCCGCAAATTCCAGACCCTTCGGGGATCCAAGGGGCCATCTCCAAGAGCGTCCGGCAGGCGTTGATGTTGCCCGTTCGACACGCCATCATCAACGGAGTCAAGCCCTCACCTGGGACCCATGGGCATGGCTGGCTTTTCTGGGAGGGTTATGGATGGAATCCCGATTTTAGATACTCTCCGTTTCTGTGGGACTTGAATGATTTACTGTAAGTGGTGCTAAAATGTGCTAAATGCCCAACAAACAACCATCAACCATTCATCTTTGGGGCCCAACAAGCGCTGCCAAGACACTCGCGCGGCGGTCGACCTGAGCTTTGTTCAAGACCAGCAGCCGTGCAATCTCTTCTGTGAAGGAAAAGGCAGCCCACAGATGCAGCGGAGTCAAGCCTCAGGGACCAACAAAATGGAGGCAAGGAATCAAGTCATCTTCTCTTAAGGATGATGATGATGATGATGATGACGACGATGACGATGACGATGACGAGGACGATGACGACGACGACGACCACGACGACGACGACGTCGACGAGGAGGAGGAGGAGGAGGAGGAGGATCAAAATTCTCGGCAGGGAAGCCTAAAGGTATCTCCCCCTCGTTGGAGATCCACGAAGAGACCCCTCTAAATGGTGGAAGTGCTATTTTGGCCGCAGTGCAGGGAAGCGAGGCTGCAACATGCTGCAACCCCATGGACCGGCCCGGCTGTACTGTTTGTCACCCCAAAATGCAACACATAGAAGGGGAACGAGAATCCGCTTGGAGATATTTGCAATTGCAGAAAATTTATGAACATCTTATAGTGCGCCAAGCTTCTGGACCCCAGGAACAGGTCTTTGTCTGCCTGCCTGGCCCATGATGGAACAGAAGGCCATTGAAATCTGGTACCCCTGGTGATTCACCAGTTTGCTGTGGAAAACCATCCTTTTTAGTAGGCAAATCATCAAACTAAAGGGGCCCTTTTCCATAAATATGTAACAAAGTACCAAAGGATATCGCAAAGCACGGGAGTCTCTGATTCTGCTCGGTTCTCTATTCAGTCTTACATGCAATCCACTCAGGAGATAAGGGAACACATATTGATCATATTGGATAAACAAATCCTTCAAAGCGCCTCTGAACATGTCCGTCTGGGAAAAATACACGCTGACTCGATATGGGTGAAGTTTTGAGTGGTCAAATTGAAGCAGCTCACGATACCCACACTTAAACCCGTACTCTTATAGGTTTTTTCCGGCATTTCCCAAGAATGGGGGACCAAAAGGACACTCAACAATTGGTAATTTCTAGATCTTTGCCCATCCATCCCATCCGAATTTTGGGGGTGTTGAACCATAACCTGGGCGTATCTCAAACAGATCAAAATTATGTTGCTTTGTGGCCTTTGTGATCATTCATTATGACCAAAATTTCTGGCCTTTGCAAGTTTTGGGGAAATTTGTTGTTTCATCGCAATGAATTTCTCGTTGACACTGCCAGTTGGAGGTTAAAAAAAACCAATGTTTAGACACATCCAAATCATCAATTCTTGGTGGTATATCCCATTGTATCCCGAAACATCTTTCCGTTATGGAAGTTTAATGTTGGTCATATCATCCATAATTATCATAATTCAGGATGTCCAGCCGAGTACAGTAACTCCCCCAAAAAATAGAACACATATCTATCACGGTTTTGGTAGGTGTTTTCTTCCTTTTTTTACTAACCATTGACCAACATCATTTATTCATTACAAAATATAATATATATATATATGATATAAATATGTCACCACATCTTTGATGGTTAAAACCAACCTGCCCTCTGGTCATTCAACAGAGCTACGGCGGCCATGATGTAGTTCGATGATTTCCCTATGATTTTAATGGTGATTGTCCAACTTCCATCTTTCTTTGGAGGTTATTGTCCAACGTCCTCGGCTCCGGCCTGGTCTGCGCCTCCACTTGTTCGCAGATGCCCAGAAGCCGGGTGACGGCTTCTTTGTCGCTGCGCGCGGCTGCATAGTGCAACCTGGGCTGTCGTCCGCTTCCCATCAAAAATCCCATGGAACTTTACCCTCTGCAACGATGGAACATCACAATTTTAAAGGGGTAAATAAATTATTTCTATGGCCATGGATACAATAGCAAACTCTTAGTTTACCAGAGGGTAGATTCTCTTATGCTATTTCCCAACAGCAGAGGAACACGAGTCGGAACATCCAATCAACTCCACACGGTGTTCTGCAACTTTCGACCTCTGAGAATCATCAGGGTCTCTCCTTCAGTGACACTTGCGTTGCTCAGAAAATCGGGCACCTCATTTTCCCCATTAAGAGCACAATTTTGGGGCTGCACCCCATCTTCAGACAAACCCAAATCTCATATTGTTGGTGATGTATCCTAGTATATCCCATAACATATTCCCATTTCTTGTGGATGATATAATATAATTATGTATGTAGTTATATATATATATATTTATGTATATATATATACATATGTATATTATCATATTCAATCATTATCAATCTATATCATCCTACATCCCCACATAGGTTGGTTATATTACCATATAACAACACGCACCAGAACTGGCACCAAGGCACTGAGTCCACCCTTTGTAGGTCACGCACAGCTTGCGGCTCGCCATATAGGCCAGGCTCCCTGTTCTGCTCAGACGCTTGAAGAGCGTCCTGAAATCATGGCTGGTTCACTTGGTGCATCCCAGGAATCACATCCTACCCACCTCACTGGGGCACTGGGGTTATAACCCACTGGAATGAAGCACCAAGTATGTGGTTAATTCTGGGTTTGTCCAAAGATGTTTACTGAAAATCAAGACTTGATTTAGGCCATATATATTTCTTATAACTTTCTGGAGTTTAGGCCTAGCCCATTGAGGAAACCACAAATCTGTCTGCAAAACGGAAGATCCCCAGGATTCCGCTGTCTGTGGGGCTATCCCCATGGTCCCCCGGGACCCCAAGATGATCAGCTGCCAAGCTTCAAGTCACCCGTACGTCTGGTGAGTAGAGCCCTGGGCAACGGCCATGTGAGGCAGGGAGATACCGGAGATACCCTAAAAGTTTCCCTTGGAACCCCAAAAATAGGTTTGAGAGATGAGCTTCCTACATCTTCCTACTGAATGTGCTCCTTTTTGAGCTTCATCGAGTTTCTCACCGCTATTGAAATCTATAAGTTATATGCTCTAGTCCAGGCCATTGCAAGCCTCAAGCACTCCAGCATTTGCAAGCGATGAACTTCCCCACAGGACCGCAAATTTGCTACCTGCAACAGTCGATAGCGGCACCCGAGGCATAGCATGGTGCTCCAAGGATCTCCAGTGAAATCTGCTGAGGAATCCATGCCTGTGCGTTGATCACCTGGTCCAATGCGTCTGAGATGAAGAGCTTGTCCTGGTCCAATGCTCCGACTTCCATGTTTTGCTTACAACAAGACACATGTGTCACAGATCTTGTGTGACAGTTGCACCCGCCCTTAAGCCTCTCCTCATCCTTGGTGAACTCGGCAAGGCATGGCGCGAAGTGCAAAAAAATCCGCGGCGAGACCTTCTTGACCTGGTGGCTTCAAGCAACAAAACCGTTTCAACTCCAGAAACGGGGTCTTTCAACCCCATATTTTTGTGCTTCAAACCCCCAAAATGTGTGCTTCAATCCCCAAAATTATTCACATCGCTTCGCGACGGCAACCGCCCGCACCGCATCGTTGGGCAGCCGCTCGTAACTGCCAAAACATCCGAAAGTACTGATTGTCGGAAAAAAAAACGCGAAGAATTTGATAGCCATGTATAGCGGACCAACGCAGTTCAAAAAATAACGAAAAACATGAAAAAAACGGCGAAATTGCTGTTATTTACAGTGTTTTTGCGCGGTGAGAAGCAGAAACCACTGCAAATACCATGGTAGAAACCACTGCAAATACCATGGTTTTTGAGGGTCAGGTGGCCAAAAACATTATAATTTACAGTGTTTTTTAACCAACGTCAAAAAACACTGGTATTTACGATGTTTTCATTCACACCGTAACATAAAACAGCGTAATTTACGAGGTTTTTGGAAGTTTTGAAGCTAGCCGTCAAGCATGCAGAAAACAGAAAAACACTGTAAAAACCAGTGTTTCTGCTATCACAAAACGACGAAAATCAGTCCGAAAACGGGTCCAAAAATTCAAAAATCCGCCTCCGGGCCCGGCCACCTGCGGAACCGCAAAAAAAGATGTTGCAAACCAAAAAATTGAGGTCAAAAAGTTGAAAAACACGGGTTTTTTTCACTTTTCGCTTGCCGATTTTGGACGGGCGCGTTCACGAACAGGTGTCTTCCGTACTGTTTTTTTACAGTGTTTTTTGAAGGCGAGCGTCACGACCTATCAAAAACAGGAGGTTTTGGCCGAAAAATGCCCCCCCCCCAGGTAAACCTGTAACCTTTTACGAGTGCCATCCGGAAGATCACGCCCCAGCACCTTTGGTGCGGGCGGATTTGTTTCAACCCCATATTCTGTGTTTCAAACCCCCAAATTATTTGTTTTAGCCCAAATTGGTGGTTTCATACCAAGCCATACCAAGCCTAAAATTGGGTTATGGAGATATTCAGCAATCAATCCAACTGCACCCGCAGACAGCACGGTGGTTGCGTGGTGGGGCCACACGGACATATCACGTCATAGCTGGCAAACCTTTGATAGAAAAACATGTCGATTACTTGTGCTAAACGAGATTTAAGAACTCCTTCAGGATTCATCAAGATTTACCCAACACGTCTACAATCGAACATCATCGAAGCAACAACTTACAGGCGAATGACTGAGGCTCCACCAGTAACTCCCATCTCTCTCCCCCGCCAAAGGACTGAGCCAAGCCCCTGGACCATGATCACGGGCGCATGTCCACCCATGAGCACATTCACCGTGAGCTCGAATTGGCACCAGCCTGGCAGGCTTCAACTCTTCAATTTTATGATTAGCAATGGCCAACGTGGATACTACGAGTACCCTGCTTCACCTTGCTTCACGATCAGAAAGGAAACTCTGAAGCGGCTTGATTCTTGCCTCGAGACTTCCAGCTGGTGTAATCCATCAAACGACCAAGCTCATGGTGTTGCGCAGGAGCCAAAATCAAGAAGAAGGAACCTTGGTCCAGGCGAAGTCTGCCTGCAACAAACGGCTCCCAGTGACTAGTTTCCTATAGTTTCCTGCTGCCCAGCAGCTATGTGCCACATAGGTGTGTAAGCTTCGAATCGCATCCCGCAGCTGATTCTCCTGCTCTTCCCTTTCCTCTGCCATTTTGCAGGCGCATCCCTGAGGAATGCACCTGAGCAACGGGAATCATCCATTGGGGATCATTGGGGGTAACGGTCACCACGACATACCACAACTATGGTCGCCCACTTGGACCCGCCAGGGCACATGAAGTCAATCCAAAGCCAACCTCGGAACCAGGGGCGAGTCTGAAGACCCTGGGCTTTCCAGCTGATCACCAGCTAGAGTCCTCCTTCCCACCAACAAGGCCTGAATCACAATCAAACACGAGTTACACATGACATTCCTTTCCAGACTTTGCGCTTCTATTCCCGAGGATCTTTGACATATCCCACCCCCAACTTATCCTGGTTTTGGTTGATTTGGGTGCATGGTATGGGGGCTTGATGATCCCCAACATATCGGGTCCCCCAAATCCACTGCTTCATCATGACATCTTCCCTGCACAAATAGCCATGTAATGGCTAGGTAATTTCCTTATTTTCAGACCAGCCACATGCTGGTATCAACTCATATAATCGCCCCACATTGTTGGTTATTTGTACTCTTACATCCCAGCAAATAAACCCATTACAGTTTATTGAATTATAGCTTGTTCATACAACCCATTCTTTTAAACTCTCCATACAACTTTTATAACTTTATTTCCATCATAAATTGGTGGACTCACCCGTTTTTGATTATCACATCCCAGTTTTCTTGCTTGCAGGTTAAGTCACATGTTCGATGGTTAAACCACCATGTGTTTGATGGACACATCAGCATTTTCCTTCGTTCAATGGTTAAAACCCTTATGAATCCCATTATACAATAATATATATATATATATATACAGTATATATATATATATATATATAATCCCCATTTTTCATGGTAATTCTCCCATTTAATTCCCATTTTCACCTTGAAAATAACTCACTCCCCATGAATTTTCTCGGGCCTTTCGCCATCTCCTGGAGTTCCCAGTAGGCCACGTTCTTCTGAAAGCGTCGCACCAGGGCCACGGGATCCTCGAGTGGAGGATATGGATATGGCTATGGATATATGATGCTAGATCTAATATATTAGGATATTAGCCATTGGAGATATAGTTAGAATATTTGACATTCGACATTTTTTGATATACAGAGTTTTCAATATTCGAGCTGGTATTTTAGACTACCTCCGGGAAGGTTATTCTTGGCCCGCCGGGCCATTTAAACATACGGAATCCAATTTGTTTACACATACATTTACATATCCGGATGGAACTGGTGTTTCATACCTCCGGGGTGTGTCTCGCCCGCCACATATTTTAATGTCGTGACCGTAGAATATGGAGTAATGTCCAAGCAAAATATGGGGATATCTTGCCATGAGATGATGTACAAGCAAAACACGGGGGTGTGACTTGACACTATATCCCCCAACATTGGATGGCTCAGTGCTCTGGTGGCACTCAAATGCTGCTGGAGAGATTTCCCAACTTGGAATCACATATATACTCTTCATTACTCTTGCCATCTCTTGTCATACCCACTACGGTATGGCCATTTGAAGGCAATCTCCATTGAAAAGTTCTGATTTCAGTGCGCTTTGTGGGGCGCTGCTATAGCCATGCCTTTTCGGATGTGAATCTATTCAATGTGTCATGTGCATTCCAGAAAGGCCAATTCAAAAAGGAACAGAACATTTTCTCCATACAGTCTCTTCTGTCCTCTGGTCAGACATGACATAATGGGTTGTGATAATCCCACACAATCCAATATATTGGGAGTACAAGGTACAAACACCTACAGTATGACTAGAATCATCAACCGAAGCCGCTCAACTGGGTACTTTCCGCCGAGGCGCATATATCAGCTTCAGAGACTGCTCGCGAAAGCCGCGCAGAGCCTGCCACTCTTCAGATGTTTTCAGTGATCATCATCCATCATAAGCTCTTACTACAGAACCACTTGATAGTCTGCTACTTCTGAAATTTCGTTCCTATCTGGATTGGCGTGGCCTTTCTGCCACATCATACCACAGTCATACCGGGCAAACAGCTGGCCTTCTGCAAGGCAAGGAGTTGCTTCTTCCTCAGAAACGCTTTGGTGAAGGGAAACTGCTGTAGCTCTTGGCAACAACCCAAGTAAGCCACGTTCCATGCAGGCCGACATTTGTCGTTGAATTAGGAAGGAAAACCTGTTTTGTCTCGCTGATAGAAAGCGCAACTTTTTGACTTTCGGAAGCACAATTTGCACTCAAAAGCACAGCAGTGGAAGCTTCCAGGCACTCATTTTTTTGTCCAAGTATCTTCGGATCCGGATGTTGTAAACCAGACCATTCATGTGATACAAAGGTCACCTGGGCGACATGTGAGACTATGGTCACTGACCTCAGATCCTCAACCCCCACGACAAAATTCAACAGGCTATACTGGAGAAACACACCACAATTTTTCCCACACAATGTTGGCATAAAGGTCACCCCATTCCACTGTTTTTTTTTTTATCATGTTCCTTAGTACCCTCTGGTTATGTCAAAATAGCTATTGAAAATGGCCATAGAAATAGTTGATTTACCCATTAGAAATGGTGATTTTCCATAGCTATGTTAGTTTACAAGAGGGTATAACCACCATTTTCCTATGGTTTTCCTATGATTTTCCCATAAAACCACCGGGGAGATCAATCTTTTATTTGAAAAGGCCGAGTCACCGGATCCAAGTTGGGTTGATAGGCCTGCACGATCCGTTCAGCCAGCAGCTCCTGGTGTGGCCTGCCAGGTATCGGCTGGGTTGCCCCACCGGGATGTAAACAACACAAGACCCAAGCAGAGCCCCTGATTGGTTACCCTCTGGTAATTTAACATAGCTATTGAAAATCACCATTTATAGTGAGTTTTCCCATGAAAAGTGGTGATTTTCCATAGTTATGTTAAATTACCGGAGGGTAATGGGATGTGAATGGAGTATATATCACTAGTGATACTAATGATGTAACTGGTTAAATCCATGTAAAAAATGCAATATGATAATGGGATGGTTGGAGAAAAAAGTGATGCCACATGATGCCACTGTGCTTTTTTGTTCGATCCCATATCGGTATCGGCTGCGCCCAACTGGCCCCAAAATGTCTCACATGGCCAATCCGAGAAGATCGCGGCAAAAGACATCACTTCACAGCTAGTTTGACTAGTTTGTGCTTATATATATATACATACACGATTATACACGTAAATTTTAGATACATATTAGATATTATATATAATGTAATATAAAATACATATTGAATATAATATAATCTCCGTTAATAGCACCACATATTCAACGTACGAAAATCGCCACCATTGACCCAGCGAAGCAGCCTCATTTCGCTGAGATCCAAGAAGTCATCCGTAGAGATGACGTACATCCTGAAAGCGGCTATGGCTGACCTTCAAAATCTGCTGGAAATGATCTGGAATGTCGGTATTTTATGTCATACATTTCTATATCATATTTTATATATATATATAGCTAATCCAATCATATCCAATCTAATCCAGGAGTGGACCAGTACAGAGACGTTATTGCATCCTTTCTTCTTTTTCACGTTTCTTAAGGTTTCATTTAGCACACCGGTGTCCACGGGCGCTGTTCTGGACATCTCGCATGCGTGTAAATTGCGGAACTGCCAGCATGTTTCAACATCAAATCACAGCAACACACACACACACTTTTACCCAGCAAGGACCATATCCAGCAGTAAAATCATTTCGCGACCCCAAAGTCCAGGCTCTGTCGATTCTGCCAACCGAGCATCGGAAACTCCTTGGGTAAGTTGATCCTGTTGTTTGGACTCCGTGCCGATTTGGGAGTCTTCGGAGTCTTCGGTGTCTCATCGGGGGTGTAGTCGTCCTCAGTCCGTCCTTGGACCATGTGGAGATGGGGGAAACCCAATGCCATAAACAATCCCCCAAAAATCACAATTTCAAGTGGTATAAACATGTATAAACCATCCCCAAATGGTGGGTTTATGGCATTGGGTTTCCAACTTTAGCAGATTGGTTCCCCCTTGAAGATTCCGTACATGAATTGTGATGATTCCCAGAAAAAAAAGGATGGTATAAGGTATAATTTAGAACCCCTTAAAATTATCAATCAACATCAATCAACCATCGTTTATCAACCATGTCATACTATATCCCCATATTTTTGATGGTTTAATCACAGCCATGAAATTTCTATATATGATCGTCAGTCAACAGGGGTTTAGCAGCCACTCAAACAAGTTCCTCCAACACAGTGCCGCCAAGCTTCTGAAGCAGCGACAGAACATGATCAAAGCCTCAGATTCGGTGCTTCGAAAACTGGGCCCAGCTACTTCTTTTCGAAAAGCCCAAGTACCCAGCGAAGTGAAAGCATCCAAAGTATGTCCAATGTATAATGTATGTCCAAAATATGTCCAAAGTATGTCCAAAGTATCTCCAATTCATTACATTCCAAAAAGGCAGCCTCCCAAAAATCATGTGCCAAGGAACTCACAGCTGTGCTGATGAGCTGCCATGAGGGACCAGTTGAGACCGACAACGCCAATCTCGTGGGTTTTCGCCGATCTTTGCAGCGTGGCCCCTGGATCCAACGTTGACCCAGCCGCGCTGTGGCGGACGGGCCGAGTTGGTGGGGAAGCTTCGGCTGTCAAACTCTGCTTGGGATGGTGATATCAATGATGGCTGGACACTGCTGGGTAAGATGAAAACACCATGAACATTTCACTTGAAACTAAAATGCACATGACTTTTAGATAACCAGTGGACAGCCATGATTTTTTTGGCCCCCGATTGGAGGCAAGGGGCTACAACTTGGGCTGATGAAGACTGTACAATGTCAGCCCCGTCGCTTGAACCGTGCGGCACAGGGGCAGTTCATCGGATATACCAACCGCATCCAGCCGCAAAGGCACCAATCATATCCAACCATATCGAATCATAGGATAGAACACGCACCAGACCTCGAGATATCTGGAGTATGAGGTCTAAACATATGCCTCGCTTATGCTATCTTATGCTATATATATATGCAAGGCATATATATATTATATATATATCAGATATCACATTCGGAGAAACTTCCTCTCGGCGTCGCGGCTCTTTTCGGTTCCCCGCATCATCTCCCCAGGCTATTTGCCATACCTCGGCTGTGAGACACCAGGTACTTAGAGGTACGAGACAAAAACCTGGAGAGACAACACAGTCAGAACGGAACGAATGCATTGATTTTCGCTTACCCTCTGGTGAACTAACATAGCAATGGAAAATGGCTGTTTATAGTGGATTTTCCCATTAAGAATGGTGATTTTCAATAGCTATGTTAAATTACCAGAGGGTAGTATCTAAAATCATCTGCCATTATCTATGGAGGTTTCCTAAAATGGGGGTACCCCTAAATCATCCGTTTTAATAGGATTTTTCACTGTAAACTATAAACCATTGGCGGTCAGTGACCTGCAACTGCCCTGGTGACTTTGAGGGGCAAAATTCCTATGGCACATGGAAACTGCATACTCAAAGACGCCCAATCTCATACCAAGGAAGGCCAAAACAAATCAAACAGAAGCACATCCAGAGAAGAAAATTGTTGGCACTGTCTATGAACATTTTTGGAACGGAAATATTATCATGGTTTTCGTTGGATATATATTTTCTTTAAAACAACCTTCCACCGCTGTCTTCATTAGATATCAAATCAGGATGCCTTGGGAATATCTCACTTCAGGCCCATCTTGTCAACTTCATCACATATCTCAATCTTAAGACCCACAAATGAACCCATCAGTTCAGTCATTTTCAGTATTGAACCTCCAAGTTTTTGACATTTCTGTGCAGGGTTGAGCATACCCATTCTGGTTGGATTGTCAACCACATTCTATCAAATGAATGAACAAACATGATCAAACATGAGCCACGGGTCACAAACCAAGCTTTATCAAATGGGTATAGGTCAATACCTATAGATACATTTTTAGTGGGATGAACATCCATTTACCAGCTATTTTGGGGTTCACCAGGGGGATAGGGTTTTGACCCATCCCCAAATGAACAATGACCAAGCTATCAAAGCAGTACCAACCACATATTTCAAGTAGTCAACACATCCAAGAACTCCGTGATACTCCGTGCCCCAAACAGCCCCACCTTCAGTGTGTTGTCCAAGCGCGGACGTTTCACCGAAAAAACCTGCCCGGAAATGGGATCTTTTTAAGCGAAATATGGAGATGCACACGTTAAACAATGGGGAAGTTATAGGGATAGAAATGACCATAGAAATGAATTGGATGATGATGATGATGATGATGATGATGATGATGCCAATACACACTATGATTGAATGAACACCATTGATACGGTAATTTGTTTGATCAGAAACCATTGACAATTTTGGAATCGATTCCACACACTTGACACATCTTATTCGAAGCATTGTTACTTCATTGAACTCTTGGGTGGACATTGAATTGACAACACTTAAATCGGCAGGAGGCACATCGAGACACACACACACAAAATGGGATGGTTTGCTGAAAGTGATCAGCCTATCAGTAAATTGAAAACCAGAAAATTGAAAACCAGAAAAGCATAAAATTGAAAACCAGAAAATTGAAAACCTATCAAAATGAAAGCATAAAATTGAAAACCAGAAAACCACCGTAGCAATTTTGAATCGTTTCAGGAAAACCATCGTCAGACAAATTATAGATATCATAACTGCTGACCCAGCCACTCTCCAACGATCTTTCCTCCATTTGGCTTTGGTGGAAACAAAGAGAGATGGATTTCTTCTATCTTTTTCCTACTATAAAATTGGAGTAAACTTTGATTGACTGGTAGAATTTCAATACCTATCGCCTATCTACCACCATTGTCCATCATTGTTGTCGTGTATGTCTAAAATATATGTGCAGTTTTTGACAACTTTCTTACTTATCAGCCAAATTTTCTAGATTTTGGTGACTACCCGCAATTTTTGTTGCTCATTACCAATTTCTCAAGCTTTTCGAAGATGCTATCGGTAAGCATCATAATCTTTCTTGGGTCATTGCCCCTCTTTTGAAACATGTGGATTATCCGGGAATTATCCCCCCATTTCTTGGTCATTGTGATTACCCCTCATTCTTCTTGTTTGTTAACCAGCGTTTCTGGCGATTCCCCCAGCATGATCCCCTCGGGGTGCCTCCTCAAGACACTCACTGGGGCTTTCGACCTCTTGGTGAAGTAATGGAACACCAGATGTTTTCATGGGAAGATATGTTATCAATTGACATACTACATGGAGACCCGCATGATTGATGGATACGAGTATCAACTGGGGATTTTCCTTTGCCAGAGTCAACTTGGGCGAAGCTTCTGTCAGAATTGATGATATTCATGGTACATGCACGTGACCGACATCAGCCTAGCAATGCAAGTAGGTCTCCAACACTATCTGCACTGGCAAGCCATCATTTTAATAAATATTGAAACCGCCAGTTCTACACACTCAACTCGTTGACAGAACAAACAATCTAACCACATCCTGTAGGTTTCGAGATTTCAGCGCTGCAATAGGGCCATGACGTCATAGTCCGGGAAATGCCGTGATCCAGATGAACTGGGCAGGAATCAATTGGTGGAAGTATGGTGGACCTTTCCAGAAAGACAGGGGACCCCAGGGGACCCACAAAATCAGCAAACATGACAGAGTACCCTCCCGTGATCAAACGTGGCAACGGAAAGTCTCAATTCAGTGTCTTTTTCCAATTATATCAAGCCTAAATTTGTAGAGCATTTCCCTATGGCCATGTTAGGTTCCCGATGGATAAATCATTCTTCTTCCCAAGTCAGAAATGAATAAAACACATCTTGGGATGATCCAGCGATCAGATATGACCACATATCCCATTCTCCATTGTGGCTGGTTAAATATACCACCTCATTTGCTACATCCAAAAAATATCTCAAGACATGGGGTTGGGAAGCTGGTTCTTCCTAGTGATGCTGGCCATCTCTGGGGTTAATTTCAGGTGAAACTGCCCAGCCTCAGCAATTCCCCGCAGTGAGGCGTCTCACTGGGTCGCAGCCTCAGGAATCACACGCATCAACGTACATGTCCATACATTTTTTCCATATAGTTGTCCATCCATGTCCATCCAATCTTTCCATATAAATTATTATGTTCCAATAATAAACATCCTTTGATAAATCAAAAATCATCACCAATACATATCCACAGTCCAGGCTTTGATGCTTCTGGGGCCCAGGCAAGGCTGCGGTACATGGTCGCTGGTGTGCTTGGAAACTGCCCAGCTGCTCCAGGGAACTCAAGGAGTAAAACCTCAGCTGCGACAGCTGGGGATGGGAACATGATATAAGAAACACATTATACATACATATATATATATAACACACATATATATATATATACCGCCTGTATATATGAAAATATGTAACTATATTATATATATATAAATATATATATTATATAAATATTAATGTTGTATTATATTATGCATATAATGCAATGTAATATATATATATATATAATGATTGTGCCATTTATATCAGATTATCCATTTACATAATAAGTTCGGAAAGCTTCGAACATCATTTATCACTTCATGCTGGGGAGCACGGCAGTACTGCCCCAGTGTCATCTCCGGAGCTCAGCAGATCGCCCTGCAGCTGGTGGTTGAATCATCAAACATGGGGATTTAACATGATTTAACGGTAGTTTCATCATCAACCATGGCGATTTATATGGCAAGATATGGAGATTTAACCATCCCAAAATGGTGGTGAATCATCAAACATACGGAATTTTAATGCATGTTACCGTCCAACATGGGGATTTTTCAGGATGAAAACTGGGGGTTTAACTCTCAAACGATAGGAGATGAATTGGAACTCACCAAAAACACCATCCACCAGCAGTTTGACCTCGACAACCATTTTGGGTTAGAAAGTAGTCTCCTTAAACACCCCACAACATGTAGTTGGGAGGATGGTACCAACCCCAACCGCAACCTTTGTGATTAATGTATATTAATGTATGTTAAGAAGGTCATTCCAATTGCAACCTTGGTTACTCAAATGGGTCATCTAGTTTGTAACTTGGATTTCTTAACCTTCGGAAACACAGTATGATTAGAAGGGTCAGCGAAGCACCTATCTATGGACTTTTATATCTGTTGGTGACATGCTAGAAACATCTTATTTGTGCGGGATGGCTTCTGAGCATTTTGAGACCTTCCTGGCAGGTCGCTAGGCAAGGAACCAACACGAGGCAGCCTGTTTTCAACACATTTGCTTGACTTTTTTTTTAAATAGACAACATGTGGGCATTTATTTGTGGGTCAAAAAAACTTGGCAATTACTTCGAAAATTGATAGTTGTGTCACACATGACCCAAATCTTGGGCTTTGACATATTCATATCATGTGACAACGTGGCAAAATTGTCTGCGTGTTGGGTGTCCTGCACTCCGAATATCAAGCGCTGATGACTTTTGACCTGACAAATCTGTGATCAAAGAGGCATCACGATGTTCAGTTGACGGCAACCTGAAAAACTCAACAATGTCAGGGGACCCGGGGACCACATATAGCTGTCTATGTGTCGGTCTATCCATCCATCTATCTTTCCTCTCAGCAAAGCAAACATGTTGTTGAAGGCATTCTCCATTGCAATTTCCATGCTTTCTCCTGCACGAATCGAATTCCCTACCTGACGTGGGAACCGATGAAGTAGGGCCTGTCATGCGAACCGCTGACTTGGACCCACATCTGAACCCTGGAGCTCACTGCACATGATATCTCATCATTCATGCTAAGTATTGATCCTGTGATTTCTGTTCCATCCAACTTTACTTTCTTCTTCGAGCTTCCCTTCCTGTCACCCTCCTTCCTTCCTATCTGCGACGTGTGACAACCCCAACTGGTGTCAAAGAACTATGGCCTTGTCAGGCTCACCCAACATCCGCAAATCCCCTTGGTGCCAATGGTCCAGGACAAGCATTGAGCTCCTATCAGACTCCCTTTTCAATACAACATCACATGTTATACGTGCATGCATATGTATATTCAGAATAAATGGATGTCAATTTCATTAGTCACTGCCTTCTCATTCCGTACATTGGTTGTTTTTGATGCTTGCAGTGAAACAAACCTTTAACACTTTCACTTGGAGCTCTAGTGGGCTTCTACAGCTTTGACATGCTTTGACATTTCGAATAAGACCAGTGCACCTTTGAGCTGTTGGAACCCCAGCAATGCCAACTATCACACAAAAACTCTTCGAACACTTGAAGTCAAGATTGTCAGCTGACCCATTCCTCTCGTTTTCAATATCACTGGCTTCCTTTTCAACCTTGCATGCCCAACAAGTCGTTAGTCTACAATACAGTTGTGCTTTTCAACCCTTGGCCTTGAATTTCCGAAAAACGATCGACAGTCTGCAAGCAGCAACATGAAACATGCAGGATCAATGATAGTTTTTTATTGGGGAGAATATGAGAACCGTTGGGAAACCACATCAAACAACTTTTCGTCACATCCGCTGCATCTGTGGCCCCGGACAAAGTCGCAACCATTGATCCTTTCGATGACCGCTGATCAAGAAATTCTCTTCTGCAAACCTTGCAGGCGTCTGACTCCAGAGGTGGTGGTGGTTGTGGTGGTCCATGTCTCAAATATACCTAAACATCACCCGACCACAAGGGGCATTAATGGCTTGAGTGAATCATGTGAATCTCAGTTCCTTCAAAAAGTAAATGGACAACAACCTCAAAGTGGCATTCCCTGAACATTCAAATCTTTAGATATTTGGAAGGTGACGTCCCACAAACGTCAACGCAGCTGATGGAATCTCATCACCAACAATCATAGGATATCAATGGATATCATGGGTGTGCACCGCCTGGTATTCAAACATGGCAACCGGGAAAATCCCCCGACATCCCATGGTATTAATGGAGGTTTACTTCGCTGGCAAAATCATCGAACCAACAGCAGAGGTGACGTCCAAGGTCACCGGGCGCAAGTTGTGTGACACCTCCCATATCCTCGCGAAGATTTCACGCGACCATGGCAAGACATGCTACATCTTGCTACATCACATTTGACACGATGTTTTGTTACACATGTTGAGGATTCACCCCAGCCCATTTTTTGGCGTCCTCGCCGGTCTCCTTTTGTGCCAGTCGGGCAACGGCTTTTCCTGAAAGGGAAGCCCAAGAAATCGATGCAAACTGCAGCCAGTTTTTCTTGGAAATGGTGGAGTTTACGTCAATTTGTGGATACTGAAATGAAATTTAATGAAATTGATGTGGATGGTTACATGCCTCTCCGATGTCTCGTTCATTCTGAGATTCATTCTCAAACCCTTCTAGCCTTTGGTGCCCTCTTGGTACACGCAAATGTTCTTGTTGTAGGAACCAGCCGCGTACCTGTCTCAGGCAACATGGCAAACCATGATTTTCCCTTGGAACTCTGCCCTTAATAAGTGACATTGGACTCGTAATATGCCCATGGCGTGCGTTTCACAATGGGCATTGTCTCACATAAATTCCAAGTACCATGCGTGCCTGTCTCAAAGCGTCCTAAGTGCACTTCCAAACCACATCATCTGTCTGACATAGATCACGCACAAAACTCATGTGATTTTACACACCTCCAATTTTGGGCAGGTTACAACACCTTGCAGCATCCATTTCCGGTGAGTCACTGGATATATCGGGGGTGGTTCATGGCAGCACATCCAGTGCAATCTCCCCATTTTAAATTTCATTCACACTATATACCCAGTCTACCACCATTTTGGATGGTTATAGTTAAACCACCATTTTGGATGGTTAAATCTACTATGTTTGATGATTCAACCGCCATTTTGCATGGTAAAATCCCAAAAAATCACCTTTTTTCTTGCCATCTCTTGCCATGTAATCCAGATCTGGGCGACCGCACACCCCGGGTGCAACGCTGGATGAGGCCACAGCACCGATGATGCCCTTCTGTCCTATGGCCGACAGCTGCGGATCTTCTCTTATGATGGAAGAAGATTAGTAACAGGAAGATGATACATCTACATCTACATGAAATAGATGTATCATGTACATTCATGTACTATCATCTATTATCATCTGATATCCAATAATTATACATCTAATCTCTAATAAGATACATCCAAGATAACATGCATATCATATCATGGGACTCCGGGACATAACATACATCTAATGTGCATATAGCGGATGAGCTGGTTAGCTTCAGCTATTCTTTTTGAAATCCTTGAACATCTTTGAACCGTCAAACTATGGTGACACTGAATTTCTTGGTGAAAGTGGTCGAAAGTCAAGCCCGCTGCAGAGTGCTCCCAAAACTACTCGGATGAGAGCAAACAAGCCTCTTTAACGCACAGCTCCACATTTCCTCCAGAAAGATTAGAATTGTTTCAGAAGGCCTGGGCATTCACACATCCTTAACCGGCCTTAACCTCCATCCTCGATGATTCGTTCCGACTCCATTCTGTGCTCTCTGGCCGCATCCCCACCGGCTGCGCGTGTCCTTTGCCTTTCTTTGTGCTCAGAAGCCAATCCTCAACGGAGCGATTCAACAGATTGCGAGACCTTTCCGACATCACCAACGATGGCAATACCAATCAATACCAAGGTATCATAGCCTCATACATCCCCCCATTCATGGACAAACATCGATGAACATGATATAACATCATAATCAAGTCACCCAACGAAGGCTTACACGGGAACCCTGCAACTGTCAACCTGGAGTTGTCCAAAGGCTGAAGACATCTGAAGACCTTTTCCCTGCCTCAACTTGACGGCCGGGTCGCTGCAGCTCAAAAACCTCAAGATGCGAAGCAAAGATCATATATTTTTGAATCATCATCCAACGTGAGAATGGAGGCTTCAAATTGTTGAATTTAAGGGGTCTAATCAATGTTTCTGACACAAGTACCGTCTTGAAGTCAGCCACCAACCTTTCCACCTGAGGCCGAGAAACCCGTAGATAGAGGGAAAACCCCGCAATGATCTTGCTACCATCCGGCGAAAAGCAAAGGCTATTGGCATGGCACACCTGAGGCAAGGCGTGCTTCTGGGTGTCAAAAACAAGCACTGAAGCGATGGGTTGGAACTTCCTTTCAAGAAAACCTGCTGGAGGCATGGTCAACTTCAACTTGGAACAAAAAAGCACTCAAGGCATTGACCCCAAATGCCACCAGTCAGTTTCTATCAATTTCTAGTTGGAGGTGAACAAACCAATCCCAAAGACAATGAGCCAATTGAATTAGGATCATGCAGTGGTAGGTATGTAAGATTTGCGTACACCAAATTATTCCACTCGACTTACAGGATTAGACCCTCGGTTCTCGCATTTGCTCGAGAAGCTCCCAAAACGAACATATTCCGTGGTTTCCATTGATCCAAATGGTGGACCAACCACGACATCAACCAATCACCTTCAACAAATCAGAATGTTGATCGAAGTGGCACCTCATCGTTCCAGTGTACTGATTGGTGAAACGGGACTCCCTAATGCATTATGATAATCCCCAATATATTTGGTAGTATAACCCTCTAAAATCATCAGCCAAACATCATTTATCAACCATATCATCATATCATACTATAGCCTCATGTTTTTCATGGTTCAGTCCCACTAAATCCTGGAAGACGATTCATTAACAAACAGGGGCACCTCATCCACATGGTTGAAGGGTCGATAGGTATTGCGCAGCTCCCCCGTCAAGGCATCTCTCAGGTGAATGGGGTGGTCCTTCCAACGGAGACGTGAGGGAGATTTAACTCCCCCAGTTATGGCAAGTTTCATGGCAAAAATATGGAAAAGACCGGAACATATTGGAACATACTGCAACACATCGGAAAATTATGGGAACATGATGGGAACATTACGGGAACATGATGGGACGCTTCTGATACGTCTGTTTTTCTAAAAGCCATGCGGGATGGAATGGGGTTCCAAATATGGAGACAAGCTCAATGCGAAAGTCCTGGCTGCTGGTGATGAAACAGCAGGTAGCTGGATACTCCCTTGGTGCCCAAGGTACAATTCATCGCTGGTGGTTGAGCCACCTGCCGCTGAACATATGAAACCTTCAGCTGTCTATTCGATGTCGCGAGAGATCTCTATGCAGTATACTCAGTAAGCACTTGATATCCACAGCAACGAAGTTTCTGTCAGTGTACGAACAAAAACATTAAACATCTTGAGTCTGGGAAAGTGCTCTAAAGTTGTCATCATATGGCCTAGATATGCCTAGATGATCCAAGCCCCCCGCTTTGCGAAATTTGGGCGCCCGCACCAAGTGAAGCTGGGGAAAAAACAATAGTCCAAAACCTCGGGAGGTGCAGAAAGGGAACCTCCCAAGATCAACTATGGATGGAACCACAATGCTGGATGGAACATGATCGAACCTTGAATATTCACCCCTAAGAAGCTGCTCTTGCACGATTTCACCAATTCTCATGACCCTATTATCCTATTTGAGGGTGCTGTCCCAGTTCTATTTGGATATTGTTATACAGGCATAGACGGGCCATATCCCAGGATTATGTGGTCTAGAAAGAACCCCATAGTTACACCATCATTTTCACCCCAACTGCAAGGCCAATTTCCAGCATATACCTCCATTTTCCATACATATACTTCCATTATCCATACATATCCCTACCCATTGCTAGTATATACCCAGTACATCTCAGTACTGTATATTGCCATTAACATCATTAACCCCTCCAATTATATGGAATTATAAATTATATACCAGTTTATATATATATATATGTATAATATATATATATATTACTGTATATCAGTTTATTGTCACATAGCCTCCTCATTTTCCATGGTAAGCTCCCCCCTATGGCGAAAAACTCCAGCGTTCGCCGTGGTTTTTCAAAGGCCCCAGCAGGACCACCTTCAGCCGCGCTGGCGTAAGGAGCGAAACTCTCCATGCCTCAGCTGTGAATGAAGGAAAGCTGCTATCCATTGGGTGATTTTCCATTACCAATGTAGACGGTGTAGAGTTATCCAAGTGCTTTTTGATTGAGGAAATGGATATTATGGATATTGGATAACAGATACTGTAGGATAACTATGTCATAGTGTATATGAATTGGTGTACAAATAAACACGGGGATGTTCCAAGTACGTCCAAGTACCACCTTCCGAATCCGAACGCCTTGCCTGCTAGGTCTTCCCCAAAGGGCACCTGTGGCAGCTTGAAGCTTGTTGATCTAACCGACCTTTTAGCTGATGAAACCGTGAAATCCACCACCCAAAAGGGGCTTTCAAACAACACTTTGGTACAAGTGCTCAAGTATCTCAATGTGGTATCTTCGGCCTCTTGCTCACGTACATTTAAGACATTTTAAGACCATCAAGGGGAATGTGATAGGATCTTTAATTTAGGTCGATAGCGCACCAGCTCCCTACTGAAAAAGAACGCGGAAGCCCTGCAGTCAACTCTGCAGTGGCTAGATCCATCAATACATATCCAAGGACGTATCACACCCAAGTGAAGGTGCAAGAAGCAGCACATCCTGACTTTTAGCTGTTGCGAAAACCATCCACACCCAAAAATGAAAGAATAATTCCAAATGGTGTTTGGATGTGGAATGAAAATAATGAAACAATAATGGTTCCAATAACTATTGCTTGTCTCAAATGTCTCAAAATTTTGCACCCAAAAAAATCCAAATCCTATTGTTGATCATCCCTCACCTGGTACAAGCGTAGGAGCTCATCGTCATGAACCGCCAAGGCAACCTGAGAACTCTGAAGAAGTGCGTTGTGGAGATTACACTACGAAACACAATGGGTACGGGTCAACACCCTGGGGGATGAACATCTGAGAAATATGCTGTTCAGATCTGTTCAGCATATTTGAATGAATTTATTCAACATTCAAAGTTGAAGCAACAACTTTTGCAGTGTTTAAACTTTTAAACCAACAGAAAGTGGTTGGTGGTGCCAACAGACAAGCAAGGCCAATTCTATCATCAAACACTCATGGCCCAAGAGTATCTCATTTTCGTGGGTAAACTCATGCCAAGATAAACAAAACAGATGTCACTGATGGCAAACTCTAGGAAGTCAACTCTTCAGAAACAAGAACTGGATACGATAGATATTTACAGTATATGTCACTCCATATCTTTGATTACCATACCATGAAACAACCACAAATTGAGCATCGTTTTGGAGCTTCCAAACATGCAAAATCCCTGGGTTGACCGGTACCATCTGGGCCATCTGACGCTGCCATCAGGACTCCACTTTGCGGCTTTGGCAAAGTTGTTCCTTCACATGGTCCAAGACCACACCAGCCCCGGTCCATGGAAAGGATGAACCTTCTTCAATTCTTCTTTGCCATTGAAGTGATATACAGTATTTCTTAAACATAGCAATGGCACATACCTACAACGCTTACACCTGCCTACCTTGGTGTCTCAAAATATGCGACGGCTCCGCAAACATGAGTTTCCCTATTCAAAATGAAAGACACATGTGGTTTTGTTAGGAGGGTGGCTCCCACCACCCAGATGCAATGGGGGTGGAATGGGGGGGAAACGGCTGGATCAAGAGGGAACATGACCAATTTCCCCCCCCCTGGCGGTATAATTTTACCTATATTTATATATATAAATATATAATTATATATTATATATATAATGGGTTGGAGCAACCCTGTATAGCACCAACTTGCGAAGCAGACTTTTTGGCTGCCGCAGGGGCAGCGCGAAGGGCTGCGGAAGTGATCGGGTGAGAAGAATTACAAAATCATACCACAACTAGATCTGGGACGTGATCAAAACCGGACTTTGAGATTAAATATGTAAACATGAGCTGAGCAACATCAATAGAACTGCACAAAGGCAGCACAAAGCGCCGGCGATGTCATGCGGTAAATTTCAACCTAGCTGATCTTCAGCTGGCAGTTAACTGTTTAGCCACCGTCGGAGCAAGGAATTCTCAGTTGGATCTGCGATTCCGGGGATCTTCTCGTTTTGCTTACCTCGAGTTGAACAAATTGCGGCCTGGGTCAAAAAAAACTTGGGGGCCGCACACTAATGCCATTCCATTTTTTTTTGCCTATGCGATGCTTTGCCCCAAACAAATCCAAGTAACATTAGAACCTTGACTTCAACTCCTCTATGTTTAATTATTTAACATAGCTGTGGTAAATCACCATCTTTAATAGGTAAATATAGGTAAATGATCCATGTTTATGGACCATAGAGTACATCATCACATCCATCGATAAATCCTATGCAGGCGCACCGCGACCAGCCAAGGGGCAGTCCGGTAGCAAGTACCGTAAGAAGATTGCTGTGAACAATGGCAAAATCGATGTGACCACCACCTGGGGCGAGCAACTCCATCAAATCCCATCATAGCCCAGGTAGCAACTGTGCGATGAGAATAGCCTACCCAGAAATCATCGTTGATCATCGTTTTCCCATATGATTCATCACGGCTATAATGGCTATACTATACAGTATCAATTGGAGATTTGGGGTACACTACACCATTGATGGACCATGACAAACCCCATATCTCATACAGCCGAGCAACAACGAGCCACAAGTTCTCGAACTTGGCTGCATCTCCCTCTTGTCCTTGCAGGTTTCCGCTATCAGAGCCTCCCAAAACCCTCGGTTTTTCAGGGTTCAACTGCGCAATCAGAGCCTTCGCCTGCAATCAAAGCTCTGTTTCCCCATGAAAACTTCATTTCTGGGCCAAAACAGCCATAGTTTAATAGTTTTCCACCAGCCCTGCATGGAGCTTCCGGCTTTCCCAGCCGTCCTCGAGGTTTCACATCCCAAAGATGCAGCAACATGGCGCCAAAGTGTGAACTTACAGTGCTGCCCAGGTTATGACAGCCTGCCAACAAGGCCAACCTTGGGTGCAAATGGCGGGAGGCTCAAAGTCCTTAACACCCGCGGACACACAAAATTGGTGCTTCTGTTTTTTTTTGTTTATCATCCATTTTCATGGGATATAGACGGTATAGAGTATCATCTACGGGCATTCTCAAGTATCAAAAGTTAAGTGAACCTGGATTTGGGTCACGAATCATCAAGCCCTCACACTCGCCACTGTGGCAGAGTCACTCTTGCTTTGTTTCATTTTGCGCCTAAAACATTACAACAACTCATATTGTTACAGAAATCAATCTAGAAATGGAGATCAATCATCTATCCACCCGTGCGGCAGGCCGTATGATTCCGCATTTTTTTTACAAATGGCAAACTGCTGGGCCATCCTGGCTATGTCAAATTTAATGGGCATAAAACTCACCATCATGCGGATTCTCCACAGGATATTATGTGATATTATGTGATGTTCTGAAAGCCCAGGGATTTATTATCATCGATGGGTCAAACTGCAACAATTTTTTCATGGTATTTCATCCATGATGATTCACTTTTCTCATGGAATTCAATCAATGGTAATCAATGGTAGATCATCAATCGAGTACTCAATCCTCATCAATGGCCATTTTCCATGGCCATTTCGCCGGGTGGCATCGTGGCTTCCATCCCAGGCGGGCACAAAGCTGCCAGCAGCACCTCGATGTTTTCCATGGGGATTTCCAGTACAAATGGAAAACAATGGAAAACCTATCGGCGAATCCAAGATAGCTATAGATGATTTACCTATGAATCATGGTGCTTTTCGGCAGCAGGCTCTTGAATTACTAGCTGATCTTTTTCTGTGAGTTTCCTGTCTTACCCTCTGGTCATGTAACAGCTTTATAAAATCACAATCTGAAAAAACGGCAATTTATCTAAACATGATCTAAACACGGGCCATTTTCCACAGCTATCTTAAATATTTTAACTTACCGAAGGGTATCAGCCTTTTTCGTTCCAAGGGACCACTTGGGGCATCCATTGCCACTGCAAAACCATCAGCTCGCAAATGGACAGGCCAAGCACCAACCAATGATCTGGAATGCCCCATTTCACCTGTGATGAAGAATCCCCAACTGATGGCTGTTAAGGATTGAAGTGCCTCATAGGCAGCTATGAATCTACCATCACATGTGCGCACCCGAAAGCTGACATCCCCAAATGGTTCCGGAGGGCGAGACATGTTGTTGCTAGTAGAATGTCTATAAATCTATAAAGCTAGCACAGTATCACTAGATATACAACACATATAAAATTACATATATGACCTGTAAACACAAGCAGCGGTAAGACAGCAGCATGATTCACCACATGTGGCTAGAACAATTTCTGAAACGATCAACGTTTCTGAAAAATGACCGGGACCCAAAGTTCCATGCAGCACAGTGGCATTCAGGCGTGCAAACCTGGTTTCAATGGAATGGTGTCGCTTGGGGATCATCACCGAACGTTGACCGAGGATTACATTGGAACTTTCAAACTGGTTGGTGGTTTCAACCAACCCCTCTGAAAAATATGACAGTCAGTTGGGATGACGACATTCCCAATAGATGGGAAAATAAAACATGTTCCAAACCACCAATCAGCAAAGTGTTGACTAGAATTCGACCAACTTGGATTAAATCTAACTTTGTCAATCTAGATTTTTACCATTGACCTCCCAAGTAGATCGATAGTGAAAAAGTGCTGATGTCCAGACCCAGGAGCTAGACAGTCGCCAGTAGCTTTGCCAACCCACAGGGCCCACAAGGGAACTCCAAAAGCTAACACCATCTTGCAGGACAAACCCAAAGCAAAGCAACAGATACAAAAGTGGATCTAGGCCCCACAAGAAAACTCTTCCTATTATTGCATGTGACTGAAACCAACAGCCACCACAATTTTTTGGCAGACACTTTGCAGCTCAGGAGGTGGCTTTGTCCGAAAAAAGGCTAGCCCCAAAATCTCGTGGCTTATCTTATCGTCTCATCTTCCCCAGTCAAATTTCCATTTCAGGTGCCAGCTCCAACGGTTTTGGGTCAAGGAACATCATCACGTCCAGCAAGCTAAAGGCAAACATCGTCAAAGCAGTGACTAAAATCAGTTTTCGATAGCTCCTCAAAGGCGGCTGGCCACGGGGTGGAGTGTCTACGGAAAATGGAAAGGTTTCCCAAACACTGTTAGTTTCCATACTACAATTCATCATTTTAGTGTGTATTCGAAAACATTACACAATTCTTACAGGTCCCATCTCACTCTAGAACCCCCATTTGCACATCCTCCCAGTCTGGACAATCTAAAATCATGTCCACACCAGTTTTTGGATCCATCATCCCTTATCTTTTGTACCATCTCTTCTTATTCGCACTCCATCACGGACCTTGGTATCCCTTGGTCGGCCAAGGCGCATTGCGCTCAGATACTGCTGGTAAAACCAGATCCCGATGAGTGCGACCACACTCCCCACCGTTCCCAAGACCTAGGCGGTGATGGTGAAGCCCATAACTTATCTGCAATGGCTATGGGCGAATCAACCAACAATCAAAAATAGGCTACACTATGGCCCAAATGAGGATGTAACCCATATTGAATCTCAAATTAAATGAGATAGAACCAAGAAAGATGGGGGATTCAAGGAATCAAGTTGGTCTGGTGAGCCTCACTTTGGAATATCTAATCATCCAAGGACATTGCCAAAGATAGGCCGAGGCGCGGTGTTGTAGAAGAAGTCAGAAAAATGAGGACCTGCAGGGTAGACCTCCTTGGAGTCAGTGTAGAAGTAGAAAGTAGCACCACTGATGGATGCATTGAGACCAGTGTAAAGCACCTCAGCACAGTTTCACACATCTTCGGAGCGTTTTGTAATATGGATAATGTCCAGTAGAGAACTTCTAAACTCACAAGGGATCAGTTGCTCGATGAGAAACACCTACATCAAATATCAATGTAATACAAACAATTAATGACACTGACACTGGCATAATGTCGTGCTCCAAGTTGCTGCAAAAGCATTCACTTTGGCCACCAATGGCGTCAGGCAAATAGAACAGCACAGTAACATGAACCTGGCCGGTGGTGAAAACTCCGACAGCTTCCACACAAGTATCGCTTAATCTCAAAATGCGATGCGAATCCACCAGCACATACGAACTATGTTTTAGAAAAGGAACCTTGCTATGTTGGAACAGCTGAGCATGCAACTACGTGAGCAAAATTGCAAATACAGCAGCCCAAACTGGGACCATACATTGTCCTTTCAGTCGCGTTGTAAGCCGAGCAGCAAAGAAGCGGTAAAGGACACAGCAAAGTTAATGCCTGACAACAACTGACAAACAACCCAGCATCTATGAAGAAACTATGAGAGCAAAAAGCGTCAGGGCGTCCCCAGATCTGTTGGGAACCTACTTGTGTACTGCAACAGATCAACACAAGATGTATCAGGGGGACCAATGATAACCCCCCCAAAAAATGATTTTAGCTGAGTATGTGAGTATGTCTCCAACCTTGCCATTTCAACTGTGACGACTTTTTCTGACTAACCGATTACTGAAGCTACGAGTATCTATGTAATGAGGGTGTGATTTATTGTGAAGACACAGAATGAAACAACAATTATAATAGTGTCCTCCAACAGATCTCTTTCCAACATTCGAACTACAGATTGAAAGGATCCGAAGAAATGTCTTACATGAACTAGAGTTATCCCGGAATCCCCAAATAGATAGAAAAACATATATGATTATCAAATTAATAGGGATGTACTTATCCCTCTATTTTCGGATGACTATTTTGGGATGACTGTAGTCTTTGCTGATTTCCATCCAACATTTGAGCCTTTTGACCCAGTTGCGAGGATCATTCTGCAGGAGGCCAACCACCATGATCACCACAGCACAAGCGAACATCATCTGAGCAGCGTGAAAAGATCCCCATTTAATGGGTTTAATGTATTGGTTGAATGTATTATATATATATGTATATATATATATACATATCTATTATGTGCATATATATATATATGCATATACATTATGCATATCTCTGGGAGTGTTATTGGCATGAACAGCTATGTTTTGTTGGTCATATTCCCATTTGTTGCTGCCGATGTCCTGTTCTTGGTAGGCTACAGTATATATATATACACATAATAAGTCATAATATCATATACTTCCAAACATTTTTTGTGATTGCATCCCTATTTCATTGGTAACAAGGGGGTGATGACATGTTCCACTTGAACATCCCCAGCCGAAAGGGAAATCACTACCAGCAGCCATCTTGAGCTGATGTTAACATCGACAATTCCCGGGACACTGACCATCCCCCGTGCTAACCCTGTGAGCACCAAAATAACTGGTTGTTGTGGGTGTCCGTCCCCCCACAAGGCCACGTGCCACAAACTCGGCGGTTTCAATAAGTCCAATTCTCAGCCATTGTGCAGGGCTTGCAACTCCACTAATTACACACTTTTTAGGGGTAAAAAACACGATATAAACGGTATCAACAAGCAAATATCTAATGGCTCAAGGTGGTTTGGGATCTTTGGGTTCGATTCTGCACCAAGGCACAACAGAAAGAAAACACATCTCACGTTGCTCAAAGTAACGGTGACGGATGGCGGACAACTCCTCAGAGATGGTGAAAACAAAGGGGGCCAGAATAGCTGTGGATGGTTCATCCAGCCATTGTGAAAAACATTGAAAAACCAATAATGTTAAAAGCCACTATTTGGGAATGGTTTAAAGCCATTTACTTACTTATTTACTTTAAACCATTCCCAAATAGTGGCAACCCTTGATGTTTTGAACTGCTAAATGCTGGCAGGGAAGGCACGAGCTTTTCTTTTTTCGAGTGGAGCAATCTTGCAAACAAAGCAACCTTCTCCCTCTGCTGCCAAACCCCATACATGTGCTGATGGCCAGTGAAGCACTTTCTACATCTTCCCACGACCACTTGGTCACTTCTTAAACTCAGAGACCCCAAGTCACCATTGGTTTTAACAGAATCATGTCCAATAACTAGGATGAACAAAACAACGTCTCCCACGCATATGTGGGTATGTATAGAATACCTGGTATATGTATATATATATATATGTATATGTATATGTATAATATTGTATACATTATAATTACAGTACACTACATTACATTAAATGACATGACATGACATGACATGACACTACACTACATTACATTACATTACCCTACATTACACCACATTGCATTATATTACATTACACTACATTACGTTACATTACATTACATAACATTACACTATACTACATTCCATTCCATTCCATTCCATTCCATCCCATCCCATTCCATTCCATTCCATTTCCACTACATTACATTACATTGCATTGCATTGCGTTGCATTACATTGCATTACACTACGTTACGTTACGTTAGGTTACGTTACGTTGCAAAACGCTACCGACACTACATTGCATTACATTGCTCTATATTACATTACATTACATGACATTACACTACATTACATTACATTGCATTACATTACATTATATTACGCTACGTTACACTACATTACATGACACTATACTACATTGCATTACATTGCATTACATTGCATTACATTGCATTACATTGCATTACATTGCATTACATTGCATTACATTGCATTACATTGCATTACATTATACACATTACATTACATTACATCACTTTACTTTACATTTACATTTACATTACATAACATTGCACTACATTACATTGCATTACATCACATGCATATCATGTGGAAACAACATATACACACATATACATTGGTAAATCTATAAATCTCATTAAATATCGACAGCCGCGCCTCGACAGACAGCCGCCGTTCCTGTAGGCAGCCCATTGCCACTGGAATCACGACCATGGCCGCTGGCACGGCAGCGAAGGCAAAGGCCGCACGGTAGCCGTAGGAGTCTAATAAAGGACCTGGAGTGGTATGATGGGGTTAGTCACCATAAAACATCGGAAACATGTAGGGATTATTGGGGAATTCTTAGGATTTCCTAGGGATTCTTGGGTTTTGACCATTAGTTAGTTGATGATTATAACCGTTGTGGATTTTTAGGGATTGTTGGGTTTTAACCATCAAAAACAAGGGATTTTGGGGGTCCCAACACATGGACGCTTTCCTGGTTTTCCTGATTACAAACAAAAGGTCAATTCTGCTTCTAAGTGGGACCACATGACCCTCGTGACAAGTGGGCCTTTAGAGTCAGATACTTTGTGGTTTCAACGCATTTCAACAATGTTTGTAGATGATCTCTATATATATATATATATATATCCCACTCTTCGCGGAAAAACAAGGAATGTATACATCACATATCTCTTTGAACCCAACACCCAGTCAATAACTCGTGACATCTCGTGACATAAATCCCTTCATCACCTGCACTCATCAGCCATCAAGGCACCAGAACAAAGCATGGCAATGAGGCCAAAGATGTTGATCCCAGCCCAGACATAACCTCACTGGTTGGTGGACGATCCACCCAGCCCAAAAAATTAGCAAAGTGGGATCATCATGACAAGTGGGGATGGGAAACAATATCTACTAAACATTTCGAAACCACCAACCAGGTTGGGTTGGAACTGGCCATGTGCTACTGGCAGAAACTACGTCAGACTCAAGATTTGATCTGTGAATTCGAGGGACTGGAAGGATCAGTGAATTCAAAATGATCCATAGCTACTTCAGCGGCCATCCCTCCCAGGGACTCCCCCCATGGTTGAGTTGACCAAGGCTGCACTGGTTGCACCAACCACAGCCAGGACGCTCAACAAATCTGGACCTGCCTGTGGGGCGTCTTGAATCTTTGAGGCGTACTGTGCCTGGCTCAGCAAATTTAGGACCCTTCATGCCAAGCGCCAACAAGATACGTGAAAACGTGTCTCTATCGAAAAGAAACAGCGCTTCTCACTTCAACTTCACATGTATAATGTGAGGGTTTCCTTAAAAATGGGGGGTCCCCCAAATCATCCAAAATTAGACCATTTTAGTATTGAAACCCATGGTTTTGAGGTAGTTCCATTTTAGGAAACCTTCATATAGGTATGGAAAAACTGCAGGGTACCAATCTGCAACATTGGCCAAATCTAGCGTTAAATCCATCTTGGGAACAGGATGGAACAGGCCTCAGAGAGAATGTCGCAGGTACTGAACTGCAAGACGATCAGCGTGAGGCAAAGGACCATCACCTTTTGACACAAGAAGATGCGGGTATGCATGTATGCACATTCACAATATATATATATAGTTCATATAGTTATATATATATATAATATTATATGTATCAGATCGACAATTCGTAATACAATATGTATTGTTATTAGATATAATTTAGATATATAATATATACAGGTTGTGATGAGCTTTCACCAAACTGTAAAAGCACACCGGCACCTCGATACTTTGCCAAACACAACCGAAAATCACCGAAGCAAACAAGCACATCTCCAGGATTCTCCAGGTAGCTATGGCTCAAACTGGACCCCCAACTTTTCCATGGCATCCAAAAAACACCAAGAATGACCAGTAGAAGTTGTTTTACCTTACCGCAGCCAAGTAAGGAAAACAATATACGACAACAGGTGGCTGCAAACACACTTGTTTTGGCAGCACTTGAGCCAAAGTAAGTCGGGACACACCCAAAGTGAGGTAAGACAACATGTGCATTAGAGGATGGAAATGATTGCATGGTTTTACCTGCAAATTAACAACTCCCTCCTTATGCTATATAGGCTATGCATGCGCATGTGCCCTATATACAATTTCAGGGACCTAGATGTCTGGCTGACACCTGGCCAATTTTGTTGGGTAAATTCTAGATTCTAGCGATCTACAACTACCTAGGCTTAGGGCAAAACTGCTCTAGCGTTTGCTGCCATTCTGCCGGAGTGATGATCTTTGTGAGTCCATTGGCTGCTTGTGTGGATGTCTCACAATATCTCAAAGTCAAGATTTCTTGTTCCAGTTGCTCGTGAATGGGCGCAGCATTAACGCGATGTATGCGACCACAGGGTCGTAGCTTTGCTAAGTAACCTGTGGTCATCACGGTGATGGCTGCTTGATTGTCCTGTTCAAAAACAATTGGAACATGCATCACAACCAAAGACTCGATCATCGCATGCAGATTCAAAACTTCGCCAAATAGAGCGCTAGCGCATGCTATCAGCTTCGCTTCAGTAGTTGGTCTCGCTGTTGAACTTTGTTTCTTTGATGACCATAGCAATGGATATCGAGCGTCACCTGTTTTCAGGATGTACACAACTCCTGACGTGCTCTTGGCCGTATGCGGGCATGAGGCAAAATCAGAATCTGTATATACAACCAGTGCTGGAGATTCGTTGTGGTCGACCTTCGCCTGGATCATGTGGTCAGCAGTTGAGTATAGCTGATTAATCTGAGCATCTGTCTGTCTTCCCACAACGTCCAACGAGTTACCCGGCTCGCAAGTCGTTGCGCTGCGAAACTTAAGTTAGGCCTGGCTAAACGAGACAACCAAAGGCATCGCATGAGCACTTTGGCGGCATGATTGCGCAACACACCTTCATGAGCAAGCTCTTCTTCAGACATTTAAGACTCGGGAAGGCACGGAGTCTCGACCTTTCTCAGTTTCTCTACTGGTGTGCAAGTGAGTTCGCAGTAAAAACTTACGATCCCCCTTGCATATGAACTCATGTCATAGGTCATTGAAACTTCTTTGGAGGTTCTTTGAATCAAATGGGTTATCCCAAGGATCTTCGTTCCAGTTTCGGAGATGAACTCTTCTGGTTCGACCTTGGCTCTTCGCTGAAGTTCTTTCCAGAATTCCTGTTGGATTTCTTTAGTACCCCCAGCTAGTGTCAGGTCATCTACGCAAACATTCAGGATTAATGTATGTTCATCATTCTTTCCCCGTCTGAAAACAAAGTTTGAAGGGTATGATTCCAAAGGGACTCTTTTCATTTCGATTAACTGCTTTTCGAGATGGGCTTGCCACAACTTTCCTGATTGTGGATGACCATACAACATCATACAACGATTTGATCAGCTTTATTGCAAGGCGAGTGAAGGGATCATAAATCTTTTTCCATTCTTCCAACCAGAGTTCAAAGGGCAGTATCACCCAGGTGTTTCCTTCAAGGAGGCACTGAGGATAAGCTTGTATGCAATCTGCACAAGAAATCGTTGTCATGCATCCGAACCAAAGCGTGAGATTCAATGCTGCCAGCATTGTTGGAGTGGTAGCTGTTTCAGCTTCGGTGAAGAAAACGTGTTGGTTGAACTGGTCTTTGATCATGTCCCATGCTCCATTGGCTCTCAAACCTTCGGCTTCCGCTTTGATCGACTTTGTCAGATTCAATGTCACAAGTGCAGAGGAAGTGCTGAGATCTGGAACATGTTGAAACCATTTTTGAGCATACAATGCTTCGACGATAGCCGATGCGAATTGTCTTGTGTAGAGTGTCGAATCCTGTTTGCTTGGTCTGGCTACCCTCGGCTGGTTCATGCTGGTGCGAATGATCGCACTGATAGGCAGCCATGATTGTAAGGATTCGTTCACCACATGAAGACACGCACCATGGTTTACGAATGGGACATTCTTTACCATGAACACCTAACATACACCCATCAAAGTAAATTCTTCTGAATGCATGCTCTCTTTCAAACTCTTTGACTTCATCTAGGTCCCACCCACCATCCAGAGTTTGCTGGCCATTCAATGGCAACACGACCACCTTCGGCTCAGATTTTCTTTATAAACCTCTTGGCTTGAGCGAACATTTTCCTAGCCTGCTTTCTTCTCTTTTCCAACTTCTGTTGAAAACCCCATCCCTGTCTATGCGCATTCATGTGTTGCCATGGTGTGAAATCGGTACATGGGAGGCTGACCCAGGCATCTGCAGATTTGCGGTCATCAGCTTGAGTGATCAACTGAGAAATTTGTCCTTCTTCCTGCAAATTAATCACATTACGGGATATATAACCTGATGCCATCAACACCGATTTCATCACAAACTTCACCAACTGCTGAGTTTTCATCACATGCATATTCAAAGAGGGTATTAGAACCTGATGATTGATACATTCTTCGATAGTTTCTTCTATCTGCATTTGCTTGAAGAAAGATTTCATCAAATTCCGTGTTTGTTTTGGCTGGCATTGCGGTTTCTGAATCGCCTGGTGGGATACGTGCACTAAAAGGCAATTCGGATGGATCAGCATCAGACACGGCTTCAACAGGCTCGTCAAGCACTGACATTGGCGTGCTTGGCGCTTCGGCTTCAGGGGCCGGAGTCAAAGCAGCTGGTGTGCGAGGAGTGCGTCCAACACGGTCGGCTCTGATCAATGCATCAAATCGAGCTCTGCATGCAGGTGTGTGTCTTCCGGATGAAAACGCTGTTTCACATGCACGGCATGAAGGTGAACCCCCATACTTTATCAATCGGTCCAATGTGATGTATTCATGACTAGTGCCTGGTGAAACATCACTGGGCATTTCGCTGAAAGGAACATCAATCACAGCCAATTGCTCTGGGTTTGGATTCTTGAAGATAGCAAGTGCCTCATCTGCTGCAGCTTTCTGTGGCAAAACTGGTGAACCTTGGGCACATACACCTCTTCGCAAGGTACTGCTGTGGCGATTGAGTAACCAGGTTTCTGGCTCCCAACGCTTTCGTAATCGAGCACGTAGTACACGTTCTTGAATGACAATGGTCCTGAATCGAACCGCCATCCAGCAAACAAAGCTGGCGATGCGCCAGCATCGAATTTGTGGCGTTCAAGGGGATCTTTGCGAACGTAAACAAGTTGCCCAAGTAAAAGTTCTCTCCCATCAAACTCAGTGCCAGTCGCTCGAACAAAGCGGTTGGATGGTTCTCCCTCAGCAGTGCCTTTCAAAGGATAATATTGATTCATCACCAACCGAGTGTTTCCAAAGGTCTTTGACAACATGGAAACCTGCAGCGGTATGGACTGATCTTGTTATCTCCTCTATAGGGATCGGATGTCTCTTTCTAGTTAAGTTGTGCATTGCTGGCCATCTACGGGCCAATGTTGGTTCATGAGCAAACCCGAGAACATTGCACGAAGCTTGGAACTCTTTTGCGTTATCTGACTTACACATGATAACGGGGTTTGTGTGATATAATGGACCAAGAAAAGCCAAAAGGTTCCGAGTGACTGTCTCAGTGTCATGCTTTGCTGGCGAGAACGCAGCCAAAAACCCTGAATGCTCGTCTCTGATGACTTGCACTAATGACTCTTTAGTACCATCGCTGGATTTGTTTACTATTATGAAATCACTTGCCAATCTTTCACCGAACTTGGACACAGGTTCTAAGTGACCACGAGATACCAAAGGTTCATGACGAAGTTTTGTGGTCTTGAATTTATACATCCTAGTCCTTCGACAAACCTCACAATGGATTCTTTGGCATGTGGCACATTCTGTGACGAAGGCTTATGGCCTCTTGCATCAAACTTCACCCCCCTGACCTTTATCAACGAACCTGTCACCATCATTTTCTTCGGCTTGTTCAGCTGGTGGAGGCGTGGGCACCGGAGATTCGGCTTCACCTGCGAGTGCTTTTGATACAGCTGCTCTGAGGGTTTTCTCTAAAGATGGGCACAAAATCTTCAACCCTTTGGGCATGATGAAGTTGGCTCCCATCTGCAGCGATCTGTACATCATCACAGGAATTGGCAAAAATGGCAACTCACCTGGCATCCAAACGAATGGCTTTCCGGAGGACATAATTTGTTCCAGTGATCTAACTAATGGACAATCATTCATCATGTTGAACCGTGCTTGCCCGAAGCTTTCACTTTGCAAGTCTGCAATTCTTTACAAGTGTCACTGGTGAATGTGCCGTTTCCTGTTTCAAACTTCGTCCGATGAACACCAGATATACATGACTGAATGGTATCTTTTGGAATGCCTTGTTGCAAGAATGCCCTTTCAGACCCAAGATTCCGTCCTGCCCCACTATCGGCTATCCATACGTGGTCTCACAATCCTTGAGCCAGTCCGTTTGATGTCCAGCACCTGGTGCCAGTCGAGAGACACCACCAAGCGGCCTGAATATTTCACAGAACCACCTGGAGCAACCGAAGTCCCAGATTCTATCTGATCCCAAGCCTTTTGCACCCTGTTTGATGGTCTCGGAGTCAAGGAAAGGAGTGGATTGTTCGGACCAATCCTGACCCTTGCCCCTTGTGATGATAAGACCGATTGACCCCGAGCAGCAGTTGTCACTAAGCTTGGCTGCGCAATGAATGTGTCGACCAAGATCTGGTCGTCCTCCTTCGCTGGCAGAAGTTCCTCGTGCCTGCGTGGGGCCCACCCGTTTCTCAACCAATCCAATCTCTCCTGCGCTTGAGCTTGTCTTTCCACCAATGCCCAGCTACTCGGATCGTAAGGGTTATAATTTGGGTGCTCAGTCAACACCTCAAACAAGATTCAGAAAGCTTTTCCGGCTCTTTTCTGGTGGCGCTGGAGTTCCAATCGATCCAACAGGTCTGTTGACTGTCGACTGTAAACACCACATGATGATGTCGCCCGAGATCGTCCCCTTCGTCCTTTTCCGGCTACCTTCCTATGGCCCTTTCTGCACATGGACGAGCGGACAGATCAAAGCAACGGCGCAGACAGCAACGGTGAAAAATCCTGGGACACCACTTGCTTGAACCGGTCCTGTGCTATGTATGAATGAGTTGTTGACCTGGGCTCACTTGATCTGTTCCTTTGGAAAGAAAAGGAGTCACAAGCAAAATGCCTATCCAGATCACACTTGTTTTGACAGCACTTGAGCCAAAGTAAGTCGGGACACACCCAAAATGAGGTAAGACAACACGTGCATTAGAGGATGGAATGATTGCATGGCTTTACCTGCAAATTACCAACTGTAGATGACCCACTTTTTGCAGCTTCGCCAAGGTGCAACGATGGAGAGCTCAGAGCTGTTCACGATGAAGGTGAAGGCGCAAAAACCCACAAAGGTGGACATGGCCATGTAGGGACCCTGACTCTGCCAGCTGTGATTGGGATGGTGATGCATGGTGTTTCCCACTCAAGTCTGGGAAATATCCCAGTGATTGGGACATATATGGACACAATATATGGACAGAAATGGATACATGATGTCCAAGTTGTAGTGCAGCAAGTGACATTCATTCATGGTTCTAATTTCTGCTTTCTGCCTAATGACCTCATTGCAGTGGCAGCCTCGTGATTGGTCTAGTGGCCAGGTCTTGCTTCCGGTGGGATCATCCAGGCAAGGCTCGCAAAGCTGACAGCCCCAATCTCAAGATTCATTGGGGCTGCTCCTTCTCATGGGATTCCAGTCACTTATCATGACTTCATCAACCAGAATCAACCCCTTATCCCAAAAATACTCCAGTTCCAGACCTGGAAAAGGGAACCCAGTCACCACATGTCACCAGACGCTCCGGGCACCTTGCGGAAGCCCATGAAGGGCAAGACATCGCTCACGAGGCCAATCAGTGGCTTCACGGCCCATGGCAGATTGATGAGACCGCTCAACACCTGCCACGGCATGTTGAGACAATGGGGTACCTTTAAGGACCCAAAGGCTGGTCAATGGGTCAATGTTGGTGGATGTTAGTGGTAAGTCATCCAATTCTTTAGTGAGTTAGTGGACGTTAGTGTTATGTTAGTGGTTAGTGGGGTAAATCATCCAATTCTGAGCCAGACATGGCCTGACTCTGCGCTGCATCGATGGCAAAGGCTTTGAAGAGGTATGGGGTGGCCTTGCTAGTCATGCCTTGGGCGCTGACACAAACCCCATTGGTTCATCATCACTTTTCATACGACACTGACATACAGCACATTTTCAGACACCCCCAGTAATTACCACGTATGGAATATGTGAAGTTCCAAAGGAAGGACTACTGCATACATTTGCACAGTGTCAAGATCCAACCTTTCAAGGTCCTCTCCAAATGCACTCCATTGAAGGATCTGCAACGAAGACTTCGTCAACCAATGGTTTCTCTAAACATTTTGATTGGTAACGCACCTATCTTGCAGTGCCTTGGCACTGGAACTTCTGAATGAGGGCGGCTGTAAATCTACAAACCAAAACTTGAGCTTCAGCTGCACTGGTACAAAAAGCAAAGGGACCAGATTGGTACCAAAGGTAGCTTGATTCACTGTTGCCATGTAACAACTGATAGTGACATGGCCCTTAAACAAGGGTAGTTTTGGCTGCGACCATGCTGCTATGAGATAAACCCTTCATCAAATGCTGCACCACCCATAGCAGAAAGAGCAGCTGCCATCCAAAGATGCGCTCAAGCCTTCTCCTTAGCCAATAGGTCACTGGGGTGCGAAAAACCATAATCTCAGCTCAACAGAATCCCTTTTTTGGAGATCTTAGGAAACCTTGGAACCAAGTCAAAGGAAGAAACCTAGACTGGCTTAGCATGGCTTAGAACATCAACCGTCATCCCCAGATACCATGGCTGGTAGGTGGGCAAAACATTTCCACCTTCAAGCAAGGCTCAAGTATCGCGAGCCCCAGAAGGCCAGGGGCCCATGACTAGTTGAAGCATTGAGCAACGCCTGTCATGGGTAGCATTGGGTTACCACGATCCCCATGAAACTTCGTATGATAACCCAAGACCTAACAACCTAAGGCAACTGTTGGAAAGATCCAGCTTGTCAGTTGCTTTCAGCAACGTTCAGCCATAACAAAGGTTGTCCTCATAGCCACACCTAGATCTGGCTCAAGTGTGGCTCCAACACCCTATGAATCACCCAAATCCACCAGTTCCATCGATTTCTCATAAGTTTTTCCATGGTTTTCGGATTCCCAATATCTGTCCAGCTCCACCCAATCCAGCAGCATCAAGCGCAAGCGAGCCAGGCCCTCAGTATTCTCTGTTGGATCCTCAAACTTCGGATCCAACTTCTCTTCATCCCAGTTGTTGGCCATGGGATCGACACTTCATTGAACGGAGACGGAGCTGAAGAAAATGCCAAAGACATCAATAAAGGGCTGAGATGCACTGATAGTGAGATGTATTGATACGTACAGTGATTAGTATAATATGTATATAATTGTAAATGCTCTGTATATATATATATATTACTATATTATATATAACTATATTATATATACATGTCACCTCTGATTCACTGATGACATGACACTGAGTTTTTATTGCTGGAACATCTGAAATCATCAACGTTCAGCTCCTGGAGCCCGTCCAACAGCCAAGGTCAAACCGCCCCAATGGCGGTTTGCTCTGAGCCGGTGGACGGCTGCAAATCAATGGCTGGATGATGCCCATGGTGAAATCCCTCTTTTCTGGGAATGGAAAGCACAACATCTTTCTTGAAAACATGAGGGAACAGATTGGAACGGCATCTACCTAAATAAATATGTATATATATATATAGCTATATAATATATATATATATAGCTATATTACAGCCATATAATATCTATAAATATATATCTCTCTATATAGCTATAGATATCAAAAAATCTTTCTAAATATCTGTGTGCATATCTATATCTATATCTATATCTACATCTATATCTACATCTATATCCACATCTATATTATTCTATATCTATCTATATCTCTATATCTATACATACGTAATAGATAGAAACATGTCAAAATCCATGTTTTTTTGCTCGGACACACATGATGCTATTCCAATGCAAGGTGACCCTCACCATCAGGTCCACCCCCTGCGCACCCACGGTGGCTCAAGGGCTCTGGCGCCTGTGGCTCAGCAGTCATCCGGTCATCCTCCCATTGAATGTGGTGAAACCAATGCCATAAACCTACCATTTGGGGAAGATTTTTACTTAAACCCATTTATATAATTTATGGTAAGGTTGGGATGATTTATGGCGCTTTCGCACATTTTGTTTGGGCTTTCGAGAGTTGGTTCAAGGGAACATCTGGAGGAAACACTCTATATATTTCATATGAACAGCCATGGTTTCCTGTGGATTTTCTGATTGATGGTCAATATTCCCGTTCACTGGGGAATCCGGTTCTGGCAATTTAAATAACATCGCCGTTGAACATGGCCATCATTAACAGCTAGCTCATCTATACATCTACATATCGATATTAAAATATTTCTCTACATTTCTCTCTCTCTCTCTCTTCAATATATATATAAATACAATCTATAATATAATATAATATACTATAATATGAAATTAAACATAACATATAACATATAGTAAAGTATGGTATAATAATAAAATATAACATGACATAATATTATAACATAACATAATATAACATAACATAAATATAATAGAATAGAATGTAGTATAATAAAATACAATTTAATAAACTATAATATAATATAAAATAATATAATAAAATGCAATATTATATAACATAATATTACATAATATGTGTATATATATATATACATATGTATGGGCCATTTTCCATAGCAGCTATGTAAACTTACCAAAGGGTACCGCATCATCCTCCTGCAACTTGACCATGTCTCAAATTTACTGAGCCCATTTCGGGACTGGCTGGGAATTGCCTAACTTATGGCCACCAGAGAATGGGGTTTTGGGGCACCCAATTTTCACACGATTCTGGTATGATTGATGCATGTATACTGATATCTTTATCTACCTTGCGTTTCCTGAATACGGATCAACTGCCAGCATCTTAAACGATTTCTGCCAGGGTCCACATGCACAGCCACCCCAAACAGCCAGTGCCTCAAGTAAGCAGCGGTGGGTCAACGACATCTGGCTGTTGAATGCTGTCAATCCCCAAGTGGCACAAGAGGCCACACCACTTCTGTGTGATGTCTTTTGGCCAGGACTTGATGAATTGCTTCATCCACAATTGGTACGTTTGCATCCAACCGAGAATTTGTGTTCGTTGTCCAAAGTCAAACAGTTTGTAGCTGTTGGGTTGGTGCCGGCAAAAATGGCTCCTGCCTGAAACCTCTGTGAATGGAAAAACTACAGCGACTGGGCACCTGCCAAGCTCTTTTGGTCAAAACTAGTTCCACCATTCTTTTCAGCTGACCAGCTTACATGAAGTCAAATTCATATCTTTCCCATGAAAATGATCCTTGGTGAAGCAACTCGCTGGAACTATGGATGCATCGACTGAAGCTGCCTACAACACCAACTCCTCAAAGATCCTTTTTGCGGGCCATGACTCACACTGCCGGAGCAGTGCTCTAAATGCCGCCAAGAAATTGATGGCAAGATCACAGCGCAGCAGCTGAAATTGCAACTATATCTGGCAAGAATGACATCTACACACATCCGTAGTTTGCACGGCATCAACAAAAACTGCACGGCTTGTTAGGCAAATAGAGGCAGCCTACGCTGGATTAAATTTGGATGCTGGTCCCTCTCAAACACTTCTCTGCATGTCGGGAAGAACAGCGACACATATACTCAGCTCAGCAGATCAGGAACCGGATAGCTGCAAAAACAGAACGATCCAAAACTCCCACAATTATTTCAACGGTCAACCTTGATCCCAAAGTATGCAGACCTGAAGGTGCCGCGGTTTCCTCTGACCCTTCGTGGAGTTGACTTCGGTCGAGGCATCAGTAGTATCTGAAGCTGCGAGCGCTGTTAAAACAAAGATGAAACGGTTCTTGCTGCTTTCTCCATCTTCGTACATGGCAAAATGGGCAAAGAAGCAGGAGAGGAACCTGTTAAATGAGGTCACAAATTGCGGATCCCTTGCGGATTATGCGACTTGACATCCAAACTCCAGATTGAAAACAGGTGCAAGTTCAAATGCAACTCTGGAAGTCAGACTTTGCGCCTTGTGCAGATTTTCTTAGAGACTCTCCCAAGTGTCTCCCAGCTTCCAAGCCCATGAATATACTACACGCATGCAGAAAAGCTTTGCTTGCATCTGCCTGATCGTTCTGAGATATCTCCCTGCCGCACTTACGACTGGCGCAACTGGCAGCTTGCGACCAGCCCCAGCTGCAGCCCAAAGGCTGTGTGCAGCTGTCGCTGAAGTTGGAGACACACCCGCATGAGGCATCAGGATTTCGTCCATCATCTCCATTATTTTAAATGTATTATAATGAAGCACAGTATTGTACAATATTTAACATCTGAAAAATACCTATGCTATTTGTCAATCAGCTGGCTTCACCACCTATTGCAGGCTACTAGCCAATCAAATTATCAGGTCCTCATATCTACATATGTATATGTCACATAACCCCTAGTGTCCTTAGTATTACTGCTATTGTCATTGTTGTTAATGCTATATTTTTCAGTACTAATATGTATGTATATATATATACATGTATGTATGTATGTATGCATGCATGTAGGTAGGTAGGTAGGTATGTAGGTAGGTATGTATGTATGGATGGTATGTAATGTAATGTAATGGTAAATGTAAATGTAAATGTAAATGCACATGTAATGTAATGGTATGTTATGTTATGTCATGTCATGGTATGTATGTATGTCGTACGGCAATGTATCAAAACCATTCAAAACCTATATTGCTATATTTGGGAAGATGAACATCCATGAATCCCAGCTATTCTTGGGTGAACAGAAGGGTACCAGGCTTTTGACTCATACCCATATTACTATTGTGTACTATAATGTGGCAAACCCAATACAAAACCTACCATTTAAGGATGATATTTACAACCCATGTATCGCATTATTGGGTTTACCATGGTTTACCACATTACTAAACATACGCTTAATGTACAACAACTTCGACCTCGCACAGGCAAGGCCAGGCCTTTCTGAGCGCTTACCGCCAGGCTCTAGAGGCCCTTGGAAGCCCCGCGGCCCTTGAGTTTTGATCGGATCAGGTCCACCGTCCACTTCATGTTCAAGAAGATGAAGACGCACTGGGCAGGATGGAGAATGGGATGAGATTTGGGATGTTTAGTTTGTAGGATGCTTGGGAGGTTGGAATGGTCCATAGTGGTCTTGGCCCGACTTGGACGTTTCCGGAAAACAGGTTGCACGGGATCTCAGATCACATCGCATTGTGCTTGGCATTTGGTGCCCAAGAAAGTTCGCTTATATAAGTACGCAGAAATCCGCAGAACAATCTCCCGGTTTCTTGCTTAGCTTCCCCCTATTCAGTTTTTCAGTCATCATATGTCATCATGAAACATCAGTGGTCCCTCCCTCCGTCGCGGCCTGCATGACGGGAGTGATCGCAATGAGGTTCAAAGGAGTGCCGACTCGATTGGACTCTTTGATCCACTCCTGACCAAGGTGCTGCCCCCGAAAATTCGTTGGTTTACAAACCTGAAACCCAGTAAACATATGTAAATATATGTAGTTATATCTGTTATAATTAGCAAAAACCTCAGTTATTCTAGTTCTGAAATGTTATAAACCAACTTACAAAACTTAGCTAACTATCAGGCACCAACTTCACTGCTCTGAGTGCTTCACACGTGTAATCACGATCAGCAGGTAGGGATAGATCACCAAGCGGATCACAAACCTGCCGACAGTCCATAAATCGGTTTGGCTCAGAAAAGGTGTACTGTTCTGGATCCAAAATGTCATGAAATTTACACAGCATCAACTTGTTATTTATTTGTTGTTCTTGGGTAATTATTTCTGAACCTTAGCCAAATGGATAAGCTTCCAGAAACTTCCAGTGCAGCTTCCGCACCAGGAGAGGTAGAAGCAGCCAGAGATGGTTGCGGTTCGAATTGACCTGAAGTGCACGGCTAAGTATCAGATGGCAATGACACCGAGGGAAAGTTGGTGTAAGAATCATCCTAGCTGTAATTGAAGTTATGTATATATATATAATCATTTGCATCCTATGAATAAATGCCATGAATGAACATCTCATCCGAATGATCTATGAAATAAACGAAAATCGTTTTATCAGAAAATGTGGGCGAACACTCGCTTGATCCGATTCTGTGCAAATGCTGGCCACAACAGGCACCTCATGAGCTTTACTAAGATCACGTTGCCATGGGGACTTGTGACTTACAATTGCCTTCTAAGTGGGATTATGATACAGTATATCATGATGATCATGATGACAATGACGAGGATGAAAATCACCATAATGACTAATAATGATCATAGATGGCAAGAATCTATATGACAATCATCAGGATAATGACAATAGTGACAGTAAGTATTTTCTGATTACTGTGATACTTGCTCACACATACACAATCGGGATTTGAGCAACACCACATTTCAACTAGCCCCAAATTCTGGGTTTGAGCCAAGAGAAACCAGAATCTTAAAACTAACAAAAAAGGGAAGTTCAGACACCCAAATTGGGAATCAGAACTATACTCACATCAGGTTTTAACTCACAATCACAGCGATCAGTAATTCTTTTGTCAATAAAGGAGGGTATGTCTCAAAATGGGGCACCTCAAAGGCTGGGTTTTACATTTTGACCCACGACCATGTAATTAGTAGGCATCTACTGGGCTATGTTATTTATCCTATATGCCGTGCATGTATGCACATAGAAGATTGGATATTGATATAATACCAGTAGTACCCGCACGAGGCGGGGCGGAAGTTGCCTTAAAGATATATATATATAAGACTTTTCTCATCTATAGAACTTGCATGCGCCGTGCGCCAGAGAAGCCCGTGCGTGCGTGCACTCTGCGAAACTGGTGTCTTGTTTCACATGTCACATTTGAAGCTCCACGTCACACTTCACACTTGACAGTCTTCACACTTCACACTGCACTCTTCACACTGCACTCTTAAGACTCCACACTTCACACTTCACACTCCACACGTCACGCTCCACACTTCACACGTCACACTGCACTCTTCGCACTCCAAACTTCACACTTCACAGTCCACACTTCACACTTCACAGTCCACACTTCTCACTTCTCACTGCTTTCTTCACACTCCAAACTTCACACTTCACACTTCACACTGCACTCTTCACGCCCCACACTTCAGACTGCACTCTTCACACTCGACACTTCATCTCATCTGAGCCCTTCTCACCTTATCACAGCTCATCTCTTCTCATATGTCATCTAAGCTTTCATGAATCACTTCCCAGTACTACTACTAATCACTGTCGCAGCCTTGATGCACCCACTACAATACGATTTACGATGTTCAGCTGCAAAAAACAAAAGTATTACGCATGCAGCAGCTGCGCCAAGCAACCTTGACGCAGCCATTACAATGCGATCTGCAGAGACTGAGTTGCAAAACACAATAGAACTACGCGCAAGGATGTCGGAAATTGCAGCTCCAAAACCGGATCTCGACGCCAAAGCGACAAAAAGACGATTTTGAAGCACTTTTTAAAAGGAATTTTAAAAGGAAAATTACTAGCGCCTAAATGGAGAAAATCTGCTGACAAATCACTGTCGCAGCCTTGATGCAGCCATTCCAATACGATTTACGATCTTCAGCTGCAAAAGACAGTAGTATTACGCATGCAGCCGCGGCACCGAGCAACCTTGACGCAGCCACTACAATGTGATCTGCAGAGACTGAGTTGCAAAACACAATAGAACTACGAGCAAGGGTGTCGGAAATTGCAGCTCCAAAACCGGATGGATCTCGACGCCAAAGCGACAAAAAGACGATTTTGAAGCACTTTTTAAAAGGAATTTTAAAAGGGAAATTATTAGCGCCAAAATGGAGAAAATCTGCTGACAATTCACTTTCGCAGCCTTGATGCAAACATTCCAATACGATTTACGATCTTCAGCTGCAAAAGACAATAGTATTACGCATGCAGCCGCTGCACCAAGCCATTACAATGCGATTCACGATCTTCAGCTGCAAAAGACAATAGTATTACGCATGCAGCCGCAGCACCGAGCAACCTTGACGCAGCCACTACAATGCGTTTCGCAGCATCCCGTAGCAAACCTGCACCTATCTAAGGACGTGGCAACATCCAATGACGACAATGAAGCAGCCATTCCAATGCAATCTGCAACTAGAGATTCAAGAACCGCATGGAACTACGCACACAGACACAACCACTCGTTGCAAAACACATATATAGGAGGAACAATTCGCGCAGCAGAAACGACCGCAGCCGCCACAGGTACCTCTTCATCGCCGGCTTGCAGCCACTTTACACGGAAAAACACAAGGTTCGTGCTCCGCTTTCCTCCCCACAACATAGCCCATGCAACATTTCATGCAGCCATTTACAATGCGTTTCGAAGCATCCCGTAAGCAAACCTGCCCATCTACGGACGTTGGCAAACACCAATGACAACAATCATGCAGCCATTCAAGCGATCTGCCACCACAGCTTTCAAGAAGAAACGCATAGAACTACGCACACAGGAACAACCACTCGTTGCAAAACACATAGGAGGAACAATTCGCGACAGAAAAGACCGCAGCCGCACCGCCGCACAGACGAGGTACCTTTCATCGCCGGCTGCAGTCACTTTACACGGAAAAACACAAGGTTTCGTGCTCCGGCTTCCTCCCCAACACAAAGCCCATGCAACATCATGCAGCCATTACACTGCGTTTCGCAGCATCCCGTAGCAAACCTGCACCTATCTACAGACGTGGCAACACCAAATGACAACAATCATGCAGCCATTCCAATGCGATCTGCCACCACAGCTTCAAGAAACGCATAGAACTACGCACACAGGAACAACCACTCGTTGCAAAACACATAGGGGGAACAATTCGCGACAGAAAAGACCGCAGCCGCACCCGCCGCACAGACGAGGTACCTTTCATCGCCGGCTGCAGCCACTTTACACGGAAAAACACAAGGTTTCGTGCTCCGGCTTCCTCCCCACAACATAGCCCATGCAACATTCATGCAGCCATTACACTGCGGTTCGCAGCATCCCGTAGCAAACCTGCACCTATCTACGACGTGGCAACACCAAATGACAACAATCATGCAGCCATTCCACTGCAATCTGCCACCACAGCTTCAAGAAACGCATAGAACTACGCACACAGGAACAACCACCTCGTTGCAAAACACATAGGAGGAACAATTCGCGACAGAAAGACCGCAGCCGCACCGCCCGCACAGACGAGGTACCTTTCATCGCCGGCTGCAGCCACTTTACACGGAAAAACACAAGGTTTCGTGCTCCGGCTTCCTCCCCAAAACATAGCCCATGCAACATCATGCAAGCCATTACACTGCGTTTGCAGCATCCCGTAGCAAACCTGCACCTATCTACGAACGTGGCAACACCAAATGACAACAATCATGCAGCCATTCCAATGCGATCTGCCACCACAGCTTCAAGAAACGCATTAGAACTACGCACACAGGAACAACCACTCGTTGCAAAACACATAGGAGGAACAATTCGCGACAGAAAAGACCGCAGCCGCAACCGCCGCACAGACGAGGTACCTTTCATTGCCGGCTGCAGCCACTTTACACGAAAAACACAAGGTTTCGTGCTCCGGCTTCCTCCCCAAAACATAGCCCATGCAACATTCATGCAGCCATTACACTGCGTTTCGCAGCATCCCGTAGCAAACCTGCACCTATCTACGGACGTGGCAACACCAAATGACAACAATCATGCAGCCATTCCAATGCGATCTGCCACCACAGCTTCAAGAAACGCATAGAACTACGCACACAGGAACAACCACTCGTTGCAAAACACATAGGAGGAACAATTCGCGCACAAAACGACCGCAGCCGCAACCGCCGCACAGACGAGGTACCTTTCATCGCCGGCTGCAACCACTTTACACGGAAAAACACAAGGTTTCGTGCTCCGGCTTCCTCCCCAAAACAGAGCCCTTGCAACATCATGCAGCCATTCCAATGCGATCTGCAAGCACAGATTCCAAAACACCCTATAACTACGCACACACAAGCACACCCAAAGCAACTTGAAGCCACCGTTACAATGCGGCAAAAAAAAAAGGCAAACCGACCGCAGCCGCACCCGCCGCACAGACAAGGTACCTTTCATCGCCGGCTGCAGCCACTTTACACGGAAAAACAAGGTTTCGTGCTCCGGCTTCCTCCCCAACTCACCACTTCCCTTCCTCACCGCTTCCCATCGTCACCACTTCCCATCGTCACCACCTCCCTTCGTCCACTTCCCTTCCTCACTACTTCCCTTCCTCACCACTTCCCATCGTCCCCACCTCCCTTCCTCACCATTCCCCTTCATCATCACTTCCCTTCGTCACCACTTCCCATCGTCACCACTTCCCTTCGTCACCACTTCCCTTCGTCACCACTTCCCATCGTCACCACTTCCCTTCGTCACCACTTCCCTCGTCACCACTTCCCTTCGTCACCACTTCCCTTCGTCACCACTTCCCATCGTCACCACTTCCCTTCGTCACCACTTCCCTTCGTCACCACCCGTCATTATCACCACCCTTCATCAAAGTCAATTCCACTGCTTCTTATTCTTTTGTTATGTATTGTTATGTTATGTATTGTTATGTGATCTACCACCCTGCATCATTTCAAGTCGCAGAATTCTATTTGTCCGTAACACGGAAGTATTGCTTCCCAAATTCCTTTGATTATTACTACTAAGGTTACAGAAAATCACTAAGATTATTTGAAAGTTCATGCCGGTTTTGAAAGCATTCTTTGTCTTGAAACTTCAAAGGGCAGGGAGTACCGTGGAATTCGAGTTGCGACGAGACAACCTCACTGCATTTTCTTGCGGTGTTCTCCAATCAAAGCATAGGTTCCAAGACCCCACCAAAACCCGGTTGTTACCTTAGATATCCCCAACCCCAACCCCAACCCCAGAGCCCCAACCCCAGAGCCTAGCCCCAAACGCCAACCAAGGCATGAACAACGTGAGCTTCACCTACCCCACCAAGGACAAGCCGACCATCATGGACGTCAGCCTCACCGTGTCGCAGGTGAGCCGTGTGGCGGTGATCGGCGCCAACGGTGCGGGGAAGTCCACTGCCATCAAGGCTGGGGCGAAGGGGGGGCTGGATGGGTGGATGGGTTACCATGAACGATCTGGGGAAATTGAAAGTTTTTTTTTTCTTTAAACGTGTAACGTGTAACTACTTGTATATCATACTATATCATACTATATACAAGTAGTGATATTTTGGGCCATAGTTATAGTATACTATTAGTGATATATGATATCATAGTGATAATACTATATCATCTATATCTATTTTGGGCCATTTGAGTCAATAGTGATCCACGTTAACGCCATCTTGGGATTTTTAGGATCTTCCCCAAGGCTTCGATGATCTTCGATGCTTCCCCAGGTGTTGGTGGGAGAACAGCTGCCAACGGAAGGTTCCATTTGGAAGGCCCAGGGCTTGCGATTAGCATACGTGGCTCAGCACGCTTTCCATCACTTGGAGAAGCACATGCAGGAGCCGCACCGTCGGGGACAGGTCCTCCGGTAAGGGCCATGGAACACCACCATTTTTTATAGGTAAATCATGGTAAATCTACAGAAACGGGCCATTTGCTGGGTTGAGTCAATAGCGAATAAGCCTGGTTTATAAGTCCCTGAAGTAGGGCTATCCAATTATCCAATGTACAATTAATTGGGTTGCAGCAACCTCACTTACGAACAAGTTATAGCATATAACTTATGGTATTAACCCCTTCCCTCAATATAAAATAGCCTCCAAAATCCTCCAAACAACACCCTGGTTTAGTGCTGGATTCGTTCATTTTGCGATCCCCTCATTAGGGGGACTTGTTTGATATGCTTGTGGGATGTGATCATTAGAATAAAAACCAACAATAGATCTGGGTAAATTATAACGACCTCACTGCGACCTCACTGGAATCATGGTTAGTAAGGGGAATCATCTCCAAATGGCCTTAATTCAGGTTAGTGAAATATTATAATTTACCCAGAACAATAGATGGTTGATCATATCTTATGAGAGGCTGTTGATGGTTAAGCACCGCTGATCCTAAGGAGACCCCGACGGCTTACATCATGTGGCGCTTCGCCGGCAACGATGACCGAGAGTCCCTCGAGTTCAAGACCGATGAGCTGTCCGTGGACGAAGAGAAGGTTGCGAAGCGAAAAAAATGTGGATTTTGAAGCATAGATATTAACCATAGATATTAACCATAGATATTAACCATCGAAAAAGGTGATTGAACCCATGAGAAATGATGATTTAGCCATGAAAACGGGTGATTTACGCACAAAAACATGCTGATTTCAGCAGCAAGGATGGTGACTTAGCGAAAATGCAACGGAAATGCATGGTGATGTAAGTAGTAAAAGCGAGGGTTTAAGCATGAAAAACAGGGGTTTGACCATCAATCATAATTAGTGAGTGATTTACACATTATTTCACCCTACTCGTATCATATTCTATCATGTCCCAATCATAGCTGCTATATGAGTCATTGTTCCTTAAATTCCGACATTATTGTTGGTTAAATTCCGATTCATTATTGTAACATCAGCAAACAATTTTGCTAGTAGAGTATTGCATATGTTGATACGATACACAATAACATTTGCTATTATTATCATTAATACTATCATGTCTATTTTATTGTCAGTTCTTATTGTTGTGCTACAATTGTCATGATTACAATAAATCTTGCTATCATTGGTATCATTAGCATAATTTTTCATTGTTCGTATCATAACCATTATCCTTGTTACTAGTACAATACTAATACCGTTATTACTGCTATCATTACTATAGCCATGCCACAAGTGCAATTGTCATTTATATCATCATTATTTTCTATCAATGAACCAACGTTCTTATAGCAATATATTATAATAAATGATTACTACCAAATTACCAATACTATTATGATGACCATTACTATAATCATTGTCATGGTTCTCACATTATAATACACCATTATCATAATTAATACTATGATCATACTATTAGCTATTACTATAACAGTCATTGTCATTGCTATCATTATCAGTATCATATATACAATGGCATGCTATAACAATGGCATTACTATTACTATAATCATGCTATAACTCTGATACCACTATACAATCATTACCATCCCATTTGCCATGGGACTCTCATTTGTTGTAGGCCCGTTCTCAGAAGTGGTGCATTGACAGCGTGACGGGCAACGTGCGTCGCTGCACCGACCCCAAGGTGTGATGCTCCACAGATGGCGTTGATTCGTTGATGGTGAGTTGGATTTATGGAATTTCAATGGATTGGTTTAAGGGAAATCTTAACCGGAAACCATCGATTTTCCCATTAAATGTGGGGCTTTCCGGTTTCAATTTTCCTTTAAACCAATCCATTGAGAAATGGTAGTGAGATGTGGGATTTGAATGTGGATGACGGATGATTTTATAGTGGACGTATGTGGACTTTGGGCATACCATTTAGGGGATGCACATCCACCTGTACATGGTTCGTAACTGGGGCATAATTTGAAAGAAATCACTAGATATCCGACATATCCTGAGTATGTTTGGTCTTATATCTAGTGAATCTAGTAATTACTGACTAACCGATATCCTTGCTACGCGCAAGCGGTTATATCTAACAGGTCCTAATTAAAACATATCCCAGGCCAGTTACAATGGGCGTTTTCACATAGTCGTATCCAGAGTTACTAACAATTCCAGATGCTAACCATATGGTAACCGCCCCCAAAAAGGTAGAACACTGATCTATCACTGTTTCAGACGATTATTTCGGTGTATATATATATACACACAATATATGTATATATATACATAAATAATAATAATAATAAAATAATAATAATAAAATAATAATAATAATAATGATAATGATAATAATACTAATAATACTACTAATAATAATAGTAATAATAATAATAGTAATAATAATAATATAATAGAATATATATATAATATGTATGTATATATATAATAGAATATAATATGTATATATATATTATTTATATCTATATATTTGCGGGTTAATTTACTTTAAGCGTTTAAACATCGTCGTCATATGGATCTCCTCCAGGAAGATGCGAAGAAGGCCAAGCAGGATGAGGCCGGTGCAGTGATCCCGGATGCCATTGTGAACCGCCGTCAGAAGAAGAAGGTGGGCACGGGAGCAATCAATGGATATTGATGGTGATTGATGGTTAATAATGGTTAATAGTGGTTAATAGTGGTTAATAGTGGTTAATAGTGGTTAATAGTGGTTAATGATATGAAACGACTAGGGGTTATTGATGGATATTGATTGTTAATAGTGGTTAATAGTGGTTAATGATGGTCGATAGTGGTTTTTGTTGGTTAATGATGGTCAATGATGGATTGGTTTTGTTGGGAAAATCTGAGCCGGAAACCCATGGGCTTTTACTATGAAATGACTAGGGGTTATTGATGGTTAATAGTGGTTTTTAATATGGTTAGTAAGGTTTTCATAGTGGTTAATAGTGGTTGGTTAACCACTGAAGCTGGGAAGTTGATGAGTTGATGAGTTGGGGACAAATGATATGTTAGTTTGCGGCAATAGGTTAGGATCCACCATCCACCAATATTTTGCCATCTCTGAACGGGTGGGATTCCAACCATCGATTTGGGTTTTTGTGGTTAAAAAAACCTTGCTTTACAAGACAAAAAACATCATTTACATATGATATCCCCATGAAATCCCTGATATCCCCATGAAATCCCATTAAACTCGCCATTAAATTCAGGATGTTTCCATTGAACTCCCAAGCACAAGATTTCTGTTGGTGAGTTTTCCAGACTCTTTTCACATGAGCCATCGGGATCATGGGATCATTTCACCATCATTTTTTTTGGGTCGCCAGGAGAAGACCTTCGAGTACGAGGTCAAGTGGCAGTTCAAGAGCATGGACTCCAACACCTGGGTGGAGAAGGACCGTGGCAGACCATGGCAGACCATGGCAGACCATGGCAGACCATGGCAGATGGAAACCCAACAGGGGCGGATGGATGGAGCATCCAAAGCATGAAACAGTGATGGTGATAAAAAACCGCGGAACATGGAAGATTTGACCATCCGAAGATGGCTACGCAGTAAAGTGATGACTGAGGAATGGCGACTGAGTAGCAACAAAAAGGGGAACAACGAACCAACAAAGATGGGGAAGGAACTGTTTTTTGGAGCCTCAAGGCCTCAAGTCCCATCACGATCACGGAAATTTGGTGTCGCGTGGTCAAACTTCGTCGCCCTACAAAAATCTGGGATGGTTTCAGATCCAAAACATGTCCAGCCTGTGGACCCAGTGGTTTCCTAATCATTTCTATCCCTTGGGACATGGCTTATACCCCAATCTATTGAATTACTGATGGCTTATACCCCAATCTATTGAATTACTGAATATTGCTGACTCATATTGTAGCCTCATACTATGCCTCCAGAATGAAGACAGGCCTATGGTGATTTGACTTAATTGGCTTCCGTGGCTTGGATGACCAGAGGTGATATCCCGATCCCAGAAACATATCCCATTACACCACCATTCTTGATGCTTAAATCACCAAAAACTTGATGGTTTTTTGTCAGCAAAATATTACCAGAGGATACTCCATGATTTTTCCAGTTCCATCCCCATCATTTTGCCCATTTCCGTGAAAAACTACCATGGTGAACCACCGGTGTTCGCGGCAGGACACCTTGGTGAAGATGGGCTACCTGAAGCTGGTGCAGCGCGAGGATGAACGTCAGGCCGCGATGGCTGGTCTGATGACCAAGCAGCTGACGCAGCCAGGTGCGGCCTGGGCTTCGAACCCAAGGGGTTTGGGGGAGCATTTTTTTTGGAAACCATACTTTTTAAGGGGGGCCAAACATCTTGATATGTTTTTGTTTGGTGGTATTGAATAGTTCTTAAATTGAACATCTTTGTTTGGGCCAAGAATTTTGATCCACATATTTCACCTTTTGGCAGCATCATGATCTTCATCCCCACCTTGAGACGTTAGAACATTGAAACTCCCATGATGCTCGACGGTCGGCTGAACCTCGGCAGGTGTTGAGAAGCACTTGGCGGATTTCGGTGTTGATGCTGAGAGTGCCAGCCACACGCAGATCAACCAGCTTTCCGGAGGAATGAAGGCTGGCTTTCCGGGCACATCGCATTTCTTGGGGCAGCTGAAAACCCAACCGTTGTTTCACGGCGTCCGAGAGCTCCTGCGTTTTACCAGCCATTTGGGTGTGTCAAAAAATAGATAAACGCCACCAAAATGAAGAATTAATAGGGTAAAAACCAATCGGATTGGGCGGTTTTCCGATCATGTTCAGGTACCACATCACTACCACACCCATATTTCTATAGCCAAAATCATGCTAAATCACAATTTTTGTCAATGGCCATTTCAGGAACCTAAATTGGAGGTACCTACCATATATTTTTGGCCTATGTTTTAGGCCTAAATTTCAGGGGATATACCATGATATACCCCCAAAATATGGCCAGCCTTATATGGTACTAACGTACCTCCATTTTGGGATCCTGAAATTCCCATTGAAATTATTATTAATATCCCATTAAGATGGCCATTTGTTATGGGTAAATCACCATTTTTCATGGTTTTCAGTCGTTCCGGCGAGGTGAAGGTGGTCCTGGCTGCGGCCATGTGGCAGAACCCCCACGTGCTGATCTTGGATGAGCCCACCAACTACCTGGACCGCGAAGGCTTGGCCGGCCTTCATGACAACAGCTGTGGAAATTGATGATGATTATTATCATCATCATTATAATCATTATATAATGATTATGATTATCATTATCATCATTATTATCATTATCATTATTCTTATTATCATCATTATTATATATTATTATCATTGTTATTATCATCGGTATTATTGTCCTTATCTCTTGTCACCATCGCCAGGTCTGGATTTTTGACGCCAGGTCTGGGAGCTTTGATCCTGGCCATCAAGGACTACAAGGCCACCGAGACGTTGGTTCGTTGGTTGAAACGGGGGATGGAAGGATTTGGGCCTCGTAGTCCTTAATGGCCAATAGGCCTATAGGTATCTCCATATAGTGGTTATATAGTGGTTATTTGGGGACATAATTATAGTTATAGCACTATAGTAACTATATATGTTGGTTACTATAGTGCTAGAAACTATAATTAGAACCAATCTTCCATACTATCTATATTAACTATAGGTATAATTACCATGATGGGAAATATGAGATGGTTTCCATAAATGGGGGTACCCCAATAGCTAGATGGTTTATTTCATGGAAAATCCCATCTATAAATGGATGATTTGGAGCTACCCCCATGGAGTGGAAACCTCCATTTCACCATGAACAATGGAAGGAAAACAGATTTTGAGCATTTTTTCCATGTGTAAATCCTCATTTCTTGTGGTCAAATATGGCTTTGTGTCGAAGTATCAGGCCCAGTGATCCAAACGGATGGACGTGGGACACAGCAACTGATACAAGCTGAGAAATGCGAAAGAAGCAATATACGATATGAGATAAACTCAGACAGGGAGTTCGCCAGCCATAGATCCCATTGATAGGTGATTTTCCCCAGCTATAAAGTATAACCCTCCGTTTATGGTGTTTTTTTCTCATATTTTCCGAATTCTTCCTATTATTTTCCCATTAACGCCTTCATAAAATGGTGGATTTTGAAGCTCCATCCGCATTGTTGCCAGGGCGGTGTGCTCATTATCTCCCACAACAAGGAGCCTGCGGGGAATTCCCTAGGGCTCCAGGGGTGCTCCAAGGGCACTTTGCGAACTGGACAAGCAACCTTTTTTTAAAGGTAAATATTGGTAAATCATCTATCAATGGCTGACTTTCTGCAGCTTTGTTAAAGAACCAAAGGTGATACTTCTTTATATTGACCTAATTTACTACATGCCTGAGGTGTTGGGAGCAACCCTGAGAATCTTTGAGATCTATTTTGCAATCCTATCCCCCGATTAAAAATATCATAACCCCACGACTGGGACCCCAATTCGTTTGGGGCGTATTTGATATTGGAAGGGATGAATCACAGGATTGAACCCATGGTGTACCAAATTTAAGTGTCGGCGATACCAAACTTGGACAGTTTTCCAAATTCAGTTCCCTTCTCCAACTACGGTATGTCCTCAATGATCTCCACACATCTGACTGAAAAGCAGGTCTGATACCATTGATCTTTATCGTGATGGGAAAGAGAAGGCCATGATATGAACATATGGGGATTTCAGTCAACTTGGTGATATTATTTGTTTGATTTCGGGTAAGGGGAGGCAATCATCCATGAAAAATAATGCTATTAATATTCGGGTCATGGCTCTGCAATTGGGAATAAGTATCCTGCACCTGCGGATAGGGATATACATTTGGATGCACAATGATACAAACGGCAACCAAGAGCCTTCCGGGAATGATGGGAGTGAAGTTAAGACTAAAAAGCATAGCTAATCTTGGGAGTGACCAGTGACCAACACACATTGGTATATAATGGGTTTACACCCATATCCTAATATCAAACTATCTATTACAATATATGAATATCAGGATATGTATATATATATATAACATACATGGACAAGCACCCCACTACATTTGAAGTCAGCATATGTACACATCATGTAAAATTCATCGTCTGATGCTTAAATCCCATACCGGCTGGTGAAATCCGTAAATGGCCACGATGTTGATTTGCTGGTGAAATCCGTATTTGCGATGGCGAGTCCCTACTAAATCCCGCTTGTTGATGGTTGATAGTTGTATTCCTCAGTTGCATCCCATATACATACATACATACATACATACATACATACATACATACATACATACATACATACATACATACATACATACATACATACATACATACATACATACATACATACATACATACATACATACATACATACATACATATATACATATATTTGTCTTATACCTCTTTTATTCCATGATTGATAGCTATATTCCCAATTTTCAATCCTCATTATATAATATCCCAGTAGATCATCATTACATTCCAATATATCCTTATCAGACTTATCATTGCATCATCATTTGATGATTAGATCCGTATATTTGATGGTTCATTTCCTAATCAATATTATTTGATTTCCTATTATTCATGGCTAAATTGCTATCCAAAAAAATAATTCCAAGATATCGCACAGTTATATCCCCACCAAAAAAATATATCCACATGTCATCATATATGTCCATTCCCATGATAGTTATAAAAACTCCCCGTTTTTCCATGGCCGATCTCCCCATTTAAAAGAGGCCGTTCCATTGGGAAAACGTGCGTTTTGTTTCGAGGAGTTCTGCGACAACGTGGCCACCGAGAAGTGGATTATGCAAGGCGGTCGCCTGCGTATCGAAGGCGAGTCCGTTGACACCTCCAAGGACGAGTCCGTTGGGCAAGGCGAAGGTCTAAGGGTATGGCAAAATTTTTGGAGGAGAATCATAGAACATTCTTTTATACAGATTACATTACATTATATAATACATAATATGATATATATTTATATATACATATATGATAATATGATATTCTATGATATATATATATAATGTTTATATTTATACTTAGCATTTCAATGATTTCAATGGCAATTTTTTGGGGTGGACTCTCCTTTTTGGACCCAAATCGGTCCAAGTCCAACATTTTTCGAGAAACTCCAGGTCCCCGAGCTCCACGTTGCCAGGACGATGCCAGTGGTGCACAGGGACCCGATGAGGTCTTTGATGGCGCAGGAAATAAGATCGAGGTGAAGAAGAGCGTCACCATGACCGAGAAGGCGCCTGGGGCGGGGGGTGATTTTTTTGGGGCCTAGACCTGAGGTGACTTGTTTTTTTTTGGCTTGGAATGTGGGTAAATCACAATATGAATTGGCCGATTGGGGGTACCAAATCATAGTGTGAATCTGGACAAAGCAGATCTGGAAGGGTTTTGAATCCTTCGGTCCCACATGGTCCCACGTTCCATCCCCGGGCATCAGTGGTTCTGCCACCTCGGGTATTTGATCGGTTAGGCGACCCTAAACTTGTGATGGTTCATGGTTCCTCGACTCAACATGGCGGTGAATCTTTGACACCATGAATTTCCGGAAGATGCTCTTTTGCATTAAACATGAGTGCGATTTGGGTCTACTTCCCAGACAAGTGCTAAGCAGTTCGGATGTGGTGGTTTCTTCTTTATGATTGGCTTACACCCACGGTAGCTTACGAGGTACCAACTGGAATGGGCCAAATAACTGGTGTGCCGCATTGCCTCACAGGACAAGAAGAAAGCCATCAAGGACATTGAGAAGAAGATCAAGGACGCAGTGCTGACTTGTGGGTGTTACATGGTGGGTATGTTGGGGGGACCACTTGCCAGCTTCAGGGTGCATCCCCGTAGCCTCTGGGGTTTTCCAAAAATGGGTGGATGGACCCCCAAGCCATGGCATGTTGTTTTGGATCAGCCTCTGGAGCAAGGATGGCAAGAAGAAGCAGACCCTGACCGACGAAGAGGTCTGGGATTCTTGGCAGATGGAAAGATGTGGGATGGCTTAGAGTGAGGGGCAGGGCCATGCAGGGCCCATAACCCACAAGGCCCCACAGATATCATTTACTGTGACACATTGAAGGGTACCAGGCAGCAGGTAACCATGCCCCAAGTGCTTGCACAGTGACTTTGAGGGGACCACCCATTCCTAGAATTTAAGACAAATCTCCTCGAAATTGGATGATGTAGTGCCAAACAAGCTCAATATTTGTGGGTCCAGAAAGGTACCCTGTTATTGACACCAAATCCTAAGGAATTGGAGGACAAACTCAACGAGCTCAAGGAAAGCCTGAAGGGCAAGGACCAACATTGGCACGTGGCCATGGGGTGGAAAAAAGACATGTTCTCCCTACCAAGTAGATAGGTGAAGCGTAATTATGGTTGTTTTTTTTTTTCCCAGGGCATCCAAGATAAAGCCATGTGTTGGGTGATTGATAGCTATGTAAACTACCGAGCAATGGGTGCAAATGGCAGCGAAGGTCCAAGAAGACAGCAAGGGGACGCCCTTCTGGGAAGAGCTGGTGATTCAGTAATGCACAGCACGATTGTGGTCAGATAAATTGCTAAGGAAGATGCCTGGAAACCAAGCAGTTTGATTCGATAACCCTTGTTTTTTTCTTCGGTTTTGTTTCTGTGACCTCTGCGACCTGATTTCTTGCGAATGTTGAAACAGACATTGCACCTTCACCGAAAAGAACTGGCCCCAGGAGTGAGTGGAGTTCTCTTTCCGCTTGAAGAAGCGAGGAAACATCGACATCTCACAACGGTGAGAGAAAAAAAAGGGCCAAGCCGCCGGCGCGGTGTCGAAAGCCCATGGGTTAAAGGTGGAAATGGCTTTGATAAACAGCTTCAAATGGCATTTTCCAACATCGAAAATCTTCAAAACAACTCAACACCACTTGGCTTTGAACATTTCGGCGAACCTCAAAAATCGATGCTGGTTTCAAAGATGTTTCAAGATGTTTAACGTGGTTTAACACAGAACACACCTCATTTTCCCATGTTTTTCCCATGGTTTTCCCATCTCCCCCAGGTGGCCCGGCGCGTGGCGGCGGAGCGCGGCGAGGCGCTGGGCGGCTCGGTGGGCTATGCGGTGCGCTTCGATGCGGTGCGGTGGCCCGGTGTCGCCCGGTGATCGCCCAAGGGCCCACGGGATGGTGATTTATATTACCCTGATGGTAAATTATTGAAATTACCCTGATGGTTAATGATGGTTATATATATAATTAATGATGGTATATGATGGTTAGTTAATGATGGTATATGATTCAATGATGGTTAATGATGGTATATGATGGTTAATGATGGTATATGATGGTTAATGATGGTATATGATTCAATGATGGTTAATGATGGTATATGATGGTTAATGATGGTATATGATGGTTAATGATGGTATATGATGGTTAATGATGGTATATGATGGTTAATGATGGTATATGATGGTTAATGATGGTATATGATTCAATGATGGTTAATGATGGTATATGATGGTTAATGATGGTATATGATGGTTAATGATGGTATATGATGGTTAATGATGGTATATGATGGTTAATGATGGTATATGATAGTTAATGATGGTATATGATGGTATATGATGGTTAATGATGGTATATGATGGTTAATGATTGTTAATTAATGATGGTATATGATGGTTAATGATGGTTAATTAATGATGGTATATGATGGTTAATGATGGTTAATTAATGATGGTATATGATGGTATATGATGGTTAATGATGCTTAATTAATGATGGTATATGATGGTATATGATGGTTAATGATTGTTAATTAATGATGGTATATGATGGTATATGCTGGTTAATGATGGTTAATTAATGATGGTATATGATGGTATATGGTGGTTAATGATGGTTAATTAATGATGGTATATGATGGTTAATGATGGTTAATGATGGTATATGATGGTATATGATGGTTAATGATGGTATATGATGGTTAATGATGGTATATGATGGTTAATGATGGTATATGATGGTTAATGATGGTATATGATGGTTAATGATGGTATATGATGGTTAATGATGGTATATGATGGTTAATGATTGTTAATTAATGATGGTATATGATGGTTAATGATGGTTAATTAATGATGGTATATGATGGTTAATGATGGTTAATTAATGATGGTATATGATGGTATATGATGGTTAATGATGCTTAATTAATGATGGTATATGATGGTATATGATGGTTAATGATTGTTAATTAATGATGGTATATGATGGTATATGCTGGTTAATGATGGTTAATTAATGATGGTATATGATAGTATATGATGGTTAATGATGGTTAATTAATGATGGTATATGATGGTTAATGATGGTTAATTAATGATGGTATATGATGGTATATGATGGTTAATGATGGTTAATTAATGATGGTATATGATGGTATATGATGGTTAATGATGGTTAATTAATGATGGTATATGATGGTTAATGATGGTTAATTAATGATGGTATATGATGGTATATGATGGTTAATTTATGATGGTTAATGATGGTATATGATGGTATATGATGGTTAATGATAGTTAATGATGGTTATATAATTAATGATGGTGAAATTATTTTTTCCCCAATAGTTGGGATGATGATCCAATCTGACGAACTCATATTTTTCAGAGGGGTAGGTCAACCACCAATCAGACTTGTTGACCCTGAAAATAAGCCATTTTTAGTGGAAACCAGTCTTCCAAGCCCGATGACTGCCAGGGTCTATGTGAATTTACCGGAGGGTATATTATATAGATCACCATCCCTTTTATATTTTATATGACATATATTATAGATATTTAATACTCATGTTGATTTCTAAAGGCCAAATATGGCCAAATTGTAACAGGATTGTAGCTATTTATAGATATAAGATTATATAAATGATGGAAATTGATAGATTCTATAGAAATGTTATAGTTATAGATATTATAGATATATTTAATACTAATTATAGATGTAACATGATATACATATCCATATAAATGATGGAAGTTGATGGGCCAGATTCTATGATACATCTAGATTTTAATATACTGTACATCTCCCAAGATTTTTTTTTGGGTGAGAATAGAATCTAATTATTACTAATTATAGATAATAAACTGATATAACATGATATGAATTATTGAAGTTGATTGGTTTCAACATGGTGAAAAATCACTTAGAACATCGGATTCCAGTGGATTTTTCAGCAGGAAGGCAGGGGTCATGGTGCAAGGTTGTGGCCAATTTTTGCCACCAGCTTCGAGTGATGGTTATGTCAGAGGGTTAGAACGTTTACTGGTTGGTGGTTTGGAACATGACATTTATTTTCCATTTCATATATGGGAGAATCCTGACAAAATTGACGAACTCATATTTTTCAAGATGGTTAAAACCACCAACCAGATTATGTCAAGAAAGATTGGGGCTTGCGATGATTTAGGCTGGAACTCATGAACCATCTTTAGAGAATACTGTACCCAAACGAACGAAGAGAATAGACACGGATGGAAACTATAACGATTGAGAAACAGGACAGTTTGAATGGTTTTCACTTTTGGCTATACGGGGTACATTTTGTTGGATTGGGCCACAATTCTCCACCACTCTGCTCCATATGCAGTCCTAGGTCCTAGATTTCCTCCTCGTAAACCTCCGCAAGCACCTGCACAACCACCAAGCCCCCCAAGCATAGACATCGATGCAGTCACCAAGCGGGGCACGGCAATGTGCATGGTTTCACTGGCACCAAATACATCGCAATTTGATATCTACTCTCATGGCCAGATTTGTAGCCATGCATCAGATTTTTTGCAAGTTTTTTTTTTCAGTTCTGATGGAGCAAAATGGCCAGATTTGATGGATCATCCGCCTGTACTCCGACCCTACGATCATAAAATTGCTGGGCTGTTCTGGGTTGTTCAATTAGCGGGTGTTCCACCCAGGCCTCTCACTTTTTGAGGATTACCCCCAGGCAATCAACAGATAGTCTCTTTTTTTGTACTGCACTGGAGCTCTTCATCTATCATTTCGGGGTGATGGGGGGACTGGTCTTTAATATTATGTTGCAGAATTTCAAAATTGTGAATCATTCAGGTCCATTTATATCATTTCATATCCCAAGTTCAGAATTTCAGGATTGTTTTTCAGCCATGATAAACATCCCAAGTTTTCATTTTGTGTTTTACTAATCGATTCATCCCAAGTCCCAGCCATTCCACGGACTGCCGTCTTGGCTCAACGGGCTTCGATGAGATTTCGAGAGGCGTGTGGCCTCAACGCAGCGCCGCAGCGCCCATGGTCCAACACCTGAGTGCCCGTTGCAGCCAGCTGCCGGGTGATTCCTATGACACCGTGGCGGAGACCGATGAGGACTGGCTACGCGGCTACACGGCTAGGTGGGACAAGTTTGGTTTGTCGAATGCTGGAAAAACCGTGGCACCATTTTGGGGAGAGATGTAGACATATATGCATTTTTGACATGATATGAGATGAGATTGGATTATATATGATTATATATGTATGGTATCAGATTATATTGTATTGTATTATATTATGCATTACGTTGTACATTACGTTGTACATTACGTTGTATTGTATTACATTATGTTGTATTTCATTTTTGTGGTCATTGTCAGTTATTGTCTTCTTGTATTGTAATGTAGAGAGGATATGAATGAATGATTGTACACACACACACATTCAGTACGTGCAGCAAACCTTGCGCAGGAGGGGGGCTTAAGCCACCGCTGGCGTCATCCGGCCCCTCCTTCCGATGGCCAGCGGATGGCCGGCAGCTTGCGACGGATTGCCATGGTGGGCACTGCCCTGGTGCTGGGAGTCGCTGCGGTCTATGCACTGCGGCAGACAGCATCTTGGTGGATTTTTGCGGCACAACCGCAGGAGTGATGCGCAAGTTTTGCCCCCCTTGTTTTTTTTTGGCCGTGTGGTAAAGGCGAACACATCTTGAGACATCTTAGAATCTTGAGACAATGCATGAGTTGCTCCAGTACCAAGGTTGACCCAGACAGCCTTGGGGTTAAATGGTTCAGTTGAATGGTGAATCTGGAGATGAATCTTGACACAATGCCACCACTCATTTTGGTATAAATCAGTCGGTGATAGCTTTAAAAATTCTGTATCCTATCGATAATCCTATCGATAAACTGGTAGATAAACCCAGCCTGTGGGAGTTAAAGCACCGTTATTATTGTTATGGTTATCATTGTTATGGTTATTATTATCACTGTTATGTATAATTTATTATATTTCTTTTGTACAATTTTTCCTTATTACTACTATTCTTACTATTATGATATTTATTCATTATTTTCATTTTCTTAAGGTTATCTACAAGCTCACTGGGGTTATACATCCGATCGGACTGGGAGCAGGGCAATCATTGAATAGGTTCCAAGACGTTCCAGAGGATAACCCTGGCTTGATGAAATTCCATTCCCTTTTTCCGTTACAGTAAACAAACACATTCTCCAATGATGGTCTGCCATTAAAAAAGCGTCTAGTAGAACTTATTTTTTTGCAATTTTCTTGGAAATTCATACGAGTTCCTTTGGTGGGAATACAACTTCACCTAAGCAGCAAACAACTGGGTATCCCCATTCTATCGACATTGCATCACCAGGATTTTTGATGGTTAACTCAACTCTCTCCATTTTTCTTGGAGAACTCACCATTTTTGATAGATAAATCACCATTTTTGATGGTCGACTCTCCATTTTTGTTGGTTAACTCCCCATTTGGATTGGTAACTCCCAATTTTTGATGGTCAACTCCAAATTTTTGATAGATCAATCCCGTATGTTCCTCTCTCCCCTGAATTCCACATATGTTTCAACTCCTCATTAACACTTAGAACTATTTCCTTCCCATTCCGTAGGGCTTTTCAGAGCCGGCCAAAGATCTCTCCCCCCTGCGTCAATTCACACACCCCTTTTACCAACATGTCACATCATGTCACTATTGTTGAACTAAAACAATCTTCAAGTTCAACAATAGTCCTACAATAATCCTACAATAGTCCTACAATAATCCTACAATAGTCCTACAATAGTCCTACAATAGTCCTACAATAGCAACAATGTATCTTATTCTGGTATTATATCACTCGTTCTATGCATCCGCCGGGCCGAGGCCCGGAGCGGCCTGGGTGAGTCGCTGCTCTCGGCGCAGCAGCTGATGGGCATCAAGGCACCCCAGTGCCTGAGGGATGAGGAGGAGTTCGCGGGCCTTTGTCACCTGGAACCTGAGGAAAATCATTGGGACAATTCTGGATCTACAAGGTGATGCCCCATAGTTAGATAAGTTGGTTTATAACTCCCATAACTATGGTTTATGGCAGATATAACTATAGTTAATGGGGTTTATAAACCAACTTATAACTGGGGGGCACCACATTGTAGGTTTTTTTTGAGATTGATAGTAAAGAGCTAGAATGAATAGGACCGCTATATATTTTAATCCGAAGTTCGGGGTAGTTCACATGGTATAGCTATGGGTAGGTAAACCTTCACGAAAGCGTCAATTCGTATGTAGTCAACAAAACGCGGAATATCTGAGTTTAACATGAATTAACAGCAAAAAAGCAACGATACATGGAGAGAGTGCCATTGCCCAATCTTGGGTGTATTACTAGCCCAAGAAGTAGGGAATTTCCGTGCTCAAAGACGAGGATTTCACCAGCAATGGGGGCCGGTCTTCCAAGCGTATCCATCTTCGAAACAACCGTTGTTGGCTCCACCTGGAACCAACAAGCGATTGTTACCCTCTGGTAATGACTAACATAGCTATTGAAAATGACCATTTATAGTGGATTTTCCCATTAAAAATGGTGATTTTTTCCATAGCTATGTTAAATTACCAGAGGGTAAATTCGTGGCCACCAGTGGCTCAGGTTACATGAAATGCTCCTTGTTGACTGGTGGTCGTGCACCCTTTCGCGTGGCCGCAAGTGCGTGTTGCGACCTGGTTGCAGGGTGACGTGATTTTTTTCCATTTTTTTTGGGGGGGGATGGCTAGAGTTAGAGACCGGTCGTCTTCCCCCATGGCAGCTTCTTTTGGATGTGTCTGAAAATGGGGTTTACCTTCCAAATGGCTATTTTAATGGAGAACATGATGATCATCCAATGGATTTATTAGGCAAAGCCATGACGAGTTTCCGATGGCAACCAGAGGTGTGAACGACAACCAATTCTTTTGCAGCCTGCTTCAAAGTCAGCAAGCCATCTCAAACAGTTTGTCCGTGGGCGGCGGTGCGGCCATCCACAACAACCCCCATGCCCCCGGCGTGGGCGGGATCTGTGCTCTGGTGGAGGAAGCGTACCAGGTGGCACTGGGGAACTGGGGAAATCGGGATGGGAACATGTTAGAACCTATGATTCTCCATAAATTTGGGGGAATGAACATCCGGAACTACCAGCTATTAAGCAGCTATTTACCAGCTATTTTGATCTATTTTGGCCATGATAGTTTCTTTGTCATTTTTTGTCTTTGGATCCGCATTTCTGAATTTGTGTTGAGGGTCTTTCTATCCACTTGGAAGACTTGTTCGAAGTTGGAGTTGGAGTCCGAGCGGCATGCCGGGCAAACTTTTTTGCACACCTTTGAGGGGAGACACATGAACCATGATTTCTTGTCCCTGCCGGACATTGGCACAGGGATCTCATCTCAGAACCAAAGTTTCTTCCCAGACCTGAAGTCTGTTCTTGCTCAACTTTTCTGTGAAGTTAGCCTTCGCAGGGCCTATGCTATCCCAAGTGTGCAGACTTGACCGACGGGAAATCTGCGCACCGTGTGGGTGCTTTTGCATGTTGTGCTGGCTGCTTGGCGATCTTTTGGTCATCTTTTTAAGGGATGCTGCAGGTGCCATGTTTTTCGATGTTTTTAGGGTGCCTTAAACATGTGAAAGCTCTGCGAATGCGGGGAAATCAAGGCCCAACAATGCCGGTTGGAATCACCCTGCACCAGCTGGGACATCTGAGGTAGTAGAGTGGAGTGCCTCAATGGCAAAGGCACCATCTCTACCAGTCCGGATTTTGGAGGTTCGGTGATCCCGGAGGCCAAAGATACCGGGAGATCGTACAAGGCGATCAACATCATGGATGCCAGGCCAGACAATTGTCAAGGGCTGCCATGGGATGCTATCGGTCTGAAAAATGGGGTTTCATGATCGTTCATGTTACTTCCAAAAGATAATTTTTAAAGTCAATTTAAGAAGGAAACTCATGAAGAATGTTGATTGACCAGTGGATTTAGGAAGACCATCCGGGATGCCCCATGATGCCCTATGGCAAGATTGAACCCCTCAGCAGGTGCGACCACGATGAGGACGAGTTCAATGGCTTATGCTACACCAAGTGTGGCTGGGCGTCAGGTTGTTTCGATTTTAAGTTTGATTCAATGGGATTTCATGGTGATTTCATGGGATTTCATGGGTATAAACCCTGTGGTAATTTAACATAGCTATCAATTATGATGAATTTAGTTCGATGATTTACCTGTTAAACTGGGTGACTTTCCATAGCAATGTTAAATTAAAAGAGGCTAAAAGCATCTTCCAAGCCCAATTTTTGGGTGTCCCATCCCATTCCATTTATCCCAATCTTCGGTAAAATTCGAACATTTTTTTTTCGATCTAAAATGAGTGTTTATCCCAATTTTTGAATGTGCATGTTTTTTCTCCCAATTTTTCCATTCAAAGAAGTGGGAACGCAGTTTTCCATGTTTCTGATACTTGGAGGGACTTGGTTTTCCTGTAGACAACCTAACCTTGACTTCGAAATGAGAAAGCGTTCCCAAACTTCCAGTTTTTTTCATGTCTCAGGTAGCGAGCTGACCTATGGAAAGAGCACCTTGCGCACGGGTCCTGGAAGCTGTTGCAACTGCGGCAAGGGCTTTTTCTCGGGCTTGTGTTGCATGATTCCGTGGAATGTGGTCACAGGTCGGGTGGGAAATGACATCGGAAATGGGAACAGATGATTTTTGGGAAGGTAAAACTTGGATGGTGGGAACAGGTTGAAGGCACGGCCCAAATTGAGATTTCAAGCCATATACTGAACCCAGGGTAAAATTTCAGTGAAACCATCCAAATTTTGTGTGGATGAGGATGAGAAAAGTTATGAAGCCCCGGAAAATCCCAGCGATTTTTGGGATCTGCGCCTTGGCGCCTTCCGCAGATCCCAGCTTTACGGTGGGCATGTCCAGCAATGGAGAGCCTTCAGATCCGCATCCTCCGGGGATGCAGGTGAAATGCTCCTCCGAAGAAGAGGAGTTTGAAGGCGGTTTGAAGGGGGGAATAGCTGTCAAAAGGTGGGATTTAAGCACCAAAAATGGGGATTTAGCATGATTTACCAGCTGGTTATGACTAACATAGCCATGGAAAATCCATTATAAATGGAGGTTTATAGCTGGGAAAATCATCTTTAAATGGGGCATTGTCCATAGCTATGTTAAATAACCAGAGGGTACCCTACAAAGATGGTGGTGTACTGGGGATATTTCCTGGGATGGAGATTCTGAATCTAAATTTCATCACGACCCGTGGACCGTGGAGGATTGGACATGTTTAAGCACGATTTTTTGCGCTGATATCGATGAGTAATAAGAGTGACTATCAGTGAGTGGTACATAGTTTATATATCTCTACACACATTGTAATCATTGTATACAAAATGTGGGGAAAACATGGCTATTTCATCGACTTCAAAGCGGTTGAATTGTTGAGCAGACTCCAGGGTGACCTCGATTCCAGAGATTCGTCTGCCCGGGATTCACAGATATTCACAGGCACCCAACCACCCCAACCACTTGTGATACGGTTCATATCAGTCATAAGCAATCATTTGGCACACGGTTTCCCACGTCTTGTTCTACATCCTGGGTCAACCTTGGTTGAGCTATTTTTTCCTGTCCATGTAAACGAGAAGACAGGCGCGGGTTTACCGCACCTTGATCACTCGGTGGCCAGGCATTTGCTATGAGAAATGCTCCACATTGACGAAAGGTCAGATGCCCTATCGAAGCTAGGCAGAGATTTGGACCATCTGGGAGGTATCGGTTGTTCAGATTTTTCATGTGGCTGAAGGCACTTAATTGAAAATATCACCAGCTTGGGCCCCAGAACTGGATGGTTCGGTGCTAGTTGGAAACCGGGCCATTTGTAGATGATTTAGCCTTTAAACATGGTGGTGTTACACCGATTCTATGATCCCAATATGTGATGTCATCCCCTACCATCCACCATGGTTTCTGATTGTTTTGCTTAAAGATAAAGGGGGTGATTATTTCATGGGGAAGGGATTCATATCATCTTGTTATTCAGTTATATAAGTTCTATCCCACTAAACCCCATTACATCCCCATTTGTTGATGGTTACCCTCTTGTAAACATAGACCTGGACAACTCACGATTGAATTTATCATTTCCATGGCTTTTCCACATTTGTTCCCCACACAGGGGTTCTTACGGAAACAGTTAAGGCCCGGTGTTCAATCGAGGTGGTATCCGGGGCGTTTGACATTTTCCCTGTAAATTTCCGCACAAAATGCCTCTTGTGACATGTCCATATATGCATTTCGACTGTGCAGGCTTTTACAAAATGCTTGCCGCGGGATTAGCGTCCAGCATTTTCCCTGTAAATTTCCGCACAAAATGCCTCTTGTGATATGTCCATATATGCATTTCGACTGTGCAGGCTCGTGCAAAATTCTTGCCGCGGGATTAGCGTCCAGCATTTTCCCTGTAAATTTCCGCACAAAATGCCTCTTGTGACATGTCCATATATGCATTTCGACTTTGCAGGCTCGTACAAAATGCTTGCCGCGGGATTAGCGTCCGGCATTTTCCCTGTAAATTTGCGCACAAAATGCCTCTTGTGACATGTCCATGTGCATTTCGACTCCGCAGGCTCGCACAAAATGCTTGCCGCGGGATTAGCGCCCGGCATTTTCCTCTGTTAATTTTCGCACAAGATGCCTCTTGTGACATGTCACATCATCATCATCATCATCAACAACATCATCATCATCATCGTCATCATCATCATCATCATCATCACCATCATCACCATAATCTTCATCATCATCATCATCATCATCAACATCATCAACATCAACATCACCATCATCGCCATCAACATCATCATCGTCATCATCATCGTCATCATCATCATCATCATCATCACCATCATCACCGCCATCAACATCAACATCACCATCATCACCACCATCATCATCAACAACATCATCATCATCATCAACATCATCATCAGCATTATAATCCATTCTCCTTTGACTTCCCCACACTGTTTGGGGTCTCTTGCCGGGATAATGTTAGTTTACCCCAGAGGCAAATCCTACCATTATCAGTTTCTCCCAGGTCTCTCGTCGGTGGCCTGCTGCAAGTTTCCAGGGCAGGCGGCCTGTCACAACCTGCAAAATTCAGTGGTGAACATCAACTTGGACAAGAGTCAGGCCATCTGGATCCATGGGAATATCTTATGAGATCTTAAATCTTTAAGGACTGCTTGAAATGAATAGAAACTAAAGATTTAAATCACTTAACTCTTGATTTATGGTTGAATATGGAGCTATGTTTCTGGGACTGTTTTTGTGGCTGTGTCATGCTGTGTCCAGATTTCTGGGGAATCTAATCTACTCTTCATTGTATCAACTTAGCGGATGAAACTCCAAGGCCATGAGACAGATCTACCTTTTCGTGTTTTGATATGTTTTGATGATGGCTTTCCATAGCAAACTGTGGATCACGAGAGGGTATTCCAGAAAGTACCCTATCAGATGCTTCGAATGAAAAAAAATCTCAGGATCTGAGCAATGCTTTGCCTCATGCTCCGTACATGAGACCTGAAACCGACTGAGCGCCGGGGCAGCCGTTTCACCCAAAAACCCCAAGCGACGCATTCTCCAAACGGGAGATCGAAAGTGCTGGCGCATCAAATCAAGGGACTAGATCACTGATTTTTCCCCATCACTATTGATCATATCAATATCTTTAGATAGGTTAAGTTACCTAAATCCCTTCAAAACACTCAATTACATCATCTTGGATCCATCTGTTTGCAGCAATTCCCTTATTTTCCTTTCTTATAAACCGTCTTATATCAGTTCTTAATCATCTTAAGTCTTAAATGGACAATTCCCACTTATTACAATTCTCACCTTAAATGGTTCTCAATCATCTTAAATCATCTTAACTCCATTTTTTGCCGCGAAACATCCTCTTTATGCCCAGGTCTGGCCCCAGCGACCGGGGGGCATTTGCTACATGACGCTGGGAAAACCCAGGAAAACATCCAGGGACGTTAAGCAGCAAAGTTATGGGGGGTTATAAGGACTCACAAGCAACGTGGATGGAAGATATCCTGCACCCCCTTGGATGGTTGAAACCCTATAAATAATGGGATAAAGCATCTATCAACTGGTGCAGGATTTCTTCCATCCACCGTATTTTATGGGGATATTTAATTTGTTCCTAACCAACTTGATATGATATTTTGGAGTTGCCCGAAACCGGGGGTTTGCCCCCCAAATGGTCAATTTTTGTGGGGATACTGTACTAATTATACGGTATACCTAGTGGATTTAGGGGTACCCTGTTTTTGGACAAACCAACTTTTTGCAACCCTCAAAAGATGCAGACATGTAGAATTCTGATGAATTCTGTTCGACAATAATGGTGAATCGAACCTGTTCTGCATCCTTTTTTTGGGAATTGAGAAAACATGGTTTTTGCATGTTTTTAAGGTATGTTCATTTTTCTCAGCTGCACATGACATCAGGTTTGGCCAGCTTGATCGAAATCTACCAATGTTATGGCCCATGAGTGCAGTTTCTGAGGTCAGGTCTCCTTTTGAAGCGACTTCATCAGAGGGGTCTCTGTGGCATTTCCCACGTCATCGTGGATGAGGCCGGTGCGATGGAAAACTGAGCCGGTGAGCTTTGATGAGTGTTGGCTTTAAGTTTATGTATAAGAACCCCCTTAAAAAAGATGGATTTTAGCAGAATCATACTAAAATTCTTGGGGTTTTTGTCGGTATTTTCTGAATTTTCAAGTTCCAAGACAGTGTCGTAGGATTGTTATGGATGGGTTCGGATGGGTTCAATGAAGCACGGGGCATGGCCGCCTATGATTGGCTAAAAATAACGTGGCCAAAATAGAATTCCTGCATGTTGCAAAGGCACCACTTGACCTCAAAGGCACCCAGTATTGTGGATGTGGCAGATTTTGTGACAAATCAAAGATCATCGCAGCAGAGTTTTCACAGTTTTCACTCACAAAAAAACAGTCCTCAAACCGCAGCGGCTTTTTGCCGTTCAGGTGCACGAGCGTGATTTGGACAATGTCTGGAGCCCAGTGGATGATGATTTTGGCCAAATTCCCTGTGAATTCTTGGTGAAGTGGAAATCCCTTGTAGGATTTGTAGGGAAGAACCATACCCTCTGGTAAACTAACGTAACTATGGAAAATCACAATTTTTAAATATTTTTAATGGGTAAATCCACTATAAATGGCCATTTTCAATAGCAAACTGTTTGCTTACCAGAGGGTAAATCCCATTAGATCCCATTAAACCACCATAAATCCCATTAAATCCCATTAGATCCCATTAAATCCCATTAAATCCCATTAAATCCCATTAGTTCCCATTAAATCCCATTAGATCCCATTAAATCCCATTAAATCCCATTAAATCCCATTAGATCCCATTAAATCCCATTAGATCCCATTAAATCCCATTAAATCCCATTAAATCCCATTAGATCCCATTAAATCCCATTAAATCCCATTAAATCCCATTAGATCCCAGTAAATCCCATTAGATCCCATTAGATCCCATTAAATCCCATTAAATCCCATTAGATCCCATTAAATCCCATTAGATCCCATTAAATCCCATTAAATCCCATTAGATCCCATTAAATCCCATTAAATCCCATTAAATCCCATTAGATCCCATTAGATCCCATTAGATCCCATTAGATCCCATTAAATCCCATTAAATCCCATTAGATCCCATTAAATCCCATTAGATCCCATTAAATCCCATTAAATCCCATTAGATCCCATTAAATCCCATTAAATCCCATTAAATCCCATTAAATCCCATTAGATCCCATTAAATCCCATGAAATCCCATTAAATCCCATTAAATCCCATTAAATCCCATTAAATCCCATTAGATCCCATTAAATCCCATGAAATCCCATTAAATCCCATTAAATCCCATTAAATCCCATTAAATCTCATTAAATCCCATTAGATCCCATTAAATCCCATGAAATCCCATGAAATCCCATGAAATCCCATTAAATCCCATTGAATCCCATGAAATCCCATTAAATCCCATGAAATCCCATGAAATCCCATGAAATCCCATTAAATCCCATTGAATCCCATGAAATCCCATTAAATCCCATTGAATCCCATGAAATCCCATGAAATCCCATGAAATCCCATGAAATCCCATCAAGCCAGGGTTGCAAATTCCATCAAATCCCAATCTCCAAGGGATCATCCCATGACGATTTTCCAGGACGTGCTGCTGGGACTCTTGAGATCTGCGCTGGTGGTGCACCCTGAGCTCAAGGTGGTGTCAAGGGGGACGTAAAAAAAACACGGTGTGTTTCTGAGCGACTCTTTTCCAGGTGAAAAACAGTTGTGTTTTTTTTTCTAATTAAGGTAATTATATAACTCGTTAAGAACAGTTATGGTTTGGGACCAGGAGACTTGATTTTCATTCATGGGGCTCAAAGAATGTCCCAAACCCGCAATACCACCCCCAAGAACAGAGGTAAGAAGCCCTTGAGACGGGCTGATGGAAGTCAAATCAGGTGAATTGCCCTCAAGACCGGAGCCTCATATCATCGAGGCCTTAAAACCATTCAAAACCTCTAGACTGTCTGATTCAGACTGGGTTCAAGGCAAAATTTCAATCAACCCCCAATGTTAGATGTGGTAAAAATCCATGGGTTTCCACTGCCTTCTGGCAGGTGGTTCTGATGTCCGTGCCGCGCCCAGAACGCCATGTAGGTGATGTAGGTGTCGCAACACGCCAGGAAACCCACATACCACCCTGGAGATCTAGCATGGAATCCCTGAGAACCGGGTTTGGATATGTTTGAATTATATTGAATTATGATTTTACTACTGGAAACAGTCGTTTTTTGTTTTTTTGTTTTCTGAATTTCAAGGGTGTACCTGGTACCTATCTAGGTTATCTAGCAAGTCACGATGGCTGTTCTCGGGGCGATGATTCGCCGGTAGGGTGCGAGTTGAGGCCCATCATCCAGCTATATCCAGCCCACTGATCTGACATCGAAGAAGATGTGCTCCCCTCCTACGAACATAGATGTGACATGATGTGACAATATGTGGCATAGAAGTTCGAAACTCAGATGAATATAGATGAATCATATACTGTGAAAATCTTCGAAATCATATGAACCTTTTCCACCACTCTTCATTTGACACATTTGGATTTTCCAGTCGATCCCTGTCTTTGTTTCATGGCATTGAGGCTACGATCGATGCGCGCAAGTTCCAAGCATTTCTGCGAGAGAGGCTCCCCGCAACGGGGTCGAGTCAAACAACGCTGGCAACGAGAAAACTAGCATGGAAAAACGATGGAAAACTATGTGTATAGTGTATAGTGTATATATATAATAATAATTATATATGACATATATGAGAAGATCCAATTAAACACCATGTATTTTTGGTTAACATATAACTATTGAACATGAACCAAAATTGCATGATGAACATTCACCGGCCAGGTTCATGAGGCTGTGAAAACCTGCCAGGTCGGAGCATGCACCTATACCTCCGGCCAGGGGCCTCCAGCGAAACATGGTGATTTCATGGGATCGAATTGAGATTTCCCCTGCAAAAAGGCAAAAAAAAAGGGGGAATTTAAGGATTTATATCATTTCCCAGTAGATTTGTTACATTGTAAAGTGCAAATTTCACAATTTCCTCGATGTGGATTGGTCGAAAATCTGGGGATCTCATCAACGTGGTGAGGAAATCTCGCTTTGGATTTGGGCATTTTTCTGGATCCAGCACCATAGAAGATCAACACTGGTTTCGAGGGGTGTTTCTTCGAGGGCGACGCCTGATTCCAAGAAATCACAGCCTGCCAGCATAAGCTGAGGTGATTGCTGTTCAGGGTCACAGCTATGATGTAAGGATCCCAGTTCAGCATGTTGCCGCATTGAGCGAAGAGCTTTTTTGGATGTCTAATTGTCATTCTATCACCACCCAAATAGATAATAGTGGATAGAAAAGTTGGGAACCTGGAAATCATGGGGGAACATAATCTATCATTAATATACATATATATATATATGTAATTAATCATATATATATATATTCATTATATACTGGAAAAACTCTTCCATTTTTTGGCGGACCCCTCTAATTTTATATGGCTTTGTCCCGTACAGTGTGGGATACCCCAAAATAACAATTTTGATGGGGAAACTGATGATAGACTATGGGGTTTGGTACCAAAATTTGCGACATACCAATAATTGTCCTCCTGTAAACAGCATGGCCATGATGCATCTCTGACTGGAGGCACGTTACATCATACATCATCAACATAATTCCGGACGATTTTCGATCGCTCTTTTATCTCTGTTTCTCTGCCAGTGAAACACAAACACAAGTGCATCCTCCTCCTGACTTGAAATGCTGATGAGCTTGCCATCTCCCCTCATGTCGCATTGGCAAGTCATTTCATGTCCCTGGTTTGCTTTAAAGGCGTTCTGATTCTCAAACCTAGGAATTCATTATCCTTGATTATATCTCAATGTCCTGGTCTATATCTTAATATCCAGTCTATATCTTAATCTAGATCTACATCTGCATCTATGGCTCTCTCTCTATATATATATTATATAACATTTTGTACGACATCTTTCATAGACTATGTGTATATGTATATATATATACATATAATTATATATATATATACACATGCATGCTATATACACACTGTATCATCGCGCATGTTCTGCATCTGAGCACATCTACATCCCGTCACCTTTTCGGACGCCCTCTCAGGTGAGATGTCTCTTTCTAGAGGATATCGTGGAGAAGATGAAGTGCAGCACTGAGATTTAGAATCGATCATCCTCAGAGGGTGGTTTATGTATGGCATGGGGAAAGAATCCCAAAGCATCTTCAAGCATGGTTGGTTTTTTTAATGTTTTATAAATGGGAGATGCCTGGGGAGATTAACTGGAAGTAACTCTCTGGTAAATTGCATTTGTCGTAGGTAATTCATCGAAATATATGGGCCATGGCTTCCATAGCAAACTGTCAAATTACCGGAGGCTAATCCCCAAACCACCTCAAATGAGCCATTCCGTATATTTCTTTCGGGTGAATTCCTCAAATACAGCATATCCAGCGCCTAGGTCTCAGTATCTTAGATGAAACTTTAAGTGGTATTTTCCGGGATGATGCATGCAAAAAACCATGGGATGTCCAAATATATTATGTTGACCTGATCATCTCAACTACTAATTACCAGCCACAGTTACGTATCCAGTTATCCCATTATCCCCAGATTTTGTTGATGAACCCACCATGATATTGGACAACGCATTCCTTGATAGTGGTGTATTGGCAAGTTAGCATTCAACACGTGGTATTTTAACACAAAACATTAGTAATTTTAGTAGATTGATCATAAAGCATCATTATCATTGTTATATCAACACCAATCAACATACCAGCCCGATGTTTGCCCAATGATAAGAACCAATAATCCCTCCTCCTAATACTAAACACCCCCCAATCGAAACCCTGGTGCTGTATCGAATCTATTCACCAATTTCGGGGCCCTATACGAGAACCACCGTTTTCCGGGGAGGAACCACTACCAACCACTCCCAACAAGCAGATAATCAACCACTACACGATTTTGGGGCCCAGCTATAAATTCGTTTGGAAAATCCCACATAAATCGGATTACAGCCCCATCCAACTGTAGATCTGGACCCTAAATCCCATAGTTGGCCTAGTTTTCATAAACCAACTGAAAACAATCATAAATCAACTATCAATTTGTTGGTTAAATCCCCATTTTTTGTTAAATCCCCTAATTTTTGTTGGTGAAATCCCAATTTTTTCCCGAACCTGACCTCCCTTCCTGAAAGTTAAGGTGGACACCTCCACCTCAGCCTGGAGCCCAGAGAACATCACGGGAAACGAACAAAAATTGGGCCAATGGGCATCGTCAAGATGTGGAAGTTTTTGAGTAAATTTCTCACCTTTTCGCAAGATGCTGAGAAAATTGGGAACTGAGCATAGAGGCAGCATTCCCAGGTTGTTGGTGGGTCCCCCTGTCGGTCTGCGGTTTGGGTATGTCATGTCCCAAAGTTGGAGAATGGGTCGTAACCGGCAATTTTCAGGGCTCACAACACTGGGTCAAAGATGATTTTTCTATGGGTATTCCCGATATCAAAAGCAACCACATTTCTCACTGTTATTACATTCACACCGCGTAGCGGTGGGATGACAATGGAACGCATGACTTTTGTATCTCCATTGAACATTTCTTTTTCCCTACTTCTGGTTGAACCCCAATGACATCTCCACTTTCTGCACGCACGCACCATGAGTCCATGAAACATTTCTGCCAAGGAAGAAAGAGAAGGACTGGATGAACAGCGGTGCTGGATGACACTTTTGCTACCCAGCCAAGTGTCTGTGCCAAAGACACAGTGGCCTCAAATCTAGGTTTGGGACAAATATATTATTATACTACCCTTCGGGCATGAATCATGGCAAAGGACACCTCCACACATTTCACCATTTAGTTGGATGGATTTTCCAGATAAACACTCCGGTAATCAACCATGGCAAGGGGAAACTCTCCCATTTAGTTCCATGATTTTCCTGTCCAAATGCCCTTCCGTCTATGGACCATTTCCCATTGCCGCCAGCCCATGCAGATGTACCAGGAGCCGGCGGGTGCCATGAACTCGTGCAATCCCCAGGAGTATTCGCCCAACACGGTCAAGGTACCCCACCGTGGCTGCCTTCACCAAGTCACGCTGGGACACACCAAGTCCATGATGGTCCTGATTTTGAAGGATTGAGGTAATGAAGTGCCTCAAGAAAATTGATGAACTATTCAAGATGGCTGTCATTCTTCAATATGATACAGACGGTTTTATTCTGTTTTTTTTGCTGATTCAGGCAAAATTTGATGGCTGACGTCAACTTCTTTGTGGTTTGTATCCATTCATAAGGTTCCCCCAAAAAATGGCAAACTGCTCCAGGATGTCACAGATAGTGACCCCATAACTGCAAGGTTTCCAGCTTTTCTATCTATTTCTGGGGGTTTCTATATATCCAATATATCTAGATAAGAGATAACTACCATATTGTTAGTTATGTTAGTTATATCCCCAAGTATATTCGATCATATCCCAATTATAGTTGGGAATATAGTTATATTGTTGATATATCTAGATATCTCTATATATTGTGGGTTATATCCTCAGTTTTGGGACCTCCCGGATTGCTTGCCATTCTCCTTAAATCGGAGGCGCTACAGTTGATGCCAGAGCAGCACATCCCCTTGGAGCTGGCGCGGGACAGCATCGGAGGGCACAACTGGCGAGGGGTGGCATTCAGAATTGGGAGATCGTGGGCCCCTTAGCTGGCCTTAGCTGACCATTTTTTAAAGGTCCAGGAGCTTGAACAACTTGGTTAGGCGCCAGCTAGGTACAGCTAGGTAGGTGATGGCGCGCCAGTTTCTCCCTGTCACCGAAGGACTTGTTGAAGACTTTGGTCTCTGAAGGGACAGTGTCTCATGAGACTGGCTCAGCCCAAGACTCAAGTGCGATTGCTGAAAGGAGAGCAATTGATGTTGGGAAACTGCCATGTCTATGCCGCAGCATCATTAGAAATTATGAGTCATGAACACCTCTTGGCACGAACTCTAGGGTTGAATAGTCAGTTCATGTCAGTTCCCTTTGGTTTGTCTGAAAATGATACAGCCAAATCCCAATGTGTTGGCCAGTTCTGTTGATTGTTTCATAGCCCCCATTGACTAGTTTGATATCTGAGTGTTCAAGTCAACAATTATTGGAGTTATGTTTGCCAACTTAGCTAACCATCCCCAAGTCTTGGAGCCCATCCCTTCACAAAAACCAAGGTCTTAGTCTTTCTACCGACTTGGGCTATGATGAGCAGCCTCAGCAAACTCCTACAAGCCGACACGATGCTAAGTCGGTGCAAGGTGATTATGCTTCACTCACAGGTGCAGCACGGCTGGTGAAATGGAGGGATGATCATGAAGCCATTCACAAAAAATGAGTGAATCAGTACCTGTATCTTTGTAGGTTGATAGTTTCAACCATAGGCATAGACTTTTTTGGTTCCGGAAAACGAAAACTTTTGGCACCATTCCCCAAATTGGTTGAACAGAAAACTCTACAGGAACCCCCCATACATTGGGGGCCCAATAGCCATTGCAGCATAGAATGCCAATGGGATTCTGAACATCGGAAGCCCCGGGGAAGAAACCGTCGTTAGGTGCCAAAGGAAGCCCAAATGGAAGCTTTTCAGCCTGCACCGGAGGGAATGGCCAAGGCAGAAATCGCAGGGGGTTTATGGTGGACATCGCCAAGTGAATTTTTTAAAGGTAACACCCCGAAAAGATGGAGATTGCAAGTAACAGATCTCTATTGTCTAAATTGATGAATAAGTAAAGATGGATGATATTTATAGTCATCCCCAAAAAGATAGGAAAAGTAAAGATATTTTAATGGGATGACTATCTTTTCCTATCCTTTTGGGGATGACTTTTTTTGGGGATTTAAACCACATCAGAATGATTTAACCATGAAAATTAGGGAAGGTAATCAACGCCAGGGTTTCGCTGTTTTTATCACTTTCTATCATTGCTTCGTTGAATTGGTTGAAGGGAACGTATTCAATGACGACGGGAGATCTCCACCATTCCAAAGGGCATGTGCGAACATCCTGTTTTCCCAAAGATCAAATATATTTGATTGGTGGTTTGGAACATTTTTTATTTTTCCATATATTGGCAATTTCATCATCCCAACTGACGCACTTATATTTTTCAGAGGGCTGGCCCAACCACCAACCAGATATGGTCAGATATTGAGGAGAAAACCCGGTGCAATGAACTGCCGGACATCGAATTTTCAGATCGCTAGAGGAAACCATGGGTTACGCTGAAACTCTGGGCTTAGGATCTAGTCATTTTGGGAACCCCATAGATCTGCAGTCGTTTTTTAAAAGAAACCTGCAGATTTCAGGAGATTTCTCTCACTTTCAGGATCATAAATCTCGAAACAGGGCTTTTTTTTGTGTATATATATATATATACATATATTGGGTGTCTGAAAATGCAGTGGCTCATGGCGCGTGTCGCAAGTTGGCTTAGTTTCAAGCATCTAACTATAGATATACCCTCGTAATTAACATAGCTGTGGCAATTTTATGCATAGATAATTTGTCTATAGAAAACGGTGCTTTTCCATAGCTATGTGAAATTCCCAGAGGGTATCCATCATAAGCCCCACTTAACCATAGTTACAAGGTGAGCCCCTTTTTTAAAAAATAAGTTGGCTTAGTTTCACCCCATTAGCTGTAGTATGCTGTAGTTATGTCATGTTATTATATCCCCCGATTAACCATAGAAAGTGATGTTTGTTGGTTTATAAACCCCATTAGCTGTAGTTAGATCCCCCAATAAACCATAGAATTCACCTTTCGGAGGTGATTTTGGCGACCAACATCGCTGAGTCCTCCGTGACCATCGATGATGTGACCTGCGTTCGGGCGACACAGAGCGACGGTTTGTCTAAAACGAGACTGCGGAGACTGCCATGGTAATGTGGTGACTCAACCATCAAAAATGGTGATTTACAATGGTGATTTAACCATGAAACATCAACATGGGGATTCGCTTGATTTATGTAATCCTCGAAATAGAGTGATTTCACCAATATACTGTAGTAGCACGTTTGATTCTGCATCTTCTGACTTGCCAAGGCATGGGTCACAGATGGTGGCATGAAAGAATCATACCCTTTTTCACTAGAACTTCCCATGATGACTCTCCGATTGAAGCATTCTTCATGGTTTAAAACTATAAACATCTCAAAGCTGGAGAGCTGAACACCTACAAAACAGATGTGCCCGGTCATGCTATATGTATATATGTATACACGCACGTACATACTATACATACACATACTATATACTATACGTATACTATACGTACACTATATGTATATATATTACGGGTGCTATACATACACTTTACGTAGATATACGTAGATATACACTGATATACACAGGTATACACTATCCATCCATCCATCCATCCGTCCATCCACCCATCCATCCATCCATCCATCCATCCATCCATCCATCAATGATACCCCCCTCCAAACGCTTGATTTCAGCAGCAAGGTCATCGATTCCTGCAAGGCTTGGGGCGTGCAGCAGATTTGGATAAGATGAGCTGAAGTTGTCACTGTGTGGTCACATATTATAGGGATTATATGGGATTATCCTCCGGTAGTCAAACGTGGCAATGGGAAAACCATTATAAGTGGAGGTTTCTAGCTCTAGCAACAAAACATGGGGATTTCAGAGTGGTTGGTGGTTTCGAACACCTCTGTTGCCATTTTGGCTCAAGCATTTTTGGCTTGTACACTCTTTAATGCATGCCACAGGCTGGAGAGGCTTTGCGGCAGCGCCAAGTCAGTTGCTGGAAGCAGCATGGATGGAACTTCTGCAGATAGGTCACAGCTCTGGCATCATGCGGCCTGTGCGCCGGGGTTGCCGATGGCGGGCCTCATACTTTGGTTACCAGCTGCCACATCCATTGCTAACCGCCCGGTCACTGGAGCAGTGGTCTATGGCCGCGCTCTAACTGCACTTGCAAAGGCGCATTCAAAAAATCGTATGGATCTCACCTTGGATCATAGCCATAGCCAGTTCCGACTCAACAGTGGTGGTCCCAGACCAAATCCCGGATCACGCAGTGAGCCCCTGATGTTGTCAGGCTCCCATTCCAGATGCCATGGCTTTGCGTAGCTGGATTCAGCACCCTCCTTCACACCAAAGCCGGCTTAAGATCCCTGGGGCGTACCAGCACACATCCCTCCGCTTGGGAATGACGTGTTCACTGATGGTTCATATCTGTGGCAGTCTGTTCCGACCTATAATGTTCACCTCTGATTTATAAACGTGGGGCCCCCCTCCCCCCTCTTTGCACCTAAATAAACTTAAAGCCACCATCAAACTTGTTTGTATGTATTGGTTTTCAATTACCACAATTTGAAACGATAATATAAAATGCAATTTCCCCCCCAAAAAGGAATCCAACAATTGTTTTAGTATTGATCTAGTACTCCTCTATGTGGACTACATGCTGTCAATGGGATGTCCAGGTCCCGTCAAATCAGGAAAACCTTGGTTGGAAGCATGGAAAAGAAGGTGCCTGGAACCAGAACTGAATCCCTTTCCTGAATCGGTTGACATGGTTTCGCCGCTGCCTCAAGGTTTTCTTGAAGGAGACGAATCATGAATGTAGTGGCACTGGCAACTTGCCGAGGTGTTGGGGATACAATTCAAAGCCACATCGCGTTTGCTTCTGTATCTTGGGACGAAGCGACGCTCCAGATTGCAGACCAGTGGATCGCTGAGCTCGAGTTACTAAAGCTTTGCGATCCCTGCCAATCCCAAAGACATGGAGGTTCACATTCGCCCATCAACGAATGGTGCCCACTGCAGGGACTTTGCATAGCTGCGTGGGTCAAAGGGCCTCGCTCCACAACATGAACAAGCCCGACTGTGGGAAACAGTGGAAACAGTGGTGGTTTGGAGCATTCCGCTGCAAGCACTAGGTTTGCATGTGGGGGATCCGGCATAAATATCCTTTGATGCTTGTATGCTCAAATCCCTGCAAAAGCCGACCGCTTTCAACAGCAAACAAGCCCCAAAACTCTGAACCCTAAAATCCTAAATCCTGAAAGCCTAAGTCAGAATCGCCGCGTGTAGACCATGTTTTCTGACACGCATAAAATACTGTACGTAGTCTGGGTGTGTTATTTGGGCATGAGCGACCATGGTGTTTGGAGGGAACATGTCCTTTGTATGACTCACGTCAGAAACTAGGCATGCCCCTTTTCTTGTGAGTCCATGCGAGTTTTCAAGGATGTACATCGGGATTTCCTGATGACTCATCCCATGGGACAAGGCATGCGTATCTTCACCCTATGAATGTAAAACAACCAAGTGGTTGGTTTGAAGTCGATGTTTGTTTTCTTTCGGCCTTCGGATGGTCATCCACAATTTGACTCGTACTTGTCAGAGGGGGTGGCTCAAACACCAATCCATTGAGCATCATCTGTGCTGGTTTTGCATCCCATTGAATTCCCCATAATACTTGAGGGTTAAAAACCCAAAACAAATTACCATTGGAATCCATAGTTATTGGCTAAATCCCAAACCACCATGCGTTGATAATCTTCCCATCAGTCACCATTGGAGGTCAAACTTACTTTCTTCACAGAGACCACTCGTTTGTCGTGCGCCACAAGCGTTGAGATGGAACTCACCCAGAATACAACATAGTAATGGGATTCAAATTGGATATATATATATGCATACATACATACATAATCAAAATCTGATAATATCTGATATTTGGGTGTGTCTGCCAATGGGGTATACCCCCAAGATTGCAATTTTGATAAGGAAAATGGGAATAAACCATTCAATTTTGGGTAACATATTTTCAGACAAACTCATTGATTTCGGTGTTTTTGTACCTTGGGGACCCCCCAAGTCATCCGTTGACCATGCAGGTCATTTTACACCTTGACCAGTCCTAAAAAACCCAAGTAATCCCTTCCACCTAATACTAAACACTCCTTAGAAACCATGGTTTAGTAGGGGGATTTATGTTTTTTTTGACCATAGAATGGGGATGTTGAGTATTTGGGGGGTGGGATTAATGTAGCATCAAAATTTCCTGTGGTTGGGGTCCCAGTTCCACCCAGTCACATTTCCCAGGTACCACGATGTGGTCTTTACTGGTCGACATAACCTGGAGCAAAGGAAGGTCGCTGGGATGATGAAGACCCCCAGGATGAGATGAGCTCATGAGAGTTCATGGGCCTCAACAGGACTTCATGGGATTTCATTCAGTTTCATGGAATTTGATGGGATTCAATGGCATTTCATGGCCAACTAGGACTAACTAGGGTTTTTGCAAAAGAACCTGGAACACCACAAGATTGGAGAAACCTTGGTGCTTTGGAGATTCCTCCCAAAAAAAAACCTTGGGGTTTTAGTAGGGTTGTTATGATTCCCCAAGAAAAAATGCAGGGTATCTGAATCTAAGGTCCACCATGAATCCCTTCCCGTTTCGGCTGAGGGCCGTGCCGGGCGCACCCGGCCGGGGCTTTGCTTTCGGCTCTGCACTCGGAGACGCTTTGAGGAGGGGTTGGAGGAGCCGAAGCCCAGTGGGTTGGTGGTGGTTTGATGTGGTTTGTATGTATTTTAAGATTAATGTATGTATTTATATATATATATGTATATATATATATACACATGTATACACATGTTTGTATATATACATATATATATAATACAACATGGTAAACCTAATAATAGAAACCTATCATTTGGGAATGGTGTACACAAGGAAATTTATGGTCAATCCTTGGGGATGGATCATTATTGGGTTTGCCACATGGTGACTGCATGTTGCAATGGGATTTTAATGGTGATTTAATGGGATTTAATGGGATTTAATGAGATTTAATGGGATTTTATGGTGATTTAATAATTGGATTTTATGGATGTTTTTTTTTTTAATGGTGGTTTAATGGGATCTAATGGGATTTACCATCTCGTAATTTAACGTAGCTATGGAAAATCACAACTTTTAACAGGCAAATCATCATAAAACATCTACAAATTGGCCATTGTCACCAGAGGGTATATTTCCATGTATTCCAGTAGGACAATCTACTTAATTCAGAATGATTGATGGTAATCCCTTCCTTCGAAAAAAATCACGCTACCCAAACGAAACCATGGTGGAATATCTTGGTACCAAGTATCCAGTTGTTGGGGGTGAGAATTGGGACCCATACTCAAATGGATATTGTTATTTAATGTTATTTATCCATTTTGGTTGGTAAACTTGGAATTTTAGTTGTTTGAATCCCATGTTTGGTTGGTAACACTATCGACACCCATTTTTGGATGGTTAAATACAAAAAGACAGCAAGCGTGGGCTTCAGTGCCCCATTTTCGAGCCATGACCAAGTAAGTGACGGATTTGGCGTTGATTTGTGGAGTTTTCGGCATCTACCAAGAAAATTATCCTCGCCAATTGTGGGGAAAAAACGGCGGAATTTTCCGGGTGGGTGCTCGGAAAATAAAACAGTTTTGCTTTCTTAAAACATCTCCAGTACTGCGGGTAAAACCAATAGCGTATTTATACCACCTATAAAAATGGTGATTTGGGGGATGGTTGGATCAGGATCACTGACTGATCAGGATCAGGATCACCGACTTTAAGATGTGACATCCCATGGGAGTTGAAGAATCTTTGAGTCGAATCGTGAGATTTTTTTAATGTTTCTACCCAAGAATTTGCCAAATCAATTATTCAATTGGTACTCGAAGTTTTAACATGTTTTAACCAGAACGTCTACATATCACAACTACCAGAAGAAATCAAGTGCCACTCCCCATGTTTAACCAGAAAATATGCCGACCCGTTTTAACCAGAACATTAAAACCATTTCCCAAGAAACCCTTGGTGAAAAGTTCGACGTTGGCGGGCCGGTCGTTTGCAGGATGAAGTTCCACCAGAACTCACCAGAATGCCGCTGGTGCGGGGCATGGGGCAGTTGTGGTTTTTGGATCGTGAAAAACTGAATAGTGGGGCCAAGTGTGGCGGATTTTACCAGCAAATGGGGATTGAATGGGGTTGAATGGGAGATGACTAAGCAACATTTTTTTACCACCATGATGGGATAAAAGTGATGATGGTTTCATATTAGGGGGATGGGATTAACTTGTCCCTTTTGTAAGCACTTCTTGTGGTTAGCTACTAGCTACGATGCTTATCTTAGCCGTACCCCAAAGGTCTCACTCCCCAATCCGATAGCAGACGGTCATTGGTAACCTGGTAGTTGTTGGCAGTTGTGGGTGGTCAGTACCCTCTGGTAAACTAACATAGCGAACTGGAAAATCACCATTGTTCATGGGAAAATCCACTATAAATGGGCATTTTCAATAGCAAACTGTTAGTTTACCAAAGGGTAAATCGAAGCCAATTGAGTCAATGGATGGGCATAGAATCCACCCGGTGAATCAATGCCTCCTTGGAGGGCCCCCACCGTGTAGGTACCTAAGGAGGGTCTAGACATACCCAAATTTTATTAGTTGGTTATATATCCCACCACCAGAACAGAAATATACAAACATGTGATATCAGTTAATATCCCATTGTATTATATGTATATGCATCCACCACATACACCAGATATCCCAATGAATATCCCATAAATTGGCGGTGGCATTCCTTTTGTGTTTAAACCAACCACTAACCATTCATTGTTGTGAGTGTTCTGACTATTACAACCATCATCCAGCTACTATTGATGATTAGGACATCATAATGAATGATATTATTGTAGTATTATGATTTTTTTCATGGTTTGTAATTACTATTATTACTATAATCAACAAATTATTGGTGGTTTATATAATGATTCATTATATTACTCCATTAGTTATGTTAATTTCTTATTATATTATTAAGATCACTATCATTAATATTTGTTCCTCATAACTCATAATGTTATATAACAAAAACTAATCCAAAAATCCGATGCTGATTCTCACTGGTTATCCTATGAATCCAGATTTGGTGGTTTATCCAACTAGTGATTCCTAGTCAAAAATCCTATGATTTCCATTATCAAATTATAGTCATAGTGATCCCGTGATCTCTATTATAGTTATAGTTGTTATGGTGATTCCTATTATTCTTGTTATTATTATTACTATTATAGCTATAGTATGGTATAGTTACAGTGATCCCTATTTAATATAGTTATATTTTATAGTGGTGGTTTGATCGTGATTCCTATACTTTGTTAGAGTGAGCACCCTCTGGTAAACAGTTTGCTCTTGAAAATGGCTATTTAGTTCATTGATTTACAATTTTTAAAGATGATGAATTTCCAGTTCGCAAACTCTTAGTTGGCCATATTTAGTTCGTGGAACCCGATGGAAAAACGTGGAAATCTTCCAGTTCGCAAACTGTTCGTTTACCAGAGGCTAAATCCCATTAGATCCCATTAGACACCATTCATCCCATGAATAATCCCATTAAATCACCATTAAATCACCATTAAATCCCATTCAATCACCATTAAAATCCCATTCAATCACCATTAAATCCCATTAAATCACCATTCAAATCCAACCATTTATATTAAATTACCAGGTGGGTGCTGCCTTGCTGGTGAAGTCCCTGGAACTGGGCGACATCGCGGCGGTGCTGTCGCAGTGCCCAGATCCGCCGCCCGAAACGTCGGTCGGGGCCTCGGGGCCCTGGAAGGACTGTGGGACATGGGGGGGGGAATCCCAGGGGAGCCGGGGGGGCCGTAAAAGAACCCCAGGGAAGATGGGATTTCAGTGGCAAACATGTGGGATTTCATGGGATTTCGCTATCAAAGAACAGGGAGAACATGGGAATTTCATAACCAGTAATTGGGGTTAACAGCTAAAGAAAAATGGTATAAGACTATTGCTTGTTGAACAGCCGTTTCACCCATCACGGTGATGGCCAATCCCATGGACCCCCGGCTGCCTCCGCGGCCTTCAGGTGGCTCATGCCATTGCGGAGTTGAAATTGGTGAGGCGCAAAAAATCGCTGGTTGATATGATGCCATTAAGAATGGTGGTAGACTATGGTATTATGAATCGGAATAACCATGGAATATTTACGGGAAGAATACCGGAGAATGTTAATGGAATATATTATATACTATAATCATTGATGAATGGGAATATAACTGGAAACTATGTTATCATCCAATTAGCCTCTGGTAATCAGACCCGGCTGCCTCGAAATTCCCCGAACTAAATGGAGGTTTATAGCTGGGAAAATCCATGAAATTCATCTATAAATAGGAGATTTTCAATTGCCGCGTTTGATTACTGGAACGTATTGTCTGGTATGTTCGCTCAATCTGGTACATCATGTATATGATACATATTTATATACATATTCATATACATATTTATATACGTATATATATATATAAATATATATATATACACATATGTATATATATATATATACATATACATATATAGATATATATATATATATACGCACACACACATATATACATACATACATACATACATACATACATACATACATACATACATACGTACATACATACATACATACATACATACATGCGAATCGGGGATTGCCTACCCGATTATGTTCCAATGGTTGATGTTGAGGATAAATGTTCCAGTTCGACGACGTCACACGGGCAGCTGCTTCCGCATTGCTGATCTTTCCTCCAGTGCTGCAGTGGGGTCTTGAGCCAAAGAGGCCAGTTCGGATTGCCCCTTTGGTGCTGGATCACAGAGTGTTTAGTTGTGATATTATACTTGATCCGTAGCCTACACTCTATTCGCACCCCCCACGCATAGCCAACTTTGTTGGCTACGCGCAAAGGAGTGTTCTTTGAATTGATCCACTACACTCGCAGCTGTTCATTTATTGAATTATGGAGAGCTAAAGTCCGTTCAGAACTTCATATCTACATGGCGGCTTGCTACGATCTCTACCAAAAAAAATGAAGGTTTTGTTCACGTGCATGTAGACACGACGTAGTCGGTGTCTAGCATTGAGGTTCGTCCAATGTGGCGTAGCCAGCATGGAGTCTCACTCAAGCATGTGAATTAAAGAAATCAAAACACAAAGTTGACTATGGAACTAGAAGTTTACCTTCCCGTCCCTTCGTCGGTTGAGACGTAGACCGCTGTAGAAACTCAGCGTTTCATGCAATGATGTTCAAAAAAATGTGTGGTTCTAAATTAGCCGGCTCAGAGTCCTCTCAGAAATCATTCAAAATGAAGTAGAGGTAAATCTCGAGCAATGATTGCATCCTCGCATCGCCAGGTTCAATCAGGACCTATGCAGAGGTCAGATCGCTTAATCACCTATATCCCCATCCATAGTATCCCTGTTGGTTCCAGTCTCCGCCACGGTGTGAATAAGATTTTTCCACCTTTTCCTTGGTCTTTTCCACCCTTCTTTGGCGGGGTCACTGGAGCTTGTTTTGGCGGAGGAGCGGTTTCAACTGTTCTCCATGTCGCTGACGATGATGCTTTTGCTTTCGACACTCTTCCCAGTGCTGGTGCAGCTTTCGGGGCTGCTTTCGATTTGCCAGCGGCTGGAT